CTTTTGTAAAACACACATAATGTGAAATTCACCATTTTGGCCATTTTAAGGTGTACAGTGTAGTGGTTTAGTGCACAAATAAGGTTATGCAACCTCCCTCGCTATCTAATTTCAGAACATGTTCATCACCCCAAAAGGAAATTCTGTACCCATTGGGCAAGCATCCGTCTCCCCCTACTAATCTGCTTCCTATCTCTAAGGGTTTGTTGACTCTGGACATTTCCTATTGATGGAATCCTACAAATGGGACTTTGTGTGCCTGGCTTCTTTCACTCAGGGTGGTGTTCTCAGTCCTCATCCAAGCTGGAGCATCTATCAGAAGTTCACTTCTGTTATTTTAATTTTTTTTAAAGATTTATTTATACAAGAACTGGGGTATAGGCCAGATGTGCGGGAGGGTGAGAGGATTCACCAGAGACAGAGTGGGGAGCAGAACAGGCAGACTGTCTGAAATTCTCTACTGAGGGAAGCAGCGGGCGAGACAGGAGAGGTCTGCTGTGCCATGTGGGTTGCTCCGTGGCCAACGGGGATCGAACCAGCACTGCAGAGGCTGTGGACAGCTTCATAGCGCTGCGCTCAACCACCTGTGCTACCAGGGAGGCCCCTATTTTAATTTTTTTTTCATAGAAGTACTGGGGTACAGGCCAGAGGTACAGGGGGTGAGAGGATTCCCCAGAGACAGTGGGGAGCAGAACAGGTGGATCTACTGAAATCCACCGCTGAGGGGAGCAGCAGGGAGACAGGAGAGGTCTGCTGCGCCATATGGGTGGCTCCCTGGCCGGGGATTGAACTCAGGCCATAGTGGTGTTACTGAGATGCAACCTGTAGGCCACCAGGGAGGCCCGAGTTCACTGCTGTTATGGCCACAACACTCTCCTTCCATGGCCGGACAGACCACGTTTTGCTAGTCCACTCACCAACTGATGGGCATTTGAGTTTCCACCCTTGGGCAGCTGTAAACAATGTGCAAGGCTGAGAGAGTTTCTGGACAACTGCTGGTCTAAGCACCTGTCTCACTTCTTTGGGGCACATTCCCAGGAGTGAAATTGCTGGGTCCTATGCGTGACTTATTAAGGAACCCAATGAAGCGCTTTCCACAGCAGCTTCACCAATGTACATTTCCACCAGCAACACACAAAGGATGTCCTGTGACTTTTAAACAGGGAGAAGGTGGAAAAAACCTTCATAACATCCTTCCTCGCAGAATGACAAAAAAATATCAGACATACGCATCATGGATGATTGGACAATGTACAAAAAATTAGCAGAGAGAATCAGAATCCTCTCACCCCCGTACCTCTGGCCTGTACCCCAGTACTTCTATGAAACAAAATTAAAATAGGGGCCTCCCTGGTAGCACAGGTGGTTGAGCGCAGCGCTGTGAAGCTGTTCGCAGCCTCTGCAGTGCTGGTTCGATCCCCGCCGGCCACGGAGCAACCCACATGGCCCAGCAGACCTCTCCTGTCTCGCCTGCTGCTCCCCTCAGTTAATAAAGGCAGTGAGGGGCCTCCCTGGTAGCGCAGGGGTTAAGTCTCAACACTATGAAGCTATTGGCTGCCACTGCAGCACCATTTCACTCCCCAGCCAGGGAGCTGACCCACATGGTGCAGCAGATCACTCTTATCTGCCCTTTAAGGGGAGCACACCCTAAGTACCCCTGGGAAGCCAGAGCCTCGGGGCTCCCTGCATTGCTCTGACCTCTTGTGACTGGATATAGCCCTTGAAGACTATATCTGATGGCTTCGGGTCCTCTGTGGGAGGTGGGGCTCCCGCACCCCCTGTGGGATTGCCTTCCCTCCCACCTCAGCTGTTATCACTTGGGGGAGCGGTGTGGACCCCACTAAAGACACAGGTCTGATGTGACTCTGCCAAGTGTAACTGTTTTCAGCTCCAGGCAGGGCACAGGGGTGCTGCGGAGGGGCAGTTTAGCCTGGGGTCCCCGGAGTGAGGGACCAGACAGCCCTGACGCAATACTTGCTACGCAACCTAACACCTAAAGGTCTTAAAATACTCTGCTCAGCTAAGCCATCTGGAAGATGGGGATACTCACAGTCCCCCGCGCCTCCCCAGGGCCCTGTTGAGGATTTAATGAATCAAAAACTGTCAACATTCAGCACGACACTACAGAGTACCTTGTATTAATTTACTGCCTCTCACCATCCACATCTGTTCCCTGTTTCTCTCTCCCAGATCCCAGCCTGCCAAAATCCAGCTAAATGCAAGCCACATGTCCCATTTTTTCCCTTCTAGCAACTGTCTCTTCTCTTAGCATCCCCGATGTCACATTCTCCTGATTTTTCTCAGACCTTGACAACTGGCCCTTCTCATTGATCTTTCATGTCAAATGCTCAGCCAGAAGGTTGCAAGTGCAAAGACCCCCCTCGCTATGGAAAAGAGGTACTTTTCAAATAGTGGGGTTTCTAGGAATATGTGCTGGCCATTGTGTTACGTGTAAACAGGGCAGGTGGTCAGGTCACAAAGCAAGTCTCCTTATCTTGCAGAAACGAGGATTCAAATATTTATGGGAAGGGCCTCCCTGGTGGCACAAGGGGTTAAGACGCAGCACTATGAAGCTACCCACAGCCACTGCAGCACGAGTTTGATCTCTGGCCAGGGAGGTGACCCACATGGTGCAGCAGACCTCTCCTGACTCGCCCACTGCTCCCCTCAGCAGTGTATTTCAGTCCATCTGCCTGTTCTGTTCCCCACTCTGTCTCGGGTGAATCCTCTCACCACCCACACCTCTGGCCTGTACCCCAGTTCTCGTATGCATAAATAAATAAATCTTTAAAAGAAAAAACAAATATTTATGGGAAGATAATATAACATCTGGCTTTTAAATTGTTTCACACTGGACAAAAGCAAAACAAAGGAAGACACTACTGCGTTTAACGAGGGTGACTGATGAGGCTGAGTGATGCGTAGACAGGAGTTCATGTATTAAGTACTCTCTGGAAGGTTGCAAAATCTCCCTCTAAAACAAAAACAAAACCGCAAAAGAATGCTGACAGGGTCCTAGCAGGCCATGAAAGTGTGAGAAGAGGGCCTGGCGGAGGTTGTGAATGCCAGCCACTATTGAATCCAGATGATTTCTGTCAGGCAATAGGGAACCACAGATTGCCAAATATTGGGAGTTTATTTTCAAGAGAAGCTGGAATCCCGGATGTTTACATGGAATTGGTTGTCCACCAGTTCACATTCTCAAAAATAAAATGCAGGCCAAAGAAAACATGTTTGTTGTTTGAGGCTGGCCCCCACACTGGAAGCTTGAGACCTCTGCTTGGGGCGGGAAGGGTGGGGGGGTACTGGGGAGGCCATGGACTCTGGAATTCCAAGGCTCAGGTTCAAATCTTGGCCTCACCTTTTTAAAGATATGCTGACCATGAGCAAATGACTTACCTCTTGGTGCTGCTATCACTAAAATAATAATCCCCTCCCATAGCTGTCCAGGGGGTGTAATGATTATGCTGAGCACAGGGCTCATAAAGCACACAGGAAACAAGTTACTATCACATCACTCTCACCTCGCTTCGACTTCCATGTACGGGAGCTGTCTGTACTTTGTCCAGATCCTCTTAGCTGAGTCTGCGCTATTTCTACTAATCTTCAGTTATCAGTATGATCTTGGCAACTCCCAAATCCCTGTCTCCAGGCCTGAGTATTGCCTCCTACACCTGGCCCAAGGCTGTCCCCAGATCCCTCACACTGTCACCATATGAGCTGAGCCTTTCCTCCTGGGTGGACCACGGGCAGTGGGTACAACGTGAGTGACAGTCATCCAGTCACAGGGCCAGACCTCAGGCGTCAGTCAGCTTTGCCCTTTAGATTCTGCAAACCCTGCCCCTCCGGCATCCCTGCTCATCCCCTCCTCTGCCTCCACAGCCCAGCGCTGGGTTCTGGCCCCATCTTCTTCCCCTCGGACTGCTGTTTCCCCTCCTCCTCTCTCCCTCAAGAGCAGCCCAGGCTTCTCAGGCCTGCGTGCTAGAGGACCCCGCAGGATCGATCACTGGAGTCCCTGGCAGAATTCCTACCGGGGCTGAATCATTACATAATATTCGAGGCACCCTACTTATCCAGAGAAACCATGGGAATTCTAGGGAAGTTTTTCAGAATCCAGAAAGACCATAGGAGTCTTGTCAGGATTTTAAGGCGCCCCGAGGAATCATTCTGCGGGGCATGGGAACCCGGGGTGGGGGTGTGTGCAGGTATTCTGAAGGGCTGCAGGTAACTGCAGGGAGCTCTAAAGAGGTCACAGCAGCCCCAGCGGTACTGAGGAGGCCCTGAGGGAATGGGTCTTGCAGGTCTCCGGGTGATCGAGAGCCCTCCAGGAACTGGGGTGAGGGGTCCGGCCGGGCCATGGGAGCCACGGGATGTCCTCGAGAACCATGGCAAGCCTATGGGGGCTTGAGGGTCCTTGGGGGACTACAGGAGTCCCACGGGAGGCCAGAGTCCCGGGAAAAGATGGGAGAATCTTAGGGGCTCCTGAGGCATCAGGAAAGACCCCTGTGAGTTCAGGATCCTGGGCGCACGAGGGCACTGGGGGTCACCCGGACTGGCCAAAGGGCGGAGGCGCCGCGGGCGCCTGGGGGCAGCGCGCGTCCAGCGCGAGTGGCGGGCGCCGCGGATGCCCGGGGGGGGGGGGGGGGCGGGCGGGCGGGGCGCGAGTGGCCGCGGAGGCTCACGGGAGGCCGCGCGGGAACGGCTGCGGGGGGGGCACACGCGCGGGCCCGCAGGGCCTCACCAGTGCGCATGCGTGGCTCTCGGGCACGGGTCCGTACTCCAGCGTGGAGAAGATCTCTCGAGCGCGGGACTCTGCGCGCGTCGCAGCCATCACCTGCCCGGGCCGCTTTCCACCAAGGACTGCGGGGCGCTCTGCCCTGGGGAACCTTGAGGTCCAAAGGGCGGCACCGCCCCCTCCAGCCCAGAGGGTGGGGCTACGGCAGCCTGAGCGCCACCCGCCTGGGGACCCGGCGACCCCGCCCAGAGGCGCCTCGGTGTGGCGCATGCGTAGTGCTCGAGGCGGGGGGCCGAGGGGAAGGGAAACGTGGGTGTCCCGAGGGCTCCTCTTTGGGAGGGTGCGCGTATCGGTGTCTCCCCTCCAAACGGTTCCTGTTGGGGGCGGGAAGTGCAGCTTTTACTCCCACAAATGCATTTATTATTCAGTTCAGAGGCCAGAGGAAATCTTTAAGGATGGACATTGAAACGAAGGTTTTCAAATTGCTCCCAGGAAGCTGGGCGCTTGCGGTTTGGGGAGCGGCGGAAGTGTGGCTCTCCCGACGCCGGAAGTGTGGCGCTCGGGGACCGGCGTTAGGGACCGCCTCGGGTGTAATTTTGATTGGTGGAAGCGAGGGCCAGGACTTCAGGCCTCGCCTGTGATTGGTCGCGGGCGGAATGCGGACTCAGGATTGGTGGATGAGCGTAGTCGGAAGTGTGGGCTGCGCGGTTGGTTACCGAGGGACCGGAAGTGTGGCTGTCACTCCGGGCACTGGAGTCGGAGAAAGCATCTAGGGATACTGGCTCCCAGATGAATTGACCCAGTGTCTGGTCTCACAGGACTTGTACTTTCAGGCCAGATTCTTAGATTTCGAGTGGAATAGTGGGTATCCCGGGTTGGCTGAGGATCCGAGAGCAGGCCCAGCGTTCGGATCCCGTCCAAGGCTCCCCCACGTCGGGGTTGCTGGGGACGCTTAGGTCTCTTCCCTAGGGCTATGGCGGACTCGACGCTGCTAGTGTCGGAGCTCAGCGAAGCAGAGGCAATGGGTGCCGAGAAGGCGCGTTTGGAGGAGCTGCTGCTGCAGGTGCGGACCGATCCAACGCCAGGTCCTGGGTTGTGTGCGCGCGCGAAAACAGGAGTTCGGTTTCCAGCACGGAGTAGGGCCTGTGGGAATTGTAATTGTTTAACTCCAAGTTTATTAGGCTCTGGAAGAAATGGGAGTGGAGTTGGGGGCTCTTCTTCGGGTTACTTAAAGGAGGGGAAGGACATCATTTGTTTTATTCTTCACACATCTCATATGCATGAAAATTGATCAATAAACATTTGAGGAACAAATGAGGAGTCTGATCTCACAGAAGCCAGACTTGAGGTTTTTCTTCACACAGGCCTCCAAGGAGCTCCAGCAAGCCCAGACAAGACCAGAATCCACACAAATCCAACCTCAACCTGGTGAGAAAGGCAGAAGCCCCAAGAGAGAGGGATAGAGACACAGAGGTGGACGGAGGCTGGCGGGGAGGGGACACAATAATAGGGTACAGAAGCCTGGGGTGGGGGTAGGAATGAACAAAGTACAAGGAGAGCCATCCGAGGGGAAGAAGTGAGTAGCGGAACTGAGAATTGAAAACAGAATGAGGGTCAGCGATCACAGGGTTGGGAGGGAAACAGTCCCAGAAAGTGGAAGCAGGGACCTAAAAAGGGGAACAGATTAAAACAACAAGAAACTATGGGGAGGACGGAATGAAATAGACCCATGCAGAGACCCATGCAGGATCAACCCTTTTCCACCAGGTTTCTGCATAAAGACTAACTCATCGGAAGGGAAGGTTTTCATCAACATCTGTCACTCTCCTTCCATCCCTCCTCCGGCTGATGTGACAGAGGACGAGTTGCTCCAAATGTTGGAGGAGGACCAAGCCGGGTTTCGTATCCCCATGAGTCTGGGAGAGCCTCACGCTGAACTGGATGCAAGTCAGTGCCCTCAGCTGACCCAGGAATCTAGTTTCTTGGTTCATTTTTCCCAGGGGCCATCCCTAGTCTCCTGGGCATCTGGCACCCACTGCATGGGGCAGTCCTGGTTTTGCCTGCCTGGGCAGGCAGGCACTTTCCCCCACCCTTACCCCAGAGAGAGCTGGCAGTAGTGCCAAGATAACTGTCACTCATCCATTTTCTCTCCCCCTGCCCTCTCTCCTGTCTCTGCCTGCTCTCATTTCTCTGTTGCATTTTTGTCTCTATATCCTTGTGTTTTTTGTTTTTTCAATGCTTATATGTCTCCTGAAGCTTCCTGGGACCAAGCTTTGGGCAGTGCCCTGGGGTGTAGGGACATAGCAAACTCAGATCTTGCCCTTGAGAAACTGCCCATCTGGGTGAGGGTGAAGGATACAGGTGTGAGTCCACTGTGGTCTGGTTGGTGCTCTGCTGGAGAGAGCTCTTCACCGATACTGAGGGGTCAGGGAAAGCTTCCTGAAGAAGGAGATGTGGGATGTAAGATTTGAAGGAACTGGAGGAGTTCATCAGGCCAAGACAGAGATGAGAGATCCGGAGGCCAGAGAGAATGATTGAACTGCATCGGTCACTAGTGAGAACAATAGGAAGAAATTTAAAGGGACTGGGTGGTTAGAGAAGGGAGCGACTTTCCACACTTGGGCCTCCGGGGCCATGCTCAGGGGCTCAGACTCCCGCCCTGGGGCGCAGGGAAGAACTGTGAGCATGGGAGGGTCAGCACCGGAGGGAAAGACACAGGAGGCTAGAGAGTCCAGGCTGGCAAGTTTGTGTCCTGAACCCTCTCCAGTTCTTAAGGCTGTGGTCCTTTTTTTTGTTTTCTTTTAATATGTGTCTGGATGGGGGGTTCCCATGGAGGCTGGAGGGGTCTCACCCCTTTCTCTCCCCGCAGAAGGCCAGGGTTGTACCGCCTACGATGTAGCTGTCAACAGTGACTTCTACCGGAGGATGCAGGTTGGGGGCAGAGCTGCGGGTGAGGCCTGGGATGGGGCCTCTCCCTGTACCCCCAGCCCTGGCCCTCTGCATCCCACATAGCCTCTCCTCCTCTCACCCCTAGAACAGTGATTTCTTCCGAGAGTTTGTCATCACCATCGCCAGGGAGGGCCTTGAGGACAAGTACGGCCTGCAGTTGAATCCAGGTGAGGGGTGGGGCCGGGGCGGGGCTGAGCCCTCAGCTAGTTGGGGGGCAGCCCTTGGGAGAGGTGGGTTAATATGGGGGTGTTCTTAGCCGTTGGGCTGTGGCTTTCAGGGAGAGGGCAGGGTGCCAGCCGAGCCTCTCCAGGGTCCAGGTAGGGAGTCCTGATAAGGCTGTTGACAGCTACCCTGTAAGGGGTGTGGTCCAGACAGCCTGGGGGGGTGGGGGGACGGAGCCAGGAGCACCTCCAGAGGGCAGGTTTTATTGGTGAATACTCAGGGAGGTCAGGGTATGGTGGGTCGCCTTCCCGACAACACGTCTGTGGGTATGGTCAGATGCTGGGCTTCCATGACGTGGTGGAGCCTCTCCCTGGAGACTCCTGGCTGAACCAGACCCCCTATGGCAAAGGGTGCCCGCATCCCTTCCTCCCCCAGAGTGGCGCATGTTGAAGAATCGGCCTTTCATGGGCTCCATCTCGCAGCAAAACATCCGCTCCCGGCAGCGCCCTCGGATCCAGGAGCTGGGGAGTCAGTACGCGCCGGACTCACAGAGCCCTGAGGAAGGGTAGGCCTTGGATGGGTTCCCTCTCCTGGGTCTCCTCGGTGCCCCTTTAAAGTCCTTCCTCCCCCGACAGGGAGGCGAGCTGGGACTCTGGGAAGCCGGAGAGTGGAGGGGCAGGACTCTGAACTGGGGCCACGGCCGGCAGGAGGAAAGCAGGCAGGGAACAGCACATCAGGCAGAGGGAACAGCCGGCCGAGACTTGGCAGCTCCCCCCATCCTGGGTGTTGTTCTTCCCCAGCCCAGAAAAGCCTCACCTGAGCCTTTGGCTGGAAACCCCAGACCTCCTCTTGGCGGAAATTGACCTCCCCAAACTGGTGAGTTCTCGCTGGACCGCGGGGGAAGAACGAGGTCTGGAGGGTGTGATCTGGGCTTGTTGCTCCGTGAACCTGGCCAGGGCTGAGCACCGCTGCCCCCGCGTCCCACTCTGGTGCTGCCTGATGGTGCCCGGGCATCGTTACTGCCTCCACCTTTCTCCTGGGGGTTCAGGCGCTTTAAATAGACTATCTGCACACATGAAGCGCTCTCCCCGGTCTGTTTTTGTCAGCCGGTTGTTGGGGAGGGAACGAGTGGGCTGACTTGACCGCATCTCCAGAATGGCGCCCTGGGGCTGTCGCTGGAGATTGGGGAGCACCGCTTGGTGGTGGGGGGCCCCCAGCAGCTCTACCGTCTGGATGCCTACATCCCCTTTCGGATCAACTGTGATGAGAGCAAGGCAGCCTTCCATCGGAAGAGAAAGGTACATGGCGGGTGGGCTGCAGGGGTCTGGAGTCCCGGGTCTGATGGGGGTGGGCTGCAGGGCTGTCCTCCTGGGTCCTAAGTTTTCCTTCTCCTCTGCTCTTTCCTCAGCAACTGATGGTGGCCATGCCCCTTCTGGGGGTGCCTTCGTGACCTGTGCCTCCCTGGGCTTCTGAGTGGAGCATAGAAGGCAGTGGCGGATCTAAAATAGAAATAAAACATGTTTGTCTTGATCCTTGTCTGGTGAGGTGTGCACGGGCAGCGGGAGGGGCGGAGGAGGTTACACCGAGGCCTGGAGTCCCCTAGAGGTCGCTGCCCCAGCTCAGGCTTCCAGTCGCTCAGACCTCAGTGGCCCCAGAGCTGCCCCTCTCCTGCTCACAGCCCCTCATTGGCTCCCCAGTGCCCCCAAAAGATCCCCGCCCCTCAGCCCAGCATTCAAGGCTCCTGTGGTCTGAGCCTGCCATGCCTCTCTTTGGCCTCTCCCTCCCTTAATCTCTCACTGAATGAAGCGCTGACCAAGTGGGTCTGTGCACCTTCCCCGAGTTCCTATTGTTCCCTTTCCGCAGCAACCCCACAGTGCAGCCCAGGGCATGTCTCTGTCTGACCCTCAGGGGACATTGCCCGAGCCTTACAGTGACCTGGGCCACACCTAGCTCCAGCCGCTCTACTCTTCCTGACCAGCTGCCCATCTCTGGGGTCGTGTGTCACATCCCAACCTACCAAGCAATCTCCTGCTTCCTGCAAATACTGTTTCCTCTGCTTGAGAGGCCCCGCAATGCTACGCCTCCCCCATCCCCATCAGTCCTTTTATCCATTTTTTTGCACCTTTCCTGGAAAGTGTTTCAGATCTTCCCTGGCTGAGCAGCCTCCCAATGGTCCCCAATATCTGACACAGGATTCATGAATGCTTGCCAACACCCGCTCCTCCCATAGTGAGTTCTGAGAGGATTCATAATGAGGCAGCATCAGTGGTAAATCTAAGAACAGCGAGGAGGCTTTGGGTGGATCCCAGTGAAGTGGGGGTGTGGGGAAGCGGATAGTCGACCGTGAAATGCAAAGGTTGGGGGATGATGTCCCAGTAGGGTCTGAACGAGCAAGTGTTGGCGCTGTGTCCACCAGAGGGCGCAGCGTGGTCTCGGCCCTCGGCCTCAGAGAACTACAATTCCCAGCAGCCCTCGGAGTGCGCGGCTGTTCCAAAGCAAGCGGTGAGGGGCAGCGGCCCTTGGGGCTTGTAGTTCGCATGAGGAACTGCGCGGCGCCTCCGTGGAAGACCGACGAACTCATTCCCAGGTCCAAAGTGTGGGACTAGATTCTTTCCACCTTCTTAGGTCTCCATGGTGATGGTTCCGGCGAAGTCCTGGGATTTGGCAGCAGCCTGGGCCCCCTTCCCACTCCCCCCTCTTCACCATCTGCTCCACCTTCACACCTGGCGCAGAGCCGCGGCCGCCGCCTCCACAGCCAGGCGGGGATTCTGCGGCCACTGGGTGGCGCGCGTGGACGGCTCGGCGGGCTGCTCCTCCCTCAGCCCCGGGAGTCCCGGCTCCCAGCCCCGCCCTCAGCCCCGGGGATCCGGAGCCCCGGCCTCCTCCTTCAGGCCCGGGGGTCCAGGCCCCCAGCCCCGGGGTGCAGCACCCCAGCCTCCTCCTTCAGCCCCTGGGGTGCAGCACCCCAGCCTCCTTCAGCCCCGGGGGTCCCGGCCCCCAACGTCCTCCCTCACACCTGGGGGTCCAGGCTCTCAGCCCCTCCCTCAGCCCCGGGCCCCCTCCCTCAGCTCCTGGAGTCCAGCCCCGGCCACCGGCCCTTGGGACCCCGGGTTTTCGCAAACACTTGCAAAACCGTGAGAGCCAGAGACCCAGCGAGACAAAGCTGGAGGCGAGAGGCCGCGGCGGCCGGTGGGGCTGCTGGGCCACCCCGTCGGTGGCGCCCGGCCGCCGCGCCGGCTGCTCCCTCCCAACCCTCGCGGGCTTGTGCCACATCATGAAAATTTAATCCCAAATGCATTTGCGGCCCGACGCAGGGAGGTGGTGGGGAGAGGAGCACCCTCCTGGGGCCTGATCTGGACTCCGGGTGAGGAGGGGGGCGGGTGGGGGAGAGGGGCTCGAGACCCGCCCGCCCGCCGGAGACCGAGCAAAGTCGGGGTTCCAGCTCAGAGGGGCGGAGCTGAGGATGGGGGGGGTGGAGTAACAGCCGGATCCCAGAGGGAGGGACACAACTCGGGGTGCGGGGAGAGAATTGGCGAGTGGGGTCAGAACTCACTGACTCCAGGGGCAGATTCCGAGTTGCGGGGGCAACATCAGGACAGGGGCCGATCCCAGAGGAGGGGACCCAGCTCAGGGGCGGGAGCAGAACTTCGGGGACAGGGACGGAACTCATCGATAGGAGCCAAAACTCAGAGGCGGGAGGTTATGATGGCCTGTTGGGGGGGTATAAAGTTGTGGGTGATGGAACTCGGAAGGGCAGGGAAGGGTGTGAAGGGCCTGGGGTGGCGAGATGCCCCCAAAGAGGAACTGTACGGAGATGGAATTCAAATGGAGAAAGATGGAGGCAGGTGGATGAAAGTCAAGGGGAAAGAAACCGATGGAGGGAGAGCTGGGGGGTGAGCGAGTGCATCCACATGGGGCTGGGAGGGGGTGGGGAAAGAAGTCCCCGAATGAGGAAAGAGCTCTCTGAGCAAGCTGACCTGGGCACGAGGAGGGATGGGATGGAATGGAATTCAGGGCCCGGCCTGCGGGTCCGGAGGCAGAGCTCAGCAGAGGCAGGACTGGGCGGTTGAAATGCAGAAAGAGAAAACCCAGGGGCAGGTGGCTTTGTAGGGGAGGAAACTGCGAGCACCGAATTAGGGGCAACTGGAGGGAGGGGCACAAATCGCAGTTGGGGAAGAGAACTCGGGAGGCGAGAAAATCTGGGACAGAAGTAGCGGCGGGAAATGGAACGGAGGGGAAGGGCCGATCTGGGGGCGATGCTGCTCCGGGGGGCGAGTTCAGAGCGCCGCGGTGAGGTCTTGGGGCGGGGGGCGGGGCCAAAAGGGTGAGGGCCGGCTGGGGCGGGGCCAGGACGCGGGGCGGGGCCTGGCGGGGGGGCGGGGCCTCCAGAGCCCCGCCCCCGACGCCGAGTCCAGTGACAGCCCCCCGGCAGCCGGCGCTCACAGCCTCCTTCCCCCCGAGCGGAGCTGCGGGGCCGGCCGGGCGGGGGCGGACCCCGGGAACCCGGACACGGCCGCCCGGGCCCGCGGGCGGGGGGCTCGGCGGGGGGACCGGCGCCACCATGGAGTTCCGCCAGGAGGAGTTTCGGAAGCTAGCGGGACGCGCCCTCGGGAGGCTGCACCGGTGAGCGCGGTGGGGGTCCTGGGCGGGGGAGGGGTCGGGGGGGGGCACTGCTTCCCACCTGGGCGCAGACGGACAGCTGGGCAGGAGACACCGGCGGATGAGTGGGATCCACCCATCTGACCAGTTTCGCCTCTCGGTCTCCGGCTGCGCCTCTCCCTGATCCAGCCTCTGTCTCCTCCAGCATCTCCTCTTTCATTTTTCTGCGCCCCACCCCACCCCAGTCTCTCTCCTTTTCTTTGGGACTATGCGTTTCCCTCTCTTTCGGCCTCTGACGCCCTCCCCCACTTCTGGATCTCTTCTGCTAGCTTCTCTCTGCCTCCTTTCTCCGGGTCTCTGTCCCTCTCTCTCCCGCTCTCACTAGCTCTCCATCAACACCTCTGCCGGGGGCTCTGTCCCCCTCTCTAGGTCTCTGACTCTATCCTTTTGGGTTCCTGTCCTCTCTGTCTCTCTCCCTGGATTGTTACCCCCGCCCCCCACCCCAAGTCTCTCCATCTCTGTCTTGTCCAGTTTCTGACTCTCAGAGTGTTTAATCTGAAGCTAAAGCGGATTGGGGCCCACTGGTCCTTGTCCTTGGGGAGAGATCAGCAGGGAGGCAGAAATCAGGGTATCCTGGGTCTCTGGGGGAGAAGGGAGTTACCTGCCAAGTCCTGGGGTCGCTCTGACGTCCCAGAGGATTTTGGTTAGAGCTGAGAGAGCGATCCTCACAGCCAGGGAGATGACCCCAGTGACCTGTGTGTCCCCAGGGCAGTCTGGACACCTCCCTCTACTCTCTCACCCCCAACCCCAGCCCTGGCTCCAAGTCAGAGAAATTACTCAGCTGCGGAGAAGCCTAAAAATATCTGGCCACAGTGCGGGGAGGGGACGGCCCATCCCCACGGTGCCCCTGCGCTGGTCCCTCAGCCCCTGTCTCCTGGGCCCATGGCCTTGACCCCATCCTTGGTTGACCCTCCGCCTGTCTCACGAAGCCATGCAAGTCCTTTTTGGAGTCTACCACTGGTCCTTCTAGCTGAAAGTGTCCCCACCTTCGAGTAACAGGAGAGATGGGAATAGGGCTGGGCAGAAGGGAGGGGGCAGGAGGAGGGTGCTGTGATGGGGAGGTGGGGGGGAGCTGAGATAACCTCACCCCTTCTTTTCCCAATCTTCCAGCCCCATCCCCACCCTTTTTCTCGCCTCCTTTCACGAGTTTCTCAAAATACATCAGTGCGAAGTCAGGAGAGGGAGAGAGACGTGTTGTTGGAGGGGGCTGGGGTGGAGGCGGGAGGGACGGGTTCCTCAGGCCCCCTCCCTCAGTCGCTGCTTCTTATCTTCTCATGTGACTCCTTGGTCTGGCTCTGCCTTCCCTCACCTCTCTGAGCTACCCCCCACCCCAGCACCCTGAGACCCCAGAGTTCAGTACTCCCAGAACAGTAGCCAAGGATGTGGAATTGGGAGAGTATTTACATCTGAATCCTGGGGTTCACTTGGAGGGTTGCAGAGAAGAGCAACATAACACCCTGATTGCCTTTAATCACTAAACAACCTGCGGAAACTGAGGCTTGGCCTGAGCAGGCAGAGAGATCAAAGGATGAGGAGAGATGCCTTCACTCCAAGCTGGTCAGCGCCCTCCCGAGTCTGGGAGGGGGCCTGAGGACGTTCCTCGAGAGGAGTGATGGAGTGGGTGGAGAACTCCCTCAGGCCAGGAAACAGATGGAACCCTTGGGACAAGGATATGGGGTTGGGGAGAGGCGATTCAGGAGAAATGTGGAGCCAAGCAAGGGGCGAAGCAATGCTGGGGGACAGGAAGGGCTCAGATGCCAGAGATGCTTTTGTTTGTGACCTTGGACTTCTGTTTTCTGAGCCTCGGTTTCTCCAGTTGTCTGATGGGAAGAGAAGGGGGAAGGGACCAGAGGGACACGGGGGAGCAGAGGCCCAGGGGACCTTACAGAGAGCCCAGCGGAAGCAGAGACCCAGAGCAGGGGGCACTGAGACACCCTCTTCATTTTGGTCCACTGCCCCCTCACCGGCCCAGACAGAGGCCCGGGTATCCAGGGGGTGAGTGGTCCTCCATTCAGGCTCTCCTGATCCGTTCCTATCCTCTTCACAGCACTGGGGTGACCTTCATCTCAGCACCCCGTGTTCTTTTATCCTGAAATGATAGTCACGGTGTCCAGAACAGGCCTCCCCAAGACCTGCCGCTTTGGCATGTGGATTATTTCCTACTGAGGTCGGTCAGTCGAGCCGCTGTGGGCTCACAAGGAGCGGGGAGTCCTAGGAGAGGGAAATTGGGGGTCTTACCCAGGATTCAGGTTACCACTCAAAATACGCTTCCTTTCTGAATAACCTGTCTATATAGCAGGGCGGACATCTCCTTACAGAGCCCCTGTTCTTGGTCACGTGTGGCCTCCATCCTCGAAGCCCCCGGCCCCCATTCTACGCCTTAGCTTAGGGGATACACCTCGTCTTACCCCGTTCCCCAGACGCCTCCTGTCTATGTCCATTTCCAGTATGGATGAAATCAAACTGGTTCTCCCCTCCCCCCTAGCCCCCCTCTGATGGTCCCTCTGATTACTGGACAGCCTGAGAAGAGCCCAGAGGGGAAGTTGCCCCCTCCCGCCACGGCCATATTACCTTTGAAGTTCCCTTGTGCCCATTTCATAGACGTGGGCTACGGAGACCTCCCCTCCCCACCGAGCCAGCCGGCTCGGGGATCTGTGGACTCCGAGGAGAACAATGCAGATCAAATTTCCGGGGCTGCAATCACGCCCTGAGTTTCAGGGTCAAATAGCGTCGGAGAGCAACCTGGGTCAAAGCCGGCTCCCATTGGCTGACACGGCCGGGTGGGCGGGGCGCCCCGCCACACCGGTCGAGTCCCCCTGGGGGCTTCCCTCCCCCCCCCCCTGCTCTGTCTCCCCTCTCTCAGGGTCCCATTCCCCCTCCCGGGTTCTGTCCATTTCTTACCCCCCCACATCATTCTTTCCCCCACCCCTGTTTCTTAGCCCCCCTCCCAGTCTCCTTAAGTTCTGGAATGGGAGGGTGGCTGTGTTCTCTCATCTCTTCCACCCGCCTCCCCCCCCAACCGTCTGGCTGTTCTTTCCTCCCCCGTCCCAATCTCCCTCGCCTCCATCTGTTCTAGCCCCTTCCTGGGATCCAGCCCGGTCCCCTGGCTGCCTGGTGCCTCAGAGAGAGGCCGCACCTCACAAATCACATCCCCAGCCTGTCTCAGTCTCTTAGTCTCTCTCAAGCTCGGCGTCTGCATCCACAGTCTCTCTCCTGGCTTCGGTCCCCTCCCTCTCTGGGTCCTTGCCTTGCCTCTTCCTTCTTTTGGGGTCTCTGCCCATCTTATTCTCTTCCTCTCTCCCTCTGGGTCTCTCTCTCTCTCTCTCTCTCTCCATCTCTTCAGATCCCCCCAGATCTCTCCCTCCTTCTGTGTCTCTGACCCTCCTTCTCTCAGCTTCTGCCCCCCTCCATCTCTGTCACCCTCCATACCTGTCTCAGGGCACCTCTCTCTCCCTGCAACCTCTCTCTGGCTTCGAGCTGGCCCTCCAAGTACCCTCTCTGTCATCACAGACTCAATCCTGGATCCAGAACAGGCGGGGGCGAGAGCCGTGCTGGGGACTGAGCCAATCCCCCTACTAGGACCATCTGTCCCTTGCCAGGACACCACCCGCCATTCCCCCTCCCTACCCCCTGGGCTGACAGCCTGAACTCAAGTTTCCCCAGGGATGTCCGGCTGGGCTGCAGGGTTGCAGAACCTGGACATCGCCCCACCCTGTCCCAGAGAATGGACTTCCAGTGGCTGAATCGAGTCAGCAGGCTGTCAGCCCCACACCTGGGACCTGGAAGCTGGAAGGGCATGGGAGGAGGGAAGGAGGGTCGGTATATATAGCAGGCATGGCTGAGAAGCATCTGTTCTTTTGACACCTTTTGCTGAAGCATTTCCTTAGCGCCTTTTGCTTCCTCAAATAGACTCATCTAGGAGAGGGGGCTGGAGAGAGTCTCTGGGGTGGGGGTTGGGGGCACAGGCTCTGGATTGCAAAGAGTAGTCTAGGGCCTGAAACTCCAGTGGAGGGGCTTCCCTTGGTGCTGCAGGGGCTAAAGTGTCAGCACTATCAAGCTGTCGCCAGCCACTGCAACATGAGTTCAATCCCCAGCCAGGGAGCTGACCCATATGGTGCAGCAGACCTCTCCTGTCTCCCTGCTGCTCCCCTCAGCAGCGTATTTCAGTCAGTCCACCTGTTCTGTTCCCCACTCTGTCTCTGGTGAATCCTCTCACCTCCCTACACCTCTGGGCTACACCCCAGTTCTTGTATGCATAAATACATCTTTAAAAACCCAACCCACCAACCAACCAACCAAACAGACTCCAGTGGAGAGATGACAGGCTGGGGGTGAAGGGAATGAGGCCCTCCTTTGAGCGGGGAGGAGAGGGCAGGGGGCATGGAACTGATCTGAGGGAGCTGGAGACTGGGAGTCCAGATCCTGCATCCTGCGGAGAGAAGGGAGCTAGGACCGCTCTCCAGTCTCATGAGGTGGAGGGGCTGGGGGCCTGATGTCCAAGTCTCTGACTCTTGCTTCTCCGCAGCCTTCTGGAGAAGCGGCAGGAAGGTGCAGAGACGCTGGAACTGAGTGCTGACGGGCGCCCGGTGACCACGCACACCCGCGACCCGCCGGTACTGGATTGCACCTGCTTTGGGCTCCCTCGCCGCTACATTATCGCCATCATGAGCGGTCTGGGCTTCTGCATCAGCTTTGGCATCCGCTGCAACCTCGGCGTGGCCATCGTGTCCATGGTCAATAACAGCACGACCCACCGCGGGGGCCACGTGGTGGTGCAGGTAGCCGCTGGAGCGATTCCGCGCCCTGCTCGCCCCTACGAGCGCCCACACCCCTGGTGACATCACGTGGGCCCCCGGAGAAGTCCAGACCACGCCCCTTCAAATCACAACGGGGCGGGGGGCGGGGGCCCAGCTCATCGGTGCCGCCCCCTCCGCTGGATCCTAGCGTGGAAACCAGCCTCTGGGCGCGCCCCTTCCGAAGCCCCGCCCAGATCTAAATGAGGCCCCGCCCGAGAGAGTTCAAGTCCCTGATTTGAAAATGTAGACTGTTCCAGATTAGCTCCCCTAAGTGTGACCCCTGCTCCGTTTTGGGCGCCCTAGCAGCATTGCACCCCTGCTTCCCACGCCGGACCCAGGGTCACATCTGCTTAATCCCAGTCCCCTCGCAGGCTCTCCTCTGAATTTCTGAAGTTGCTCTGCTGAGTCCCGCTAGGTCTTCTCTGGCCCTTACTTATAGCCCCTCTTCCTCCCAGGCCATCTCCACTATTTTAATTTCAGTGTGGGCTGTGTCCCTACCTCAGAAAAAGCCCTGATTTGGACTGTGGTCTGCTTTGCCCCCTGATTCCGCCCAGTCGGCCTTTTTACCTATTTCTAGTCCCTGCCTAGATTCCCTCCAAATCATTCCGCAAACAGTTCGTAAGTCGGTTAGCAATGGAGAGAGAGCCCTGGCTCTCGCATAGGGTCCCCTAGATATTCACAGAGGGGGCAGGAGAGCAGGTAAAGTGAGATTTCCGGGCGGCAACAGGCCCCGTTGCTAAGGTAGTGCGGCCCTAGCAACGTGGGGGCGCCGGGGGTGGGTGGGAGAGAGGGGATCCTTGCTGCTGATTGGCCCAGGGGCCGCCCGTGAGTGCTGATTGGCGGAGAGGCCGAGCCGGAGCAGGGCGGCGAGTTTGACGCGCCTTTTGGCCCACAGAAAGCTCAGTTCAACTGGGATCCCGAGACTGTCGGCCTCATCCACGGCTCCTTTTTCTGGGGCTACATTGTCACCCAGATTCCCGGAGGATTCATCTGTCAAAAATTCGCGGCCAACAGGTACGGGGTGGGGTCTGGAGGTGGGCGAGAACTGCTAGGGTGTGGGTGGCGTTGCAGGGTGTGGCTTTGCATTTTGGGGTACGCTCCTGGAAAGCTGGAGGACCCTGAGTTCGGGGACCGGTTCTTAAAGAAAGGCTGTGTTTGTGGTTGTGGAGGGTAGGAGTCACACAGAAAGTGGGGGCCGGGGCTTTAGGGGACGCAGAGTCTGGCCTCCGTGGGCAGGAAGGCCAGATTGCTAGGCATGGCGGGATCGCTGGAGCCTTTTGTGGGACCACGGACTCTTCCCGTCAGGGTTTTTGGCTTTGCCATTGTGGCTACATCCACGTTAAACATGCTGATCCCCTCGGCGGCCCGCGTCCACTATGGCTGTGTCATCTTCGTGAGGATCCTGCAGGGGTTGGTGGAGGTAAATCCCGGCCCCATATGACCCCGCCCCCGGTCCGACCCCGCCTCTTCTCCTTGACCTGGGTTTTCTCCGCCTTAGGGGGTCACGTACCCCGCCTGCCATGGAATCTGGAGCAAATGGGCCCCGCCCTTAGAGCGGAGTCGCCTGGCGACAACAGCCTTTTGCGGTGAGAGGAGGGGGCGCCGGGTGTGCAGACTTGCGGATCCGAGGGTTGGGGGGAGCTGGGGCCGGGGTCCCGGGTCTGAAGCAGGAGGGGCTGCGGGTGCGGGCTGAAGTGTCTGAGGAAGGGTGGGCTTGTCTCCCCCCCACGTCGTCCCCCTAGGTTCCTACGCTGGGGCGGTGGTCGCGATGCCTCTGGCCGGGGTCCTGGTGCAGTACTCGGGGTGGAGCTCCGTGTTCTACGTCTACGGTGAGGGGCCCAGACACCGGGTCTGGGTGGCGCTGGGGCGCGGCGAGGCCGGTGGTCACCTCGCTTCCATCCCCTCCTGAACCCCCCAGGCAGTTTCGGGATCTTCTGGTACCTGTTCTGGCTGCTCGTCTCCTATGAGTCTCCGGCTCTGCACCCCAGCATTTCGGAGGAGGAGCGCAAGTACATCGAGGACGCCATCGGCGAGAGCGCCAAACTCATGAACCCGGTCACGGTTCGGGCTCCAGCCTGCGCGGGGTGGGGCGCGGTGGGGAGCCGAGAGATGGGCAGGTCGGAGGCCTTGAACTGGAGGAAGGGGGCGTTGAACCCGCGCAACGAGTAGCTCCGAGCGGCTTCCTGCCGGCTCTGGGAGAGGAGGTGGGCTTGCGGGGGGCGGCGTTAGAACCTGGAGGTGCCGGGCTAAAGCCGGGAGCCCCGGTCAGTGGGCGCCGAGGGCGGGCCGGGTCGCTCGATGGGCGGGACCACGGCCTCTGGTGGGGTGTGGTTAAAACCAGCAGCGGCCAGACCCGAACGCGGGGTTTCACTTAGACCTTGGGGGTGGATGAGGCTAGAATTAGGGGTCGTGAATTGAATGAAGAGACCCCTGGGTCCCTGAGGGTCATCGTGGGGTCCGGACACCCGCGAACTTGAGGGGTCCCTGCCTCCCTGAAGTGTCACCAGAGTCCTCAGAGGGTCAAAGTGAGGCCGGTCTGAGGAGCTGTAGTGGGGCCCCCGAAAGGGCAGGCAGAGCACCCTGCTCTGGTCTCTGCCTTAGCGGTCTGTCCTGCCGCCCCCACAGAAATTTAACACCCCTTGGCGGCGCTTCTTCACGTCCATGCCGGTCTACGCCATCATCGTGGCCAACTTCTGCCGCAGCTGGACGTTCTACCTGCTCCTTATCTCCCAGCCTGCTTACTTCGAAGAAGTGTTCGGCTTCGAGATCAGCAAGGTCGGGGGGCAGGGGGCATGGCAGGGGCTGAAGCGGAAGGACCGGGATCCGAACCCCAAGGGGTTGGAACCCAGGGGCAGGGAGGCAGCCGCGGGCCCTGACCGCCCGCCCTCTTCTCCCGCGGGCGCAGGTGGGCCTGGTGTCGGCGTTGCCCCACTTGGTCATGACCATCATCGTGCCCATTGGCGGCCAGATCGCGGACTTCCTGAGAAGCCGCCGCATCATGTCCACCACCAACGTGCGCAAGCTGATGAACTGCGGGGGTGAGCGCGGAGCGGGCGGGCGTGGCGGGCGGGCGGGCGGGGCGGGGCTCCGGGAGGGGCGTGGCGGTGGGCGTGGCCAAGAAAAGCCCGGCTCGGGGCGGGGCCTCCACGGGGCGGGGCGGAGACGGGGAAGAGCTGGGCGTTGGGGAGAGAGTGGGGGGCCTGGCGATGAAGTCTGCCTAAGGAGCGGGGCCAGAGGGAAGGGGTGAAGGTTCCAGGTGGGACCCGACCCTGCATCTCCAGGGCCCCCCGGGGCCGTGGAACTCGTGGCGATCCTGGGCCGCGCGTCGGGGAGCTCAGGACTTGGGGAGCGCGGGCGGCGCGGGGAGCTGCGCGGGCCCGCGCGAGGCCGTCAGGCGGGCGCGGGGAGTCGGCTGCGGCGGGGACGGGTTGGAGGGGCGGCGTGGGGCCAGGGGAGCTCAGACGAGGCGGCCCCCTAGGTTTCGGCATGGAGGCCACGCTGCTGCTGGTGGTCGGCTACTCGCACTCCAAGGGCGTGGCCATCTCCTTCCTCGTCCTCGCCGTGGGCTTCAGCGGCTTCGCCATCTCCGGTGAGAACCGCGGGTCCGCCGCGTGGCGGTCTCTGGTCGGCCCTGTGGGGAGCTCTGCGGGGCAGGAAGGGGCCCTCCCAGGCCTCGCAGAAATGGGCTCCAAGAGCAGCGGGGTCCGGTGAGGCTGGGGGGAGGCGGAGCGGGTCAGCGGCCGGCGCCCGCGGGAGATCCGGTGACTCCGCCTCCCTCCGCGCCAGGCTTCAACGTGAACCACCTGGACATCGCCCCGCGCTACGCCAGCATCCTCATGGGCATCTCCAACGGCGTGGGCACGTTGTCGGGCATGGTGTGCCCCATCATTGTGGGCGCCATGACTAAGCACAAGGTCTGTGTGGCACCTGACCCGCTTGCCCTCCAGATTTGTGTGTGGTCCCTGTCTGAAGTGCCCGCCCGCCCTGAACTCACTGCCCCCCCTCTGGGTGCCCTTCAGGCTCTCCGATGGGTCCCCCGTCTGTCTCTGGCCTGTCTCCTCTTTGCAAGTTCTCTCCCCACCACTCCTGTTTCTCCCAGGGGACTCTGTGACCCCAGCCCCCTTCTATCCCCCTGCAGACTCGGGAAGAGTGGCAGTATGTGTTCCTGATCGCCTCCCTGGTGCACTACGGGGGTGTCATCTTCTACGGGGTCTTCGCTTCTGGAGAGAAGCAGCCATGGGCAGAGCCTGAGGAGATGAGTGAAGAGAAATGTGGCTTCGTAGGCCATGACCAGCTGGCTGGCAGTGACGAGAGCGATATGGAGGATGAGGCTGAGCCCCCCGGAGCACCTCCTGCTCCTCCTCCTTCCTATGGGGCTACACACAGCACATTTCAGCCCCCAAGACCCCCACCCCCTGTCCGGGGCTACTGACCATGTGCCTCCCACTGAATGGCAGTTTCCAGGACCTCCATGCCACACATCTCTGGCCTGAATGACAGTGTCAAGGAGCCCCACTCCTCAGTCCAGCCTCAGGCCTAAGAAGCACTCTCCCTGGTTCCCCCTGCTGTCAAGTCCTCTTCCCCTCCTGAAGGCCTCTCAGGGGTAATGAAGCTGTAGAATGGCAGTTTCAAGGATACCCAAATTCCCCCAAAGGTTCCCTCTCCACTTGTTCTGCCTCAGTGGTTTCAAATCTCTCCTTTCAGGGCTTTATTTGGATGGACAGTTGAATCTCTTACTCTTGTGGTTTTGGGCACCTGCCCCCTTTTCCTTTAACCCCAGGGACTCTCAGGCTAACCCCTGTGATTTCTCAGCCCCCCTCTCCCTTCAGAAAAACTCAAGGTCTTCCTCTAGAAGTTTCAAATCTCTCTCAACTCTGCATTTTCCAGGTTGGGCTAACCAACCACCCATCCCCGCTGTTCTAGGGTTTGATTCTCACCAGCGTTTCTGAGGGAAAATGGCGGTTTCAAGTCCCCCCTTCACCTCTCCCTCCACTAGCAGAGTCTGCTGTTGCACCAAATTCCCCAGGACCTCCCTAGCTTAGCACAATGTCTAGGGGAGCAACCAAAATGGCGGTTTTAACGAAATGCTTCTTATCACCCCCATGCACTTTTTTCTGACACGGTTTTCAGGTCTAAATAGTGGCTGCTCGGCTCCATCAACGCAATGGTTTGAGCCACCAACCATTGAACGTCCCCATGGTGGTTTCAAGATGCCCTCATGCCCCCAATTCCTTGCACTTTATTCTCCTGGGTGGTTTCAAACTACCCTCATTTTCTCAGTGGCCATTTGTTGTGTCCCTCAGGGGCTAAATGACTCATGATCTGGGATCTTCCCCTCTCCGATGCCCCTTCTTCAGCTTAGAATTTGGGGAGCATATGTAGAAGTGACAGAATCCCAGGAATGGGAATGGGGAGAGGGGGAGGGGTGTTCTTTCCCAGGGCAGGTTTGTGTCTTTGTGTCTCTGTCTCTGTGATTGTAAATCCTGCCCTGCCCCACTCCCAATAAAATGCTTTGGTGGACACAGTCAGTGTCGTGGGGGTCACAAGAAGACCAGGCCCACCTCCTCCCTCAGACCCAGGCATCCAGGCCCCCAGCCCCTCTCCCTCAGGAGGCCCATCTCCTTCCTCCTCCTACCCCCCTCCCTCACACCCGGTATCCCCCCACCCCACACTCCCTGCCCCCCAGTCAGGTGGTCAGAGGGTGTGTAACCGTGGGAACATGCGCTTTATTCGGCTTCAGCCGGTGTTCTCCGGTCACCGCGAAAGCATTCCTGTCTTGGACCCTCTATCCGAGAGGCCCACTATGTAGCAAAGCAGGCCTGGAGGACAGGACCTCTGGGACCTTCCTCTGTCTGGGGTTGGCGCAGATCTGGCGGGGCCCGAGCGGGGCTCACACGAAATTGTTGGGGAGCGTGGCTGGGGAGAGCGGCTCCAGGCGCTGGGGGCGGCCCCCGCGGGGCGGCGGGGGCAACTTGGGCGGCAGCGGGGGCGTGGGCGGTGGCTGCTTGGTGGAGATGTGTGAAGGGACCCAGGCGTCGGGCGCATAAAAGTAGAGGTCGTAGGGGTCCTTCGGAGTGTCCAAATGCATAACTGTGGGAGCAAAGGAGCGGGGTCACCCCCTGGCTGGCACGGGGCTGGCCGGCTCTGCAGCGCCGAGGGCCGGGGAGGAGGAGGCGAGGGGGGATTCTGATCAGCCTTTCCAAGTGGGTTTTCGAGTCAAAGGGGGAGGGCGCCTGAGCAGGCGGGGGGCGTGGTCTCGCCCAACGGGGGCGGAGCCTCCCGAAGGGGCGGGGAATGCGGGGCTCGCGCTCTAGGCAGGGGAGGGGCGGGGCTTGTGGGGGTCTCTGGCTCCCCGCCAGCTGAGGAGCCCCCCACCCCGGGCAGGGGCGGGGCGGGACGTGAACACGACATTGCTGAGAACTGGGAGGCCGGACCTGGCCAGGGAGGGCTCAGAGCTCCTCTTAACCTTTCAAGGGGGGGGGTCTGTCCTTTTGGGTGGGGCACCCTAAAGTGCCAGGACAGGCGTGCAAAGGAGGGACGCCGTAAGGGTCGCTCACCCGGTTCGTCTCCGTCGTTCGGAAGCCGGTGGTGTGCGAAGGGCCGGTGCCGGCTGGCCCGGCGGTAGAGACACCACAGCAGCAGGAAAATGCCGATCAGCAGCCCGGTCCCCGCGAGGAACAGGCACAAGGCCCCGCCCGCCACGCCCCGGGGGCGTCCCACCAGAGTCACCCCTGAGGAAGGAGGCCCAGAGGATGAGCAATCGAAGCCCCCTACCCCCTTCTCCCTCCGACCCAGAGTTCGGGGCTACAGGCCCCTCTTCCCTTCGCCCGGAAGCCCCGGCTCCCAGCCCCTCCGCCCGCGGACCCGGGAGCCCCTCACCGGTCTCCTCCACTCGCTCCACCACGATGATCGTGTTGACTCTCTCACCTCGGCCGCGCCTTTGGGGGGCCCGCGGAGTGGCGGGGGCCGGCTTATTTGGGGGCCCTGGAGGAGCAGGGGGGCCTACAATTCGGCCTGACGGAGGAGGGGTGTTGGGCCCTTTAGGGCTAGAGTTTTGGGGGACTGTCGGCTCCACGGTCCCGGAAGAATTCGAAGTGGGTAATTTAAGGAATTCGGGCTGGGTAGCTGCTGGGGTTTCTGGTTTGGGGTTCTGGGGCCGCTCATTTAGGGCAGTAGCTCCCTCCTTGAAGGGTGCAGGCGTTTCTGGGTGAAGACTAGCTGCGGTCTCCAGGCCGGAGGCCACGGGTGTCTCTGATGCATCTTCGTAGTGGGTTGTGGGGATTTCTGTTTGGGGAATTTCAGTAGGGCTGTGGGTTACATGGGATGCTGGGCCAGGGGTTTCAGTAGGGTCAGAATGGAGGCTCTGAGGGAATTCAGAGTTTGGGATGTCAGTGGCTTCTGGGTTGTGGGTTTCTGGAAAACTGGGGTGAAATGCGTTGGTGGGGTTAGGATTTGGGGTCTCAGGAGCTTCTGCATATGAAATTTCAGTGGAGTTAGGTTTGGGAATCTCTGGGGATTCTTGGTGTAGAATCTGGGTAGGCTTCGGGTTTGAGTTTTCAATAAAAGCTAAATTAGCTTTGGGGGTCTCAGGGGACAGGGGAGGTGGAATTTCAGTTGGATCAGGTTGGGAGGTCTCGGAAGGTTCTGAATGTGTTGTTTTGGAGGGGTTAATTTGAGGGTTCTCCAGGGATTCTGATATTGAGGTGTTAAGTGACTTAGGCTGGGGGTTCTCAGGAGACTCTGGGTGTGGGATTTCTGGGAGGTCAGGTCTGGGGGTCTCAGAGACGGCAAGGGGAGAGGGCTCAGGGGAAGCCACATGAGGTGTCTTGGAGGGCTCTGGAGAGGCAGTCCCAGGGAATTCTGGGTCAGGAAGGTCCCGAGCGGAATTTTCAGAAGGGTGGGGGGAGGTTTCAGAGGGATGGCCCATCTCCGCGAAGCCCGCAGACGGTGAGGCCGAAGGGGCGGCCCTGGAACCCAGCGGAGCCAGGAGGAAGGCGAGGAGGAGGAGAATCGGGCTGAAGGATTTCATGGCTCCGGGAGACGCCTGAGCTGCGGAGGGAGGGGGGAGCGGGAAGGAAGGGGTTAAGGCCGGAAGCGCTGAGGAGCCCCTGGGGGCTCCGGGAGGGCACACGCGCGCGCGCGCGCGCACACACACACACACACACGCACACACACACGGCCACGCCCACTGATCCCCAGGTAGACCTGGTCCCCAGCTCCGCTAGGCACCCGGGAAAGTTGCCTACTGCACCTCCCAGAAGGATGTGGGGCGGTCGCCGCGTAGCCAAGGGAGATTGAGGCGCGGGGCTTCCTGGGAGTCGTAGTTAATTTCCTCGTCGGTTTCTCCCACGGGGTCCCAGGAAAACTGGCAAAGAATGACCCCTCTCCACGCCCTTAAACCTCGTCTACTGGGACTTCGGAGGGTGCACACCTCGAGGGGACGCGGGAAAGCCTTCCTCCCCGAGCCCCGGGGGCTCTTTGACCAGTTGTTTACTGCGCCTCCCCGAAGGGAGGAAGGAGTCTCAGGGGAAGACTTAGGGTGGGGGCAGACTCCAGGATCTGAGGGAGGAGGGGCTGGGGGTCTGGGCTCCAGGATCTGAGGGAGGAGGGGCTGGGGGCCTGGACCCTCGGGTGTGAGGGAGGAGGCTGGGGGTCTGGGCTCCAGGGCCTGAGGGAGGAGGCTGGGGGTCTGGACTCCAGGGCCTGAGGGAGGAGGCTGGGGGCCCCAACGCCTGGATCTGAGAGAGGAGGAAGACTTCAGGGTCTGGGCAGGAAGACTGCTGGGGATTCAGACTCCTGTGCCCTGAGGGTGGAGGCCTCTTTGGGTCTAAACTCCTGGTTATTCAGGGAGGTGAGGCCCAGATCAGATGCCTAGAATTTGGAGCAAAACGGAGGGGCTGGATTACAGAAGAGAATGGAGATAAGAGTCTAGAACTTCTGGGTCCTGAGGTAGAAGGGGTTTGGGAGCTCTGAGTCTTGGATCCTCCAGAGATAGGGGTGGAAGGGTCTGGATTCCTCTGCCTTTGGGGGAGAGAGCTGTGGGGCAGCACTAGGTCTGTTTACTGAAGGTGAATGGAGATCTCAGGGCCTTGGGGGCTCACCTAGGGCAGAGATGCTTAAGTCTGTGGACAGGCGGAGGTGGGAAGAGCAGACACCTGGATGGGACAAGGTCACTCGGGGGCCGGGGGTGTCTTACCTGCTCCGTGGGGTCCGAGGTAACGGCAGGTGTGCAGAGCTGGATGCAGAGCTGGGTGAATGCTGCAGAGTGACTCTGGGCGGGGCAGCAGGAGGTGGCATCCCCAGGGCCAGGGTGCTGCACCTGACCCCCTCCCCAGGGATCCTGGGAGCCTAGCAACGGGCTTGGACTCTTAAAGATACAGCGATAAAGGAAGCTGTCTCTGGTGTGGGGAAAGGAGTTAGAGACTGGGTGATCTGATGGAGCCATGTGCCCCAAAACCCAGCTTCCCTTTGAAACCAAGAGTCTCCTCCAAACCCAAGAACCCACATCCCTGTTACCCTCCCAATCCAAGACTCTGGTGTCTGTGTGAGCGTGTGCGTGTGTAGGGGGGGCTGCTAGATCCTCAGTCCAGGAATTCAGGGCCCCAGCACCTCTTTCCCAGGAGTCCCAGAGTTCCTCTCCCTTCATTTCCTGTACCCAGAAACCCAGCCCCTGTTCCCCTCCTCTCTGGCGAGTTAGGAGTTGGCTTCCCGGGTCTTGTCAATCCCAGCACAGTTGGCCCCTGCCTCATGGGACTTCCCAACCTTTGCCTGCTGTGCAGAGGGCACCCTCTTAAGGGCCAGTGTGTGTGTGTGTGTGGGGGGGGATTGGCTCTTCTCATTACACCACCCCCAAACTCCTCCCCAGGAAGGATTTGCACACAGGGCCTTTGCCCATCTCCACCCCCTCCTCTTCCAGGTCTCTACTTTTCTGACTCTGCCTGTCCCCTTCCCAGCCTTCACCCTCCGCCACCAGCACCCTGTGCCTTCTCTTGTGCACCCCCCCTTCTTGATTCTCTCCCGACCCGGATTTATCTCTGGGCTCTCTGTCCAGGCTGGCTGTCCTTCTGTCCCCATCTGTCTGTCTTCCCTCCTCTCAGCCTCCGTCCCCCTCTCTTCTCCTCGCTCCCTTCCTGCTCGTGTCTCCCTCTCGCTCCCTTCCTTCCTCTTCCCTTCTGCCACTGTCTTTGTCTTTCCTGCTCGTGGTGACTTTCTCATCTCTTTGTATCTGTCCCCCCCCCAGTCGGTCCCCAATGGCTCCCCTTTTCTGTGTCTCTCTGGCTTCTGCTCTGAAGGTCCGTCCCCGTCTCTATTTTTATCCCTCGGACACACCCCACGTCCCCTTCTCTGTCTGGCCCTCCCTCCACCGCAGGTCCCGGCTCCCGGTCCCAATTAGTTTGGTGGCCGCTACCGGTGGCAGGGCCCCCACCCCCGGGCTCCTCATTACCGCTGGCAGCTCCTAATGAGCCTGGGGGGGGCTGACCCCGTGCCCCCGGCCCCTGGTTTGCGTCACCGGCCGCTGCGGGGGCTGGGGCGGCAATATAAGGGGGCTGCCAGCCTCACCCGCCAAGCCTACTGCGCGGTAGGGGACCCTGCAAGTGGGTTTCATCAGGTGGGTGGATGGTGGGGCCCGGGGTCTGGGGCGGGACGCGGACCCCACTGAGCCCGCCCCTGTCTGTCCACAGGTGATGGAGACCCGCCAGGTGCCCAGGAGCCTCCGGGTGCGGCTGCTGCTGTTGCTGCTGCTGGTCGTGCCCTGGGGCACCCCCACGGCCTCGGGCGTCGCCCTGCCCCCCGCAGGGGTCCTCAGGTACGTGCGGCGCCCAGGCTCCCCGTGGGGGGTGGCGACGCCGAGCCGTGGGGACAGACCCAGAGGGGAAGAGAGACCCAGAGAGGGGGGGCCGGGGCGGACGGGGAAGCAGCAAAGGTACAGAAAGATGCCAGGACAGGCGTGGAGCGACTCGGAAGGAGTCAGGCCGAGCCCGGCCGCGCCGGGACACTCTGGCTGTGCGCCAGGCCGCGCGCCGGGGGCGGACCAGTGCCTCGGCTGGGTCGCGGGGCTCGGGGAGCTCCCGCCGGGCGAGGAGAGACAGAGACGCCCCCGCACCGAGAGATCGAGCCCGAGCCGGCCGCCCCAGCCGGGGCAGGAGCCGGGCTCGGGGTCGGCCCGCGGGGGGCGGCCCGGCGGCGCGCGCGAGGGGCCCGGGCGCGCGGTCACCGCTCTCCGCCTCTCCCGCAGCCTCCGCACCGCGGGCCGCGCCTGGGCGGGGGCGGCCGCCCCCCAGTCTCGGCGGAGCCTGGCGCTGGCGGACGACGCGGCTTTCCGGGAGCGCGCGCGGCTGCGGGCCGCCCTCGAGCGCCGCCACTGGCTGAACTCGTACATGCACAAGCTGCTGGTGCTCGACGCGCCCTGAGCCCCGCCCGCCCCAATAAACAGCCGCTGTGCGCCCCGACTCGGCCTCCTTCTTGCGCCGCCGGGGTTTCGGGGTGGGGTGGGGAGCGGGGCTGCGGCGGCCGCTGCGGGGTCTCGCTCCGCGGTCCCCTCTCTTCTCTCCTGTCGTCTTTTCCTCGCGCCCGTCCTCTCTCCCGCGCGGCTCGCCCCTGCGCACCCCGCCGGCGGCGCCCCCCGCACGCCGCGCCCCCTCCCTGCCCACCCTCGTCCTGCGGCCACCCCGTCCCTGTCCGCTGGGTTCTCGGCCCCCCAGTCTGGCGGGTCTCCCGGGGCGGCTCCTCCTCTCGGGGCCTCTGTCCATCTTCTGGCGCCCTCGCTCCCCAAAGCGCTTCCTTCCTTTGTGAAGCACCTTTTCCCTCTGCCTCCCCGCGTCCCCCGTCTCCCGTCTCCCCCCCCCCCCGCCCTCTCCTCGTTCTGTCTGCTCTCGCTGTCTCTGCTCTCCCGTCTCTTCCCGAACTCTCCTTCGGTGCCGTGGGAGGATGGGGGCCCTGGTGGGAGACGCGCCTGCCCCCGCTCCGGGCGGGCTGTGTGGCCCCGGGAAGCGCCTCTTAAGCCTCTGGCTTCTTCCCGTCCCCCCCGCCCGCCCGGGTGCACCGTGAGGAGACGCTCGCGGCGCCCCGCGCTAGGCGAAAGGCTTTTCTCAGACAGGGTTTCCCGCCCGTTTCTCAGCGGCCTCCCGCGGCCTCTCCGGGGTTTCCTGACTGCGCCTTCCGGGGCCTTCGGGGCGCCAGGCTGGGCGGGAAGAGAGGCGAGGGGCCGCCGGGCGTCAGGCTCGGGGGGGGGCGGGAGCGGGGGACTCGGGGCAGCGGCGAGCGAGCGAGCCGCCCGCCAGATCCTGTCCCTCTCCCGGGGCCGGTCAGCGCCAGCCCCGCCCCCCAACGGCGACCATGGCAACGCACCCCAGGGCCCGGCTGGGGCGTGCGCGCCCGGCGCGGCTTGCGGACCGCGCCCTGATTGGCCGAGAGAGGGCGGAGATGGGCGTGTCGGCACGCGGGGGGCGGGGCCGGGCGGGGCCAGGTCTCCCGTTACTTGCATTCTGGGAGGCGGACGGCGCCCTAATTGGCCCTCAGACTGGGGGGCTGGGGGGCAGGGAGGCGAGAGGGGGGCTGTTTCTCCCGAATAATGATAAACTTTCTCAAAACTCTCCGAAGTTGGTCACATTTTACAGTGTAGGGTAACCAGATGCCAAAAGTCCGGTTATGTTTTGGGGTCCTCATCCTCTCCCACCTGGGCCAGGCCCTGGCCCCTCCCTTTATGCTCCCCCCCCTTCATGGCACTTGCCCCCATCTCTGGTCTCACCACCCTCAAGCCTCAAACCCTTTCCCGGCTCCAAATCTTTTTCAGCCCCAGCTACATGGTGCTGTCTCTGACTCTCCACGGAGGCTCTTTGCACCCCCTGATAATTTTTTTTAAAGATTTATTTTTATACAAGAACCGGGGTACAGGCCAGAGGTACAGGAGGGTGAGAAGATTCACCAGAGACAGAGTGGGGAACAGAACAGGCAGACTGACTGAAACACACTGCTAAGGGGCGCAGCAGGGAGACAGGAGAGGTCTGCCGCCCCATATGGGATTCTCGCTGGCAGGCTGGGATCAAGCCCCCTCTGCAGAGGCTACGGACAGGTTCACAGCACAGAGCTCAACCGCCTGTGCCACCAAGGAGGCCCGCACCCCCGATCTTAACTCTTGTTCTTCTGCCGGACACCCTCACTGCAACCACTTGTGCTCGGCTTCCAAGGCTAAATGCAGATGTCAGTGACCTGGGAGGCTAAACCCCAACCTCCTGGCTGGCTCCTCTACCACTGTCCTTAAACAGGTGTGACAGGCCCTCACCTTGCTCAAAACTCTTCTGATGAAGGACCCCGTGGTGCTGAAGCTGTTCTCTATCTTGGGTTTCGGTTCCCTGGGCATTTCCACATGCAAAAAATCATCCAGCTGATCCTTAACAGTCATCCATTTATTTCTATGGAAGTTATGTCTCATGAAAACATAAGTAACTCACAACAAGCACTAACACCCTCCCCCCAGGTTCCCATTATCTTGGGAGAAAACCCACACTCTCCACCCTGGCACCGCGGGACAGACGTTTCTACACTTTTACTGCCTAAGGTGCAGCTGTGGCCGATGGACAGTCACTAAGTGCTTGCGGAGAGACCAAAAGAGGGTCAGTTCACTTCCTGCAGGCCCTTAGTGCAGTTGGACACCTGTGAGGAGTGCCTAGCCCGCCTCCCCTTCACCCCCGCTCTGCCGGGAGAGATGCTTGGTCTCCCAGCCTCCCTTGCAGCTAGAGCGGTCACTTAGAACGATGACACATGAACCCAGGCTGCTGCTGGCCTTGGGGTGGCTGCCACTGCTTTATCAAAAGGGATGTGTCCCCTTTTCCCTGTAGACATGATATGAAACTACCAGGCCTGCCACCTCCCGAGCAGGAAGGGCTGAGAAAAATCAGAGAACCAAGCACTCCAGCCCAGCCGCCCTCCTCCGGACGTGCTCTATGAGGAAAACATAACCTGCTCTTAACCCACGACAGGGCGTGTGCTATTAAGAAGTGTAGTCACCAACGTTAAAACCAGGACACTTCAGGTAAACACGTACCCTGGGGGTGTGTACCCTGGGCACCGTGTCTGGGGCCCCAATATGAGGGGGGAGTCCCAAGTGAGGGGGTACAACAATGGGCATAACAGTAGAAGGAGCCTTGGGAGTTCATTGAACAGGACATTGCTCTGACCAGGACATGGCTTGGGGCCATGGCTCACACTGGGGGGGGCTGGAGGTAGTAGAGCTGGAGGTGGGGCCAGGTGGGGGGCGGGGACTGGCCCAGCAGCACGATGGACAGCAGCAGGAGCAGCAGCAGGCCCAGGACTGGTGCTGGGATCAGGAGGTGCCGAGTGACCCTGGTACGGAGGGAGACAGGGGTCAAAGTGGGGCCTAAGGCAATGTGGCCAAGTCTGACCACCGCCCTCCTTCTGGAGGTGCCTTGGGGAGCACCTGAGCTGCTGGGAATGCTGGGGGTGCAGGTAGAGCTGGCCGCAGACGGGGCTCCTGGCTGGCACCAGGTCCTTCACCACTGGCACCAGGGCTCCCTGCAGGTCGGGCTCCATGGCGCTGTGGAGAGGAGGGCAGAGTCATGGTGAGGGGCTTCCTCACCGCCCCCAGGCCCCTCTCAGCCCGTGGCTCCCCTCACCTCTCAGGACTTCCCGGGCCTTCTTCTCCTGGGTGTGGGTCTCTGGGAGGCATGGGGAGGTCGGCCTGGAAGGACAAAGGAGACAAACTTGAGTCACTGTGTCCTGGGTTGGGAGAGGCCCGTGGTTCAGCCCACACATGGAAAGAGGGACACTGGGGCTCAGTGTGTGTGTCCCCAAGGCACAGAGCCAGGCTGGGCCCCCAGCTCTGCCAGTTCCCGCTGTGTGTCCTTGGCAGGCAGCCCCTCTCAGTGCCCGGAGTTCCCATCTTCCGGACAGGCCCCCTGACGGTGCCACCTCACCGGCCCCAGGCTGAGACTGACCCAGGTGAGAATGCGGGTGAGGAGCAAAGCCAGGGGGCTCAGCCCCGCCAGGCACGCGGGGGCTCGGCGGGGAGCTGCTCTGCGGTTATCCCCGGTTATCCCCGCGGATCCTCCCCGGGGGCAGACTCTGTCTTCTGGAGGCCCCACCCCAGCGCGGGGCCTCCTCCAGGGCGAACCCGCCCGCTGGGCGCGCAGCCCGGAGCAGTGAGGTGCCGGGAGGGGAGCACTGGGCGCGCGCCCATGCAGGAGCCAGACACGGAGCCAAAGCAGCGAACCGCCGCAGCAAGCGAGTTAGAACCTGGCGGATGTGGACCGCGGACATCTCCGGAGTCCAGAGGGCTGCAGAGAAGGGTCAGGTGGGAGCGGGGAAAGCGGGGGTGGGGGGAAGGTTTCAACAGAAAGGCTTCAACGTCCCCAGCACGCCAAGGCCGCGCTGCCGCCTCATCCCCCTGAGGACCTCCAGGTCTTGGGCTTCCCCAGGCAGCCTCGGGCCGCGGAAGATGAGGGCGAGGGGGAGGAGGCGATCAAAGGATTCGAAGACAGACTAAGGCGAGCGCCCCGCCCCGCTGCGCCACCTGCTGCGCCCCGCTCTGCGCGGAGCCCCCGTCTCCACGGAGGGGAGCCTCGCGTGGGGCCAGGCCGCTCAGGAGCCCGCCTTGGCCCCGGAGGGCGCCTGTGTCCGGGAGAGGGCCTGACGCACACCGGGGCTCCCGCGCTCCGCCGAGGTGGGCGGGCTCCGAGCCGCGCTCCCCCGCCTGCACCCCGCCCTCTCGCGGAGCGGAGCGCGGAGCCGGCGGGCAGGGAGTTCCGCGGCTGGCTGGGGAGCGCCGGCCCGAGCCGGTGTGTGGGCGCATTGCGTGTGCATTTTCGCAATCCGGGGGTGTAGCTGCGTCTCCGAGGCCTGTGGCGTGGCGGCTGGGCGAGGTGTGTGTGCTCGGAGGTCCCCCGGGAACATTCTGGCCGCCCACTGGCTTGGAGGACTCCCCCGCCCCGGCACTGGCCATTCTCATTAGCTGCGGAGAGGCCTTGTTATCTCTCGGCCAAGCGGTTTTCCTGTCTGTTCCCGAGGAGTGGGTGTGTGGTGGGGGGAAGGAGCTGCGTTTCAGACTGCCGCCCTGAGGGGGGCCCAGGAGGGGTACCTACCAGGACCACGGTCCCTGCTTCCTCTTCTTCCTCTCTTCTGGGCAACCTGGGGTGATAACAAAGTCACAGCAACCTCTTTCTCCTCTGCTGGCTCGCATTCGCATGCTGGGGGGCTGGGGGGCCCTTTAACACAGGAGTCTTAACCAGGCCCTGTGGATGGGTCTGTGGGGGGGGGGTGTCTTGAGGCCTCGGGAGCAAATGGCTGTCTGGAGGTCAGCATTTGAATTTTTCAAGGCCAATTTTCCCAAATTCTCAAGAGTTTGTGATTTCAACAAGGGGGGGCTGCGTCCTCTCAATGACTTATTTCTCAGGGGATCTCTGAGTCAAGTTTCTGTCTCTCCCACCTCCAAAATGCACCCCAGAATCACTTCTCTGAGATTCAAAGGCCTGAGCAGAACACCCCCCCTTCCTGGCTGGGGTGCTGCGTCTTTTGAGTGAGTCTGTCCCGCAGGGTCCCCTTTGAGGACCTGGCCTCTGGGATGTAAGGCATGACCCCAGTCAGTCTCTGAGGCCCAAGTCCAGCCTCTGCCCCTCCGAAGGGCACTGCTGCCCAAGCCCCAGAGGTGCCACTTTGGGGACTCAGACCTCAAGCTGCACAGCTGGAACATCCCTGGAGATGTAGATGTCCATTCCCCGGGACCAGCGGTCCAGCCCTCCATTGGCCACTGCGGCCGCAGGCTTCAGGCCTCACCCTCAGGAGCAGGGGCTTCCTCAGCTCCCACCCAAGAAGGTGTCCAGACCACTTGGCCCTGACTTGCCCTTCCTACCCCCAACTTCTATTTCTTGGGGCCCCCTGCCCCCACCCCTCCATGTCCACGTCACCCCTCTGGCCACCTTTAGGGGCCACAGGATCCCCATCTCCCTCAGTTCCAGCATCCCATTCCCATCCAGTGGACCCCCGCACCCCCCTGCCCTCCCCCAAGGGCTGCTGCTCAGCTCCTTCCCTCCACTTCCTGGTGACGCAGGGAGGTCAGCTCAGGAGCCCCCTCCAGCCCAATCTCAGCTCTCCCAGACAAGCCCAATTAGAGGCCGAGGCAGGCAGCCTCATTAGATGCTGCAGCCGGGAGCCTGAGGAGGGAAGCGGGAGAGGGAGGCGCCTCCACAGGAAACCAAAGGCCCAAGGCCAGGGCCCAGGAGGCCTGGGGCGCAGAGACCGGTGCTTTCTGTCCACAAGCAGTCACGGGACACACAGCGGGCGCTCACCTGGGCCTCTCACAGAGTGACTGAGTGGGGTGGGGGCCTGGGCTGCCTGATTCCAGACCCCACCCCACCAGGCCTCACTCATCCGGGGCTCCCTGCGGCCTTGGGAGGGGAGAGCTCCAAAAGGGCGGCTGAGACCCAGCGTCTGCCTTCCTGACCTGTCTCTGGCTGAGGGTGTCCTGTGCAGACACCACCCTTCAGCACCCCTGGGCTTGGCTCTCGGGGGCCTACCCCGCCAGGTCTCCTGGAACCGGCTGGGGCAGGACCTGTGCCCAGGCCAGGAGTCGCCAGGGCAGGCGGGGGTCTGACTCATCTCCTGGACCCCAGGCCCACGCCTGGCTCCCTCGGGGGCTTCCTGTCCCCCACCCGCGGAGAGGCAGAAGTGGTTCACGGAAGAACGAGCTTCTTACCACATCAACTGCTCCTTCCTTCCTTCCGACTCTCCCTGGAACTCGCTCTGTGGGAAGGAACAGGTAAGGGCTGCTGGCTGCCACACGGGCAAGAAATGACCTCTGCCTGTCCTCCCCTTACCCCGCAAGCCCAGGAGTCCAGGTCGGCGAGACACCAGGGTCCACCCCCGCAGCCTCTCACCTGGGCTCAGAAGGGGCTCAGCATGTCCCTGTCGAGGCCCCATTCTCCCAAGTTCTTAGACTTGAGGTGGCCCCGCCACCTGCGCTTCCTCAGAACCCAGAACGTTTTGTCTGGAGACATCTCAGCCTTGCCTGTGCTCGGGACCTCCAGCTCCCCCCTATTTTCTGTCTCTGTGCACCCGCTGCCTCCAGGCAGCCCCTCCTATGTCCCTCAGGACCCTCGCCACAAGTGTTCTTGGAGGCCCAGCCCCAGGCCATCCATCTAAAGGCCACTCCTGCCCCCATTTTCCCCCAATCCCTCCTGTCCATCCTGAGGCCGCAGCCTGGCTCAGGCATCATCCTCTCCTCTGACCTTTGCCCCAGCCTCCTCCCTGGCCTCCCAGCCTCTAGTGCCCACATGGCCCCCGAGGGGTCTTCCTACATCCAGAGCCTCGTGCCCTCCCTGCTCAGTCCTGCAGCCTGGCAGCGAGAAGTACCATCCCTGAGCTGGTCCCCAGCTTCATCTCTCACCAGTCACCCCAACACGCGCCTACGGGATGGGGCTCAGTCCAGGCACATGGAGTCGCGGGCCCCCTTCCCAGCTCCTGACCCCCAAGCTCACATGTCCCCCACTTGTGGCTGCAGGTGGAAGCTCAGCGTCCTTCCTGGTCTCAATGACCACTTCTTCCCACTGCCACACTCCACACAGAGGGCTGCCGAGGCCGGAGGCTGCCACTTCCTGTTCCTGGAGAAGTTGGATCTGAGGTCAGGGAGGGCCAGAATACGTGAGGGCACAGATGGGGCCTGAGGTGGGAAGGGAGGTGGACGGGAGCTGCTGTGAGGCCGGGCTGGGGAGTGGTGGAGGTAGGACGCGGGAAGGGTCTGGAAGCAGGACTAAGGTCTGGGTTAGCAATTAGGTGGTCCTGGGGGAGATGGGGTAGGAAGAACCAGGGCTGGGTGAGCTCAGGGCTGGTGCTGGATGGGTTTGGGACCCGAGGCAACAGCTGGGATTCGGCCACCTCTGTGATGGCGACGTGGGTTAGGGGCTTCCCAAGAGGACCAAATATCCAGAGCTCTGGGGCCATAGGACGAGCTCGGTGGGAGGGTCAGAGCAGGGAGATGTTGGGGGTTTCTGCCTGGGTGGTGTCTGGTGAGTTTCGAGGGTGCCATGCCCACCTGCTGAATGGCCTTGATTTCCACGCCCAGCGAGGGAGGCAACAGCCCGGTGCAGTCCGTTCTCCTGACCTGCGCCCCTTCGGGGAGCCTGCCCACACAGTCGGGAGGGGAAGGTGGCCTCTGTGCCTGTCTGCCCCTGTGAGCCGGCCCACAGGGGGGTCCCCCCGGGCCTGCCCTCCCACCTTTCCACCCCCAGTGTTCCACTCACTCATCCGACTCCTCCAGGCTCTGACTCAGCTGCTCCTCCAGGTGTGAGATTTCCAGTCTCAGCTCCTGCAGAGGACAGAGCGGGGCTGCCTGCCTCTCCGCTTTCCCCCCACTGCACCCCTGGCTCCTCTTCCATGGTCAGTCCCACCCTGACTTCTCTGGGCTCCTCCAGACACTGCCCGGGGAAGAAAGCAGGAATGGGAAGGCCGAGAGAGGCAGCGCTGTGGGACCCAGAGGGTAACCTGCAGGCCAAGGCAACTCAGAAAAGGCAGGCAGGGATGGCGGGACATGGACCAAGGAGGGCAGGTGCACAGAGAGGCACGCAGAGAGGAGTCATGGGGAGATAGAGGGGGCAGCAGAAGAACCTAGCTCCTAAGTGGGGCAGGGACCCAGCTGAGGTGGGAGGACACCCCGCAGCGAGTGAAACTGAACAGAAGATGGAGCGTCACAGAGAAAGGAATGGAGGAAAATGAAGCCAGAGACAGAAGAGGTGAGAGACGGAGCTGAGCCACGCGCTGGAGGAGGAGGAGAGGGGAGGAGACCGGGACAAGGCCGACAGACAGAAAGAGGCAGCCAGTCCCGGAAACGGCCGAAGGCAAGGGGCGAGCCCAGGAGGGGCCTCTGGGCGGGCTTACCTGGGTGGTCGTCCTGTACTCCTCCAGGGTCTTGGCCAGGTTCTCCGCGTGGCGGGTGCGCTGGGAAAGCCCAAAGCCTACTGAGCCGGCCCAGGCCCCGAGGACCACGAGGCCGGGCCGGGGGTTGGGGGGTGGTGACCCGGGGGAGAGCTGGCCCCGGCGGGAGCAGGGGCTCCCGGATTCTCCCAGGTCTGCCTCGTGACCTCACAGAAACCCTCAGCCTCGCCGCTGCTCATGCCCCTTCCAGACTCGGGGCAGGAGACGGGCCAGGGCCCCCCGGGAGGCAAGTTTCTCTCCCGGCCTCCTCACCTCCGAGAGGACGGTGTCTCGCTGGCAAATGAGGCTTTCGCATTCACAGAGCTGGCGCTGCCAAGGAAGGAGCCCGTTGTCTGCCTGCCCGCCCGGCCACCTGCCCTCCCGCCCCGCCAGGTCCCTCCGCTCAGCCGCCCTCGGCTGACGGCAGCTGCACCTGGAGGAGAGGGGTGTCCACGGGGCTGCGCGGCCGCCCCAGGCAGCAAAGGCTGCAGTGGCTAAAACTGGAGCTGGGACATGGCCCGGGGAGGTGGGGGGTCGTCAGGCACTGGGGAGGGGTGGCACCTTCAAGGCATCCTTCTCCGTGGCCAGCTCCTCGCTCCTTTTTTTCACTCCGTCCCTCTCGGCCAGGAGCTTCCCATTCTGGAAGGAGGAACAACAGTCAGGTTCACTTCAGCAAGTGTCAGCAGAGCTGACATCGGCCGAGCATGCACGGCGGGTGGGGGTGCCCAGGCTCCACATTTCGGTGCTTTAGCCCATTTCCTCCCTCCAGCCACCCTGTGGGTCTCAGTGTCGATTTCCTGGGCATCAGGAAGCAGGTGCCCAGCTGCCAAAAACGAAGATCAGACGGGATCCACTTGACGGGGTGGGCACCAGCCAGGCGGAGCCATTGCCAGTGCTGAGCCATGTGCTCACTCACTTCTTGGGCCCCAGGTGAAAGAGAGGTGCCGGGACCAGGAAGGGGAGCTGCCGGTGGTCGAGTCTGTTCACGAGCACAGAGCGTTCAGAAGGGGGACGCTACATTTCAACAATCATTTTAAAACTTGTTTGAAAACTCTGTAGGGTAATTCTGTTTAACGCATAAAGGTAAAAACAAGTCAGTGAACCCCCTTTATCCAGCACCCGGTTTCCATAATCATATGCATGTTCCCAGCTTGTTTCTTCCACGCTCCCAGTTTTCCAGTTTCCTTGACCAGATCATTCTAAAGCCAAGTGCAGGCAGGTGATCCCCTGCAGTTTCCACTGGAAGCTTCTCTTCTTGCGCTGACTCGCATGTAGCAACTGGCGCCGCTTCCTACCCCATTCGTGGTCCTTTTGCATTATGGGTACCTCCCCCATGTCCTGTCACACTTGGCCTGTTGGAACGAGGCTCCCAAGGAGGCCCACAGCCGCTGTCGGTTGACATGCCACGTTCCTTTCCACCTGACAGCGAGGTCCTGCCTCCTCAAGCCTGGACCTTGTGGGGAGTCACTACTTTTGTGCAAGAACCCAGGTGATAAGTCTTGAGGACCTGGTGGCTTGGCCTTGGCCTTCTTCCCGGTGCAGGACAACCCCGATTTCCTCCAGTCTCGTTATTCCGTCCACGCTAGTGGGTAGACCCAGGGCCTTGTCCCCACTCTGGGTTCAGTGTTTCAGTGGGAAGTTGTCACAGATGCCGCTAAGCACATGGAACTGTGCCACTCGGGAGGAACGGGGTGTCTGTCCTGCAAAGGCCTGTTTTCTGTGTCATCATCCCCAATTTTACTGAGTGAAGCTAAGGAATGCAACCAAGGTCCCATGGGGAGGGCTTGGATTCGAACGCAAATCTAATTCCACACCCTGTGCTTCTACCCCCAGACTCTCCAGGTGCCTGGCGCAGTCCTGGGTGAGGAAGGGGCCTGGCAGACGGCCCTCCCTGCCGGCTCATTGCTAGAGGAGGAGCTGGACGCAGACGCAGATGCTAACCCCCACCTCCTGGGCTCTGGTGAGGCCAGGACACTGCAGGGGCCCAGAGGAGGGGGCCGGGGAGGCAGTGCCCGTTAAACAACAGGGCCACCAAAGGGTAGCCCCGCCGGCCACAAAATGGCACCCAGCGGTGAAACAGCCTGAATTCCAGTCTTGAGTTTCTGGACACCAAAATCCTAACAAGTTGTACAGAGTTTCTATGTGAGGTGGTCCTGGGGGGAAGACAGCATTTCGGGGGCCGGCAGGCAGTCTTTCCTTCGTCATACCCTGCTCCAGGCACCCCAGGGGATACCAAGGCCAGCGCCTCTCTCTCTCCAGTGGGCTGGGCGCCAAGTCCTCCATCAGTCTCGGCCTCAGCAGGCCTGGGCTGCCAGGTGAAGGGCGAGGAAGGACGGGCCAGGAATGCTGTGTCGACATCTGTCCACCTGGTAGGGATTTGCCGGCTGGAGCCTGGGCCTCTCGGCGGGGCACCTGGTTACTCAGTCACCCCGCCTTCCCCTGCAGTAACCTGAGCGCTCCTCGCTGTAGGTTCTCCATAGGAAGGCAGCGTCTGTCTGTGGTCCCTCGGCCCAGCATTACCCGCTGTAACTTGAGCCTCCGTCTATAGCTGCTCTGGAAGCAGCTGCGGGAGGGGGAGGCAGCCAGGAATAGCTCCGGGGTATCGAGCGCCTAGAATGCCCCAGCGCCCTCAGGGCACTTGGCCTGGCAGTGGCCTATGGCGGGAGGAGGCAGAGTCCGCTGGCAGCCATTCACCCGGCTTTTCCTTGGGTTTTCACTGGAGGTTCACCTTCCACATAGCAGGCAGGGTCCATCCCAGCTTTGGGGGTGAATCAAGATGGAAATCTTGGAAATTTCAGGATGGCTGGGCTAACCTGCGACCTTTCTCCCCCTCTGGCTTGTTTCTCAGAGGCCAGGGAAGGGCAGCTGGCCTCCCAGCCTTTCCAGGAGCTGTGGTGTCACGTGACCGGGATCTGGGGAGCTGGAAGAGCGGTTTGGAGGTAGAAGCAGAGTGGGGAGGGGCTCCAGGTAAAGCTTTTCCTTCCACTGAACAGAGAGCCTTCTCGGCCTACTTCATCCTGTCCTGAATGGGCGTGGGAATCCGGAGCAGCCGTCCGTGGTCATGAGGCCACAAGCCTCGAGCCTCCAGGCCAGAGGCCATCGAAACCTCCTTTAGGGAAATGACTGTCCCTCAGATTGAAGCCACCTCCGTTTTCTTCCTTGTGGGGCCAGAAGCCAGCGGGCCCATCGCAGCCATGTCCCTGCACCAGGGAATATTCTGGTCATAGTCTTTTGATGTCACTTTGGCCAAGTAGATGCAAGAGGGAACTTCTGCCCCTGGACTTTTGGGGAAGTTGCTCTGTGGTCTTAGAGGTGCCGGGAAGCACACCCCGTCTATACCCCACGTCTCAGGCTGTAGCAAGGGTCCCATCGCCCCGAGAGAGGGGATTTTTACAGACGAAGCAATGAAAAATTTTGGATTTAAATTAAAAAAAAAAAAGCCATAGTAAAGATGCAAGACAAAGAGATTTGGGGGCATTCAGGCAGAATCAGTGTCACTGGGGGTACTGGGATCATAGCGTGGGGAGTCAGAGGAGAGAGTGAGAACAAGTCCTGAGCCCCCGGGTTGGCGGTGAGGTGGGAGGAAGCCATGGCACATCTGGGGCACCCAGAGAGGTGCCCCCAGCTCGGTCTCAGGGCCAGGAGGGGTGTGAATCTTAGACTAGACATGGTGATGGGAGAAGCCACTACAGAAGGGGCCGACTGAGGCCCCCGTGTGCCTGGAGTGTCACCGGGAAGCCCCTAGATGGTGCAGAAGTTGTGAAGTGGGGCCCGAGCAGCCCTTGGGGGGCTGTGGAGTCGGCCTGAGGACCGCGACCAGCAGGTGCGGGGACGACTGTCCAGAGGCTGGGAGGCAGCACCAGACTCCCGGCGGGCACCAGCGAGCAGTGGTGACTCAGGCCGAGGACCAGATGGGATGACGAACATCAATCTTGTGACTAGGAGAGAGAACAGCCGTTGAGTGAGGACCACCGCCTCCTGGGGCACTGAGAGGCTGTGCCAGTCTCCAGACACTTAGATGCCACCTTGTGGGGGGCAGGGGCAAGTTGCATTGATGAATTTCAGCCTCCGCATAAAAGGTGTAGTTGGGCCCAGCATTAAGTTTGGCGATGGCTCCTGTCTCTGAAGGAAGGGACTTGATGCGGACACGAAGTTGAACGGGGGCGGGGGGGGGGGCCTTCGTGGGCTACAGCTGTCATTTCACTTTCACAATGAGCCTGGAGAACAGTAACCTGGTTTGTCAATGATGAAACTAGAAAGGGGGGGCAGCGAGTCACGCTCCTGCAGGTCGTCGGTTACCTAAGTGGCAGAGATGGGATTCGAACCCGGGGCTGACTTCAAGGCCTGTACTCTTTCCACCAGAGAAGCACGCCAGGCTGTGGGTGAGGCTGGCTAACGTGCTACGCTCCGCAGCTGCCCCTGTGGTGTGCCAGTGCCTGGCAGCATCCTCTGCTTGAATCCTACACGCCCAGCCAGGGCGATTCGGTGACCTGCCCGCTTTCACAGGCGGGACGCTGAGGCCCAAAGAGGAGGGCCTTGCTGACGCAGGCGGCACGGCGCAAACCTCAGCTCCGGTGGCCGCCCTGTGCCCACGCGCTTACCGACCATAGCAGACCCCCACAACCACCCCACTTGGCGAGGTGGCCTGCAGGGACCTTTCCACAGTTTCGGGATTCTGGGGCCGCGGGAGGGCATCTGGTTGCGGTCTGGAGGGGCTGGGGTAGGGTGGGAAGATTCCGAGGACTGGGGAAGGGGTGGGACGGGCCTCGACTCACCTCCTCCTGCAGAGTCTCCATCTCAGCCACCAGGTGCTGCTGCTCCTTCTCCTGTGCCGCCGGAGAGAGGACGGAGATTCTTTTCCTGCCTCCTTGTCCCCACATTACCCTTCCCTGACTGCCAACCCCACCTGGGGCTGGGAAGCCTTGGCAGCTCCTGCCATCCCTCTGGTCATGAAAGGGAAGGCAGGTAGATCCCGCCCCTGAGTCCGGGGTAAGCAGGGCCTGGACGAGGGAGAAGCCAGGGGGTCCCTTTCCACAGCCTCGCCAGGCTCTGTCGCTCAGATGCCCACAGAGGTGGAGGGAGATGACCTTTGACCTTTGTGCTCCTTGCCCAGAACCTACCACCTGGCGGGCCTGGGCCAGAAGGCCGCGGTTCTGTTCCTCCAGGCTCCTGGCCAGAGTCTTCAGGTCCTCCAGCTCCTCATCCACGGTCTTGGCAAACTGCAGCGCCTGCTGGGTGCTGAGTGGGCAAGAGGCGGGGCACGGGAGCCAGGGGAAGGCAGGGAGTGGGGAGAGAGAGAGCTACTCAGGGAGACAGAAGCGACAGATCTCCTGGGGTGGGGAACAGAGACCCTGGGAGGGGGGACAGAGATCCAGAGGGTAGGGACAGAGCCTCGGAGAGAGAGGCCTAGAGAAAAGAGGGAAGAGGGACAAAGTGTGGGGGGCAGAGACCGGTTTCTACCTAAAGGACCAACTGGGTGGGCCTGGGAGATGACAATGGGGGGACCTAGACAGTCAAGGAGAGAGAAGGGGTGGGAGGGGCCGGCCGGGAGCAGGAGGTGCAGGAGGTGCAGAGCGAGCCTGGAGAGGGCCCGTTGGCAGGAGGCCGGAGGGGCGCAGGCAGCCCACCTGCGAAGCTGCTTGCGCAGGGCCAGGATCTCCTCCCCGAGGCGCGCCGCCCCCTCCTCCGCCGTCTCCACGCTGCGCTGCAGCTTGGCGTTCTCCCGGGCTAGCCGCCGGTTGCTGAGCTCCAGGTCCTCCAGGCTGCTCAGCAGGTCTGAGGTGGCGGGCCTGGGGTGGGGAAGGGCTGGGGTCACTGCCACAGCCCCCTCGGCCTGAGGCCGGCAGGTGGGTGGCGGTGGCGGGCTCTTCAGGAGTTAGGGAAGCCAGAAGTCGCCCGCTCTCCTGGAGCTGTGAGCCATCCCTGTCCCGTCACCCACTTCCCCTAGGACCCCCTGCCAGAGGGCACGGGCTAGGGGGAGGGTAGGGGCCCTGGGGTAGGTACAGCTCTGCTCTGGGGTCTTCGCCTCCGAAGCTTTCCAGGCTGGCTGGTTCCTCAGCTTCTGGGCATCCTGGAAGGGGACAGACAGGGTGACCTCAGGTGTCAGGACTCCCGGCCTAGGCCTCCACCCTCGCATGGGCCATGGGGGAGTCTCGTGGCTCCCAGGGCGGCACTGACCTCTGGCTCCTCTGCACTCGAGCAGGTTGGCTCTTCCTGGAGAGCCCCACCTACCCCTGCACTCATCACACCCAACCCCGGGCAGCTTAATGTCCTCCAAAACTCCAGGTAGCCCTGTGCCCCCACTACTGTGTTGTCCAGGCCCCCGGGGGGCTCCTCCTTATCCCCACGGCCTACCAGAGCCCAGGCCCTGTGAGTCCCCTTGCTACAGCCTCCTCTGCCCCCAACTCAGGGGCAGGGGCCGAGGGGGTCTGTCCTCACCTGGAACTGACTGGCCCTCCCCATACACAGCCCCCCCCGCACCCCTAGCCGGCTGTAGGAAGCTCAGTGGAATGCCAAGAGATGGCATTTCTGGGCTTTGGTGGTGTTTTTCAAAGGTTGGAGAAGAACAATATTTTTCACGGGGCTCCCCAAGGCGTGAGCACCGGTCGGCAGGGCCAGGTGGGTGACTGGTCACTTCGGCAGGGTTAACAGGACAAGAGCGCAGGTCTGCACTCCAGGTGTGGGGCAGCGGGCGCAGGCGGAGCCCGGGCCTGTGGTCCGCAAACCCAGGAAAGCCAGCAGGCCTGAGGATCAGGGGCTATGGCGGGGAGGGGCCAGAGCACGAGGAGGAAGGGGGGGGTGTTTGGGGAGGAGAAGGGGAGGAGGAGGGCAAAGACAGAGCAGGGGGAGGCCCTGCAGGCCTCAGTGATGGGGCAGGAGAGGAAGCAGCAAGAAAACCCCACAAAGCCGCTGGAAGGAGGGGTCAGCGTGGCGCACTGAGGAAGGGAACTCACAGGTCCAGGCTGGAGCAGCGGCCCCTGGGGTCCCACCCTCTCCTCTGCTGTGCCGCGTGGCCGAGCCCCCCACCGTTGCCCCGTCCCCCGCACCACTCTGTAGATAGCAGGCTCACCAGATGGCAGCTGCTGGGAGGCGAGGGCCCCCTCGAAGACAGTTTCCTCCTGCAGCTCTAATCCCCTGTATCAAAGGGATGAGGCTTAGAGCCCCTGCAGCACCCCCTCGGCCCCCCAGTCCTGACCAGCTCTGCAGGGGCATGGCGGGAGGTGGGAGGAAGGCGGGTCAGGTGAGAGCGAGCAGGCGCCATGGGGAGGAAGGTGCGGCCAGATGGCAAGGACCAGGCCGGGCCGGATGGAAGGGCAGGAGGGGCAAGCGCGGGCTGGGGAAGGAATGGCAGGGCCCCGTTGGCCCCTCAACAACCCCCTTTCTCCTTCCAGCCCTTTTATTCCTGCCTCCCAGACCCCTCGGCGCCCTGTCAGCACCCGGGGCTCACACCGGCCCTCCCCAGACTCCTTCCCGCCGCGGGAGCTCTGGCACCTAGAGGCGCTGGCTGCGAGGCAGGTGTGAGGTGCGATCTCAGGAAGGACTCTGGGGGGCTTGGGCACCCACCCATCCAGCTGGCAGGCAGCGATCCAGTCCCGCATGACGGCCAGGAAGGTGTCCAAGTCCACGGTGGCCTTGGGGCCCTCCCCATTGGGGTCCAGGCTGCAAGCCAGGGTTTGGAGGCGTGCATCCTGAGGGCCCCTTCCGGTCACAGCCTCCAGGTAGGCCAGAACATGGGTGACGGTCACGGAGCCTGGGGGCAGAGGAGCCGAGAGGGGCGCGGCGGGTGGGGCAGGTGAGGGTGTGGCACAGGGTGTCACTGGCCTGGCAGGCCCTTCTGCACCTGGGCCCAGCTGAGACACTTGGCCACAGCCTCTCCCCTCCTCTGAGACCATCCTTTTTCACCTGAAAAAGGGGCCCAGTCACCCCCCCCCCTTCAGGGGGAGGGCCACGGAGGACAGCTAGAGCACCGCCCTCTAGGTCTCTGGGTTTGCCTCCCCCCAGTGCCCCTCCCTCCCCCAACCACCACCCCCTATTCCACTGCCTCCCCTGAGATTCTCCCACAATCACCCATTTCCTCCTGCAGGAGCCCAAGAGGGGGCCCTAGCCCATTCCTCTCTCCTGACGCCCCAGTTTCTGGTCCCCATCTCCTCCCTTATTATTCTGCGTCTGTTCGCCCCAGTGGCCCCAACACGCTGACCTGCCCCTCCCACCTGTCTTCTGGGGGTCACAGGCTTGGAACGTGGAATTCAGTATTTGTTCCTCTAAGCTGAGCAGCATCCCCAGGCTGCCCTCCTCCGGCTGGTCCCAGAGGTACACTGAGGAGACAAGGGGGCAGCCCTGTGAGGAGGGGAGAGAAAGGGCAGCCCCAGCCCCCCATCAACAGCCGGGCAGGTTGGCGGGTTGGCTGGCGGCGGGAGAGGAGAGGGAACTGATTCTGAGTCGGGGCTGCTCCGGGGCTGGTGGGCAGCAGCGGGGTGCTGCCTTGAGGGCAGCAATGTGAGGGTCTTTCAGTCACCTCCCCCCAACCTGGCCTGTCTTCAGGCCTGGAAGTCCCACTGCGGCCTAATCCGTTGAGTCCAATCCTCTCAGGAGCCCCGATAAGGGGACACCCTGAGCTCACTCTTCCTCCTCTCCGGCTCAGCCGCACAAGCTCTGCTTAGAGGGGGGGTGGGGGCAGGGGAGGGCAAAGAAGAGAGGATTCTGGGAGGAGCCCAGGGTGAGGGGGGCTCTGGAGCCAGGAACAATCCAATAAAGCGCGGGCAGCCTGCATCGATCCCACCAGCCACATCTCCGGTCTCCCAGCCCGCCCGAGGGCCGGGTCTCCTGCCCCTCCCCCCACCAAGGCTGGTGTCACCAGAGCCCACAGTCAGGGCGCCAGCTTTGGGGGCTGGGGCGATGCAGGCAGGGTGGGCAGGGGGAGCCCTTCATCCGAGCCCAGCTGCTGACAGTGGGCAGGTTGCTTTGCCTTTCGGAGCCTCAGTTTCCCCGCTGGTAAAATGGGGGTCAGGGTTAGTTCTGTGATTGTGAAGAGTGCCCCCTCCTCCCCGTGCAGTTTGTGTCGCTGCCCTAACCACCAGGCCCGCACACAGCAGGCGCTCAATACATGCTCCCCGCCAGATGCCACTGGGCCAGCACGGCCTCCCTGCCAGGGCTGCAAGTTGCCTGAGGCCCTGCCCCGGGACAGCTGGGCACACGGCAGGGCCCCGAGCCAGCCGAATAGGGAGCAACCTGGGAAAGGACTCAACCTCTCTGAGCCTCAGTTTCTTCCTGGGGAAAGGCGGGTGGTGTTACCTTCCTTCCAGGGAGACAGGAGATAAAACCCCAGGAAGGGCCAGGGGAGGCTCCATAAACGAATGGGCCAGTGTCCAGCCTCTTCTGAGCGCCATGCCTGGACTCTGGTGGCTGTCCTCACGGGCCCCCCTCTCGGATGAGATGCGGGCCTGGCCCAAGGGCACCTGTTCAACTAGGGGCCTTCTTCTTCCTTCTGCCTCTTCAGGGGTTCCTTGTACGGAGCTAAAATTCAACCCTTGGGGTTTTAATCTCCTTGGAGAGGGGAGCAGAAACCCACTGTCAAGGAGATGCCAGGTCCATTCACGCCTGGGGATCATCTGCTCACTTCACCGTCCCCTCCATGGTGAGGTGAGGAGGGCCCTGGGGTGCAGCAGGGTCCAGGGAGAGTGCAGCCTGTGTTATCCTGGCAGTCTCCTCTCGGGGGCCCCTCAGGGAGGTCCCCTGCTTCCCACCTGTGCTTTCCTTTCCTTCCTCCCCAGACGCTGTCTCTGTGTGGGGTTCCCATCCTGCTCTAGTTGTCTCCACCTTTCTCCCCATCGCTTTCTTGGAGTCCCGTCTGTCTCCACACCTGCCCCGTTTCGCCCACAGCTCCTCCGCTCTGTGCTTCTCTTGTCATCTCTCGGCCACTCTCCATGCTCCAGCCTCCCCCTGCCCCCCTCAGTCTCCACCTCTCCTGGGTGAGTCCCTTCTGGTGCAGGCGCCTCCCCTACCCGCTCGCCCTCGCGCGGTTCCCCGGTGGCCGCTCGCCCTCTGCTGGCGCCGGCCGAGTCTAGCTGTTAGCACCGGCCTGCTGGCCCAGGCGCCGGCCGCTGCGACCTTCCAGCCTGGAAAGCCAGTGTCCAGGCCCACGGCCCCAAGAAAAGAGGCAGGCCATGGGGCAGGTTGCGGGGAACATCCTAGAAGGGGATCCTGCCTCTCCCTCCCCATCACCTCAGGCTTGCCCACTTGGGTGAGATCCAGAGGGTACCCCGGCCTCTTCCCGCTACCGTCAGCTTTCCTGCCCCGCTGGGTCTGCCTCTGCTGGTCACTGAGGGACAGTCACTGAGCTCCCGCTGAGGGTCAGGCACTGTTCCAGGGCCCGCGCGCCCACAAGCCCCCAGCAACCCCCAGGCTGGCTTCTGGGGTGCTTGAACCGTGGGAACTGAGATGCCCCATCAGTGTCAGGCGCACACCAGATCCCGAAGACTTGGCATAAAAAAATAGAGCATCTCCAGGCCACTCCCCTGCCAGTCCCAAGCCGGGGGACGCTATTTTAGACATACCGGGCTAAGTAAGGTCTGTGACTGCCGTTCACTGGCCTGTTACTCTGTTTAAAATGTGGTGACTACAATTTTTTTGAATTACATTTTTGGCTCCGACGTGGGACGGGGCTGCTCTGGGGGCTGTCTGGGGACACCAGTGACTAAAACTAGCGCTGCCCACGGAGCTCCTGCTCTCGCCGGGGAGACAGACGGAACAGGTAAGCAGAGGCCAGTGCTGCGGGGAGAAGCAGCCAAGGGGAGGGGGTGACCCCCCCTGCTTTACGGAAAGCAGAGGCCTGAATCCAGTGAGGGCCAGGCTGCCCCCCACAGGGAGGGGCGTGGTGAGGGCGCTGCACCACCAGGGGAAACAGGGAGTACGAAGCTTCTGCTCTCGCTCCTGGCCTTTCCAGAGCAGCCAGATAAGGTGTCCCCACAAGTGGGCACACAGTGGGCACTCGGTGAAAGGGCCTTACCTCCTACCCTGCACCGAGGTAATGGAGGCTCAGCCACCCCAAACCACCTCTCCCAAGCCCCTGAGTCCCAGCCAGGCATCTCATTCACCCGCTGCTCCCTTGCCCTCTGAGGGGGCAAACAGGGATGCAGCCACCTACCTTTAGCAGCGGGGCCACCTGCCCGGCTGTCTGGCTGGTCCATGGGCCACCTCAGCCACTCGGCAGCAGCCGGTGAAGCTAGCAGCCTCCCTCCATCGCCGGGAGGGACCCGAGGGGGACCAGTCGCCCCGACAGCTCCTGGAAGGACAAGCCGGAGAATGGCCTCCTCAGACAGCCACTTTGGGGTGGGGACCCGCCCTGCCCCACCTGTGCCTGGGGCTACTCTGGGTTCTCAGAACCTGTTTGCCCACCCCCGTCTGGACCAGGGCAGGGCCGCCCAGACCTGTTTTATGGATTGGAGATGTGGGGTGGGAAAATGGGGGCCCGAGTGGGTGGCAGAGATCAAAGGGGGGCCTACGCGTGGGGGGATCACTGCCTCCTCACCTCCCTTACTCCCCAACAGCTTGTCAAGTCTCCAGTCCTGTCCCTTGTACCCTGTCCCCTCCTCTCCTTCCTTATAGCTCAGGCTCAGGCCTTGTCCTTGGTCCCTGGCCCCTTGTCCTGGTCTCCTCCGGGCCTCCAGTCCATCCCCACAGGGCCCCAGCACTGACCTGCCCCTCTCTCTCAATATTCTTCCATGGCTCCCCAGCACCACAGGGGCAGAGCCTAGACCCTGGACTGGGAGGAGGGTGCTGCACACTGGCCGAGCTCACCGTCCACACCAGCGGTGCGCTGCTCCCCCACTGGGCTGCTGTCCCCCCTCAGGGGTCTGCCTGGGATACCCTCCTTGCCAGCCCTTCCTGTGTCTGCTCACTCGCCCATGCTCTGGGAAGACGTGTCTGAAGGAGGCGCTAGCTGGGGCTCCTACATCACCCCGGTTGGCCATCATTCTGGCCAAATCAACCTGTTTGGAACCATTGGCCTCCACCTCTTCCCTGCACCCAGCCCTCTCCTGGCTCCGTGGTGCCCCTGGCACGACTAAGTTCTCGTCCCCCAGGCTGGGTGGTGCGGAGGGGCCTCAGCAACTGCCACTCTCCTCGCCATCAGCCACCCCCAGCGCTCACCCTCAGTGCCGTTTCATGGCCTCTGGTCCCATGGCCTCTGAGGCCTGGGCACTCGGCTCACACTGGCCTCACTTGTGGCCCTTCCCAGGCTCCCAGCCCCTCTTCTGCCCCCCCCCCCACATCTTCCCTGAATCCATGGAGCAGCCAGGGACTCCCTCCACTGTGCCTCAAGACTGCCCAGCCTGCCTCCGTTACCACCAGGCTGACCCTGAGATTTATAGTCTCAACTCCAGGACAAAGCGAAAGGGGTGCTATTAACGATGACACTGGACAACGGTGCCCAACTGGACTCAACTGGGCACGCGGGGCACTGTCCACCCCACCCTACCAGCTCAGCCCCCCATCCCACACCCTGCTCACCCCAAACTGGCACATAACCTTGGATCGCACCCTTCCTGGTGGCTTTTAGAACATCCCAGAAAAAAAAGATCTTTTAAGGGAGACCCTTCCAGGGCTTGGACGACACTGGAGAGCAGGTGTAAAGGGGGCCCCGAGTGGGGGAGGGTCCCTGCTGACCGCAGCTTGGGGAACAAACTCCCTGGACGGGTACCCAGGTTCATCATCAAGGTCTCTGATGGGGAGATTTTAGCAGAAGGACCTGGGTAGGAATTTGGGGTCTTCAAAGGGTTTTGGACTTCTTGGGGGAAGTTCTCTGGCTGTATTTCTGGGGGTCACTGGCTGGATGTCCTGGGTCTGATAGGATTTGGGTAAGGCGTCTGGGGGGGTTCAGGAGGGCCTCTCTGCAGGCTCTGAGGGGAAAGTCTCATAGAATTTCTAGATCTGACCAAACGTCAGGGGGGCCATCATAAAATGCCCCGGCGGGCGCCTTTCGGTATTCCCGAGGGGATTTAGTCAAGTTTCAAGAAGACTTTGAACAGAATGTGGAAGATCCTGATATTGGGGAGTCGCTCCTACGACTGGGGGGCCTCTGCAGGATTCCGGGAGGGAGTCTGACTGGGTTGTTCTGGGGAAGCTCGCCACGGCCAGGACGCACCTGGAGCCACGTCCCGGCCTCGGGACACACGTCGAGAGCCACAAACGACGAAACGGCAGTTGCGCTGGGGAGAAACGCGCGTGCGCCTTCCCGCCACACACGCCAGAAAAAAAAAAAAAGCGAAGGGGAGGGGGCGGGACCGAGGGCGCGCACGGCGTCGAAACCCCGCCCCTCAGAGCTCCTCCCTTGACGCAGGCGCACTCGGGGCGAGGCGCGCGCGACTCCCGGACTCTTGGTCGATTACCTGCCACAGCGAAGTCGCGCATGCGTGGGGCTGGTCTGCAGCCTAGCGGCGCGCGCGCATGCGTATAGGTCGGGCAGCGGAAAGGTACCGGGAGTATGGCGGCTGGGGCGAGAGCGGGGTTGCCACGAGCCCTGCGCTGGGGTCGCTTGTGCGGCCTCAGCCTTCGGTGAAATGAACTCGAAGAGGGGAGCATTGGGCAGAGGGACTTCTTGTCCATATTCCACTTATTTTCCACTGCCAAGCCGTTCCTTTTCTGTCTTCTGTTGGTGCCAGGCCGCCCTGCACCGTCACAATGGGGGTGCGCCCGAGCTGTGGCAGTACTTCCCCGAGGATGCTTCCCCACACCGTTTCATTCTCTCTAGGGGAGATTAGGGGGAAATAGTTACGTTTTCTTGCCTAGAAAGAGGAAGAGAGTCTAAAAATTTGAGAAAGCTTTGGGACAAAACGTGACCCACCCAGCCCGCCTCTTTGCTACCCAGACCTTGTTGCATCTTCCCCTTCTCCCCGCCGTCATTAGCGGCCTTCCGTGGCTGTGCCTACCCTGGACCCCCACCTCTACCTTCTCGCTGTGTTAGGGGTCCCCACGTCCCACCCCGTGACGGTCTGTATTTGTGTAGTGCCTGTAACCCCCACCGGAGTGTGCTTTCTATTCAGTACGAGAATGTTTGGGGATTAGAACGTGCCTGGCCCTCTGTGGGTGCTCAGAAAAAGTCTGGTAGAACTGTTATAGGGCAGCCCCGATATTGAAATTAGCTTTAGGACATCCTTTCCCCCCTAACAGAACGAATGGAGGGAATTGGGCAGTGTGGAAGGGTGGAGTCAGACTCAGACTCCATTTCCTACCTGTGTCTTTTTTTTTTTTTACCATGGTCCTTACCTTCTCTGAGCCTCAGATTGATTACAGGACCGTATTTGCTGCTTAGGTTACCTTGAGGACTTAAGGTGGTGACCCTTGTTAACTGATAAATATTACTTGGGTGGCCATTTATAAAGCAGCTGTTTGGCAACACCGGCCAGTGTTTAAAAGGATGAGATACAGGATCAGACAAACTTAGGACGTTGCTGTGTGACTTTGGCAAGTGACTTCACTTCTCTGATCCTAGGCTTTTCTAACGTGGGGATAAATGATACCCCACCATAATATTTCATGGTGTCTTATAAGAGTTCAATTAGATGTTTACCAAGAATTTTCTTAGCACAGACTGGAAGGTGGTGGACCCCTTAGCTTTATTGTATAACTTAAGCCTTTCAGTTTATTCCTTCACAATGTCTTCTTCCTTTCTTGGGATCTTGGTAATTTTGAAAAACGTAAACAAAAAATTTTTGGTATGCTAAATCTTAAATTATAGCTCAATTAAATTTTTATAGTAATACAATAGTTGAACCAGACGTATGAAAAGAGTATCGCGTGAAGGCTAGATATTGTCACACGTCCTCCTAATCACACCCTCCATATTAACTTTGGGTTATGATCGCTTTTCCTCACATTATATTTATGAGATTCATCATATGGCAGTAACTCATTCTTTTCATCACTGTATTAACAGTCTCAAGATTATGCCACAAATTAACCTCTTTACTTTTGAAGGACATTGGATTATCTCTGAGTTTTGATAGTTAATAAAACTATTACTCTGTATTATTTATTTAGGTTTTCTTTAATTTCTCTTAGTAATGTCTCATAGTTTTCTAGTAAGTCCTTAAAAGTTTATTGAAGTCGCATTACAGCATTACATACGTTCCAAGCATGCATCAAGAATTCTTGTAAATCTTTGACTAGATATAGTCCTAGGTATTATTTTTTTTTTATGGTAAAGGAAATCCATTTTTAAAAACCTTTTAAAAATTTTTGTTCATAAATTCAGACCTTTGGATTCAGAATTGTTGGGACCTTCTCCTGGAAAGACCTGTGGGTAGACAAAGGTCTAGAACTTTGTAGGCCATTGATCTCCACCTCAAACTGTAGTCTAAGTGCAGCTCCTACCCTGGCCCTGCCTCTCCCAGCACTGCTTGTTGCCTCCCACAGCCAGTACAAGTGGGCCTGACCTGTTACACCAGTGACTGTGTACCCTCAGCATGGCTGACTGCATCCAGCTCCCTCTGAGAGCTGAACCCTCTGAGCTGTCCACCGCTGCTGGCCTCCAGCACCACCTCCTGGTGCTGTGGCCTCTGACACTGTCCATTCTGGTGTCCGGCTCTGGCCAACTAGCGTTTGAATAGGTGTTGCTGGTGACTCTGGTGCCACCTCAGCAGTGCCGCCGTGAGTTGAATCTTGGCCCACCTCACTGCCAGCTCCAGGACCTCGCTGAAGGGACAGTGTCACCTTGCACAAATGCTCTTGGTTTGAACTACTGGACACTGTGGACACCATCTGGGGTGAGATGGCTGGTCACTTGTGCCTTCAGGTCATGTTCTGTGTTCTTTATCTCAGGTGTGAGGACACACCAACCTTTTCTTTCTTTTTTTCCCTTGCATAGAAGAATGGGGTGTAGGCCAGAGATGCAGGGGGTGAGAGGATTCACCAGAGTGGGGAGCAGAAAGGTGGATCTACTGAAATACACTGCTGAGGGGAGCAGCAGGTGAGACAGGAGTGGTCTGCTGCGCTATATGGGTCAGCTCCCTGGCCGAGGATCGAACTCAGGCCGTCGAGGTGATAACGCTGAGACATAACCCCCTACGCCACCAGCGAGGTCCCATGCATTACTTTTAACAGTGGTATTGAGATAGCATTCACACCCACATGATTCACCCTTTTTTTTTTTAGTTTTATTTTTTATTTTTTTTAATTTTATGTTTATATTCCCCATACAATTGCAACCCCCTTATTTTGATCCCAATCCCTTCTTTCCCCACCCCCCCCACCCCCCATAGTGTGTCTCTGGTTCATAGTTGTTTGTTGATTTTGATTTTTTCTTTCTTATAGTTATTCATGATTCACCCTTTTAAAGTGTGTAATTGGGTGGTTTCCAGTAGATTCTCAGAATTGTCCATCACAATTGATTTTAGAACATTTTCATCACCCCCCAAAAGCTGCCCCATATCCCTTAAGCCATGACTGCATCTTAATTCTCCTATTCCTGAGCCCTAGGTAACCACTCATCTGCTTTCTCGGTAGATTTGCAGATTGGCACGTATAAACAGATCATGCATTATCCGCTCCTTTGTGACTGGCTTCTTTGGCTTAGCCTAATGTTTTCTAGGTTTTATGCTGGATTTATTCCATGGATTAGCCCTCATGCAATTGTGGGAGCTGCCTGTGTCTGGTGCCAGGCTGGCTGTGGGGAAGACAAGAGGCATATGAAGTGGGAGTATGAGGATGCCCTGGAGCCCTGAACACGAGCTGGAATCCATGGCAATGAACTTGGCACCATCTCTCACTGCCTACAAACCTCCTGCTTCCACCATGTGGGTGACCTGCAGAGAAGCTGACACACTTGGCCATGGAGCTACACACAAAATGGCTGAGGATTTCTAGGAGCCAAAAGCAGCTTGGTGGGAACTGGAGGAACTGTGGGCCCTGCTGTTGCCCACGTGGCCAGCAAGGTGAGCTGGAGATGCTTGATGTAACCTCAGCTTTCAAGACTAAGCATCGCTCGGCTTCACTTCTGCCTTCCAAATCCTAATGCAAATTTCTTCTGTCCTCAGAACCATGCAGGGAGAGGAATTCTGGGACATGCAGTTTAGGCTTAGCTGAGTGGATGCCACACTTAGTGCCCTGAGTCCTGGGTGTGATTAGGTTATATGCAACCCTGGAGACTGCTCTAGGGAACAGAAAGTCTACCTCCCTGCCCTCTGGGCTACAGGGGACTCAGCACCCCCACCTGCCTTCTCCATGGTGGGCTTAGAGGGAGGGGTCTCAGAGGGAACAGAAGGTGCTCGGGCACAGGAAGAGTGGACAGGGCTTCCAAGACAAGCAGTGGGTGAGCTTCTGGGTTTGGCTGAGGCATCAGGTCTGGCAGAGAAGGGGCCTAGGGTGATGGGCATCGTGGGGGGTTGGCGCACAGAGGGCCAAGGGGAGAGGAGCAGAGCAGTTCAGCGAAGAAGCCGGCGTGTAAGTGGAGCGATAGGGACATAAAGACGTTGAGTCGAGACAGTGGGGCGGGGGTGTAACCAGTGGGGCTGGAGAACTAAGAATTGGGGGCTGGAGGTGACTGGGTCAGGACTTACAGGCAGGATCCTGGCCCCGGAGGATGACCATCCTCTGATTCCTGGAACCTGAGAAACACATTGTCCAGATGGGCCCAATCAATCCCATGAGCCCTTAAAGGCAAACAACTGCCTCCCCTGCTGGAAGAGGAAGAAAGCTGGGGCAGAAGGGACAGCAGAGAGACCCAAGTATGAGAGCTAAAGCGTATGCCAGAGGGATTCCCCACGGGGTGAAGAGTGGGCAGCTGACAACCAGCCAGAAAGAGGGGCCTCAGGGCCTTTCTGGTGCCTCAGAGGTTCAAGTCTCAGCACTATCAAGCTATCAGCAGCCGCTGTGGACTGAGTTCAATCCCTGGCCAGGGAGCTACCCACATAGCACAGCAGACCTCGCCTGTCTCACCCATTGCTCCCCTCAGCAGTGTATTTCAGTGGATCCGCCTGTTCTGCTCCCCACTCTATCTCTGGTGGATCATCTCACCCCAGCACCTCTGGCCTGCACCCCAGTTTTTGTATGCATAAATGAAAACAAATATTTAAAAAAAAAAAAGAAAAAAAGAAAGCAGGATCTCAGCCCCACAACCCAAGGGCCCATGATGCAACAACCGGAATGATCTTGGAAGCAGGGTCTTCCCAGAGCCTCCTGAGCGGAACCCAGCTGGCAGACACCTGGATTTTGGCCTTGAGACCTCAACAGAGGCCCAGCTGAGTCGTTGCTGCATGTAGGACTACAGGTCTTAGAGTTCCATCTGCCTTGTTTTCAGTCACTGTGCGCTCACTTGCTGCAGTGAGGACACTCAGGCAGGACAGAGGGGACAGATGGGGCTGGACAGAAGGGCAGACAGGGCTGGACGTGACAGGGGCGGGGCCTGAGAGAAGGATGGGGCTGGAGTTGCTCAATCAGAAAACTGTCGAGCGAGAAAAAAACGGGCCTGGAGACCTTGCCAGGAGCTTGCACTGCTGTCTGCTGTCGGATGTCCCCAGGTCAGGGTCAAAACCTTGGTTGTGTCACCTGCTGCGCCTTGCATGGGGACAGATCCCAAAAAGCGATGGTGCTTCTAGATGTAAGAAAAAACTTTATTTCTATATGTTGCTTGGGGCTGGGAGGGACGTGCGCAGACGTCTCGTGGCCCCCGGCTCTATAGCTTCTGGGAGGGCCTCAGGATGAACAGGAAGTGAGTCTTGCGAGGGGCTGGCAGCTTGGTGCGGGAGGAGCCCGGGGTCTCCTCATCCGGAACATCCTCTCGGGCCCCTTCAAGGAGCCCATCCCGGATGGCCTGCAGGCGGTGTCGCTTCTCGCTGAGGCCGCCGCCCTCAGGGTTGTCCTGGTGGGACCTCCGCCTAGGGAGCTTCATGATCCAGAAGGCCGCTCTGGGGCGGGGCTCCGGGTGGAAGCTGTTCATGGCCTCCTGCATGGGCACCAGGACCTCCTTCTCTTCTACCCTGGGCACCTGGGGAGGAGGAACAACTAGGGAGTCCCTCTCAGATGCCGAAGGACATCCTCCTGGGATGATCAGTCCCTGCGGGCACATTCAGCCCACTTGGCCTCCTTCCAGGCCGCCTCAGAGTTGAAAGTGCGCTTTGCTGCAAGGGCTTTGGGAGTAGAAATGCTGGGAGACATCTGTGGGATTGAAGAGACTTTTCCTAAGCGTTCTAGAGTTTGTAACACCTTCTGGGGGGACAGAGTGTTTCAGGATTGAACATTCTCGTTGTAGAAAGCAGTGCGATATGCACAGAACACTTTGGGATGAAAAGCTCTCGGCTTTTGCTGCTCCCCTCAGCAGTGTGTTTCAGGCAATCCGCCTGTTCTGCTCCCCACTCTGTCTTTGGTGAACCCTCTCACCATCCCCTCTCCCTGCACCTCTGGCCTTCAACCCAGCTCTTGTGTGCATAAATAATTTTTTTTAAAAAGCTTTCAGCTTTGGGTCTCCCTGGTGGCGCAGGCGGTTGAGTGCCGTGCTGTGAAGCAGTCTGCAGCCCCTGCAGCGCGGATTTGATCCCAGCCAGCCGCGGAGATACCCACATGGCGCGGCAGACCTCTACTGTCTCGCCCGCTGCTCCCCTCAGCAGTGTATTTCAGTCTGTCTGCCTGTTCTATTCCCCGCTCTATCTCTGGTGAATTCTCTCACCCTCTCGCACATCTGGCCTGTACCCCGATTCTTCTATGCATGAATAAATAAATCTTTAAAAAAAAAAAAAAAGCTCTCGGCTTTGACAAAGGCAGCATGACCGCCAGTGCCGTGTGTGATCCTTGACTGGATCCTGGATTGCTGGTCATGTCAGCCCCCTTGGAGGACAGCCGGGGCCCTGCGAGGGCGCTGGGGCAGGGGCTGAAGTTCTAATGCGGTCTTTGCTGTACTAGAGTGAGGGTGAGGGACTCGCAGCAGCCCCGGGTTGTCACTCATGCAAAGCAGTGAGTGCCTCCCCACCCAGACCCATCCAAGCGCGGCATTTTCACAACCTGAGGTCTGAGATGTCCTGTGGGAGATGGTTATGGGTTGCATTGGGACACCCCCCCCCACCAATTCATATGTCAAAGTCCTAACCCCTAATACCACATTCAGATGTGATCTCATTTGGAAGTGAGGCCCTTGAAGACTTTCAGTTAAGATGAGGTCTTTAGGGTTGAGCCCTGATCCAGTCTGACTGGTGTCCTCATGCAGAGGGGAAAATCGGACATCGAACTGTTTCTAGGGAGAAGATTCTGGGAAAATGAAAGCAGAGACCGAGAGGATGCAGCTACCCCACAAGCCAAGGAGCATTGGCCAACCACTGAGAACTGGGGCCAGGGCTGGAGCAGAAGGAAGCAGCCCTGCTGACACCCCAATCTTGGACACCCAGCCTCCAGAACCATGAGACAATACCTTCCTGGGGTTCAAGTCAGGACACCTGTGGGACTGTGTTGTAGAGGTAACAGTTTGGGGTCCGTGTTCAGTACCTTGGGTGTAAAAGTGGAACTGTGTTATGTGGGAGGTGTCGTTGTGTGGTGTGTGTGTGGGGGGGTGGTGGTGAGAGGATTCACCAGAGCGAGTGGGGAACAGAGCAGACAAGATTTACTGAAATACACTGCTGAGGGGAGCAGCTGGGAGACAGGAGAGGTCTGCTGCTCCATGTGGGTAGCTCCCTGGCCGGCCAGGGATTGAACTCGTGCTGTAGTGGCTGGCAATAGCTTGATAGTGCTGTCTGTAACCCCTGCGCCACTAGGCAGGCCCCGGCTTCGTTATTCTTGGGAGCTGTCTGCTGGAGGATTTAGGGGTAAAGTGTCATGATAGCAGTAGAGTGTCAGATGGTTCCAGAGTGCAAAAGTAAAAATAAAGCAAATGTGGTCAAATGCTCCACGGTGGTGACTCTAGGCCGGTGGTGGGAACGTCTAGAGATATTGTTGGTGGTCACAACTGGGGTGGGGTGGGGTGTGGCTTCTGTCTGGTGGGTGATCACAAAAGGTGATCTCAAATGCCACAGGTGTGGAGGTGGAGAAACCCAGCCCTGTGTGAAGGAGATACAGGTAGATTTATAGCACTGGTTTTTCCAGAATGTCTATAGATTTGAACATTAAAAAAAAAAAAACCCTCCCTGCCCCAAACTGGTGTGGGTGTGGAAAGCAATATGGGTGAGCCAAGTATTTGGGGGCTCTTAAAACATTTTTTTAGGATAAAAAACTAGCACTGTGGTGAGAACCCTCTCAAATGTTTATAAGGGGATACCTACAAGGGACTTGGGACCAGCGGGACACCTGGCAAGTTAGTATCACATTTTCACCTTCACAAAGGAGAGATTTACTAAGCAAGTCGGGATGGATGAAAAAAAATACTCCCAGGTCTCCCCATGCTCTGGTGACTGTTTCGCCATAATGGAAGCCATTTTCAGCAGCGTTGGGGGGTGGGGGGGGGGGCGGGAATGATGCCCAGCAAAGCAGGGCAGAATGACAAAGACTGGATATTGACAGAGCAGACAACTTGGCAACAAAATACTTATGCAAATGAGTGAACATGATTAAACAAGGTGAGGGCTTTGAGGTGAAGAGGGAGGGGCAGAGAGGCAGCAATAAGGGGATATTAGGGATGGCGATGGGGAGAATAAATAGTAAATATATATATTTTTCGCACATAGAAGAACGGGGGTATAGGCCAGAGGTGCAGGGGGTGAGAGGATTCACCAGAGACAGAGTGGGGAGCAGAACAGACGGATCTGCTGAAACACACTGCTGAGGAGAACAGCTGGGAGCCAGGAGAGGTCTGCTGTGCCATGTGGGTCAGCTCCCTGGCAGGGGATGGAACTCAGGCTGGAGTGGTGATAGTGCTGAGACTTAGCCCCTAGGCCACCAGGGAGGCCCAAATGTTAAATATTTAATGGATAACAAAATACTGAGGTTTGCAGAGTTCTATTAGATAAAAACATGTTGAGGTTTCCAAAGATGGGGCTCAAAATTAAAAGCATGTATGTCTTCATTTACAAATTGCTTCCGTGGCTCACAAAACCTTCCAGGTTTTACTAAGCCAGTTGGGGTGCACTCTGAGGTTGTAAACCTCTTTTCTAAGAGTTGGTGAGTCCCTTGCGACAGATGACAAAACTGAGGCCCAGAGAAAAGAAGTCGGTGCAGAGGAAGTCCCACCCAGGGCGTTCCATCTAAACTACAGAAAATGTCAAGGCTTGGACACTTCGTGGGGGAGGGGCCAATGTTCTAACCTTCCAGTCACCCTCCAAATTGCCCTCTCCTGGGTCGATCGATGCCACCACCTTCTCGGAGATCAGTACCTCTCCTGTCTTGTTGTCTGTCACCTGTGAGGGGAGGAGAGAGAGCAAACCCGCTTTCTTGCTCTGCCAGTTCCAGATACTGCAGCATGAGGGATGATGGAGAGACTCCAGGAGGGACTTCCTGGCATGGTACCTTGTCAAGCTGGATGTGGCTGGAGAGCGTCTTGTTCCCCATCCTACGTTCCTTGTTCTCTTCTTGGTGGTAGTTTTTGGGGAGGCCCCGGAAGTCCACCGGGGAAGAGAAGAAGCTGTCTATGCCGCGCAGCAGGTCATCCTGGGGCCAGACAGAGGGTGGTGAGCGGCTGGCACTCGGTCCATCAGCAACCTGCCAAGATGCCTTAGAGCCTTGCCCCAAGCCCTTCCATCCCCTTCCCTCTCAGAACCTCAGGGACTAACCAGGTCTCCTTCTGCCCCCAACCCCCCAATCTGTCCTGTCTGTTCTCTACCTCATTGCTCTTCTCTCCTTGTTGCTCATCTCTCCTGTTGTCTCCCTGTCCCCATCCCCCTCTTCTGTCTCTCTCCATCCAGTCTCTTCTCTCTGTCCCATCTCTGTCTCTGGCTGTCTCCCTTCCTCTCCTGCTTTTCCTTTTTTTTTTTTTTTTTTTTTAAAGATTTATTTATTTATACACGAACCGGGGTACAGGCCAGATGTGCGGGAGGGTGAGAGGTTTCACCAGAGACAGAGCAGGGAACAGAACAGGCAGACTGTTGAAATACACCGCTGAGGGGAGCAGCAGGCGAGACAGGAGAGGTCTGCTGCACCATGTGGGACCCTCGCCGGCCGTCGGGATCGAACCAGCGCTGCAGAGGCTGTGGGCAGCTTCACAGCGTGGTGCTCAACAGCCTGCGCCACCAGGGGAGGCCCTCTCTCCTGCTTTTCTGTCTCCTTGTGGCTCTTTGTCTCTCTGTTCCTTTCATCCCCTCTTCCTGTCTGTCCTTCTGCCTGGCCGGGACCGTCTCTGGCTCAGTCTCCCTGATGCCCTTCCATCCCAGTCTCCCATCTTCCCTGGTTCCTCTCCTCTTCTTTGCCCTGGCCCCTGCCAGCTCACTTTTAGGAAAAGCCGAGTGAAGTCTTGGAGTAGGCTCTGGAGGCCTAGAAAACCGGAGGAGCTGTCCTGGACGTCAGTATCACGGATCGGGGCGGCAGTGGATGGGGGCACCCAGGCGGAGAACAGCAGCAGCGGCAGGACCAGCAGGTGCCACATTGCAGGGCGGGCGGGGAGGCTGTGGACAGGGTAGGGGTCAGGGCCTTCGCCCCCTATCAGGCCCCTTAATGGCCACAGCCCCTTAATGGCCATGCCCCATCCAAACCCGGGACAATTGCCCTTTCCTACCCATTGCCCAGGCCCGCTGTCCATGGCACGTCCATTCCTGCTCTGCCCCCTCCGTCAGCCCCTCCCCCCATCGGGTGAGGCTGCGTCCCTCCTCCCGGGAGTGGCTCTGGGAGCTCGGCCTCATACTCAACACGACCTCGTCCTTACTCTCGCTCCATTCAAACCCAGATCTCACTCCTCACCTCCCACGCCCCGCCCCTCCTTCTGGGGCCCGCCTTGATGCTAGACCACAGTCGGGCCACCGGACTCTCGGACTCCGACGGTGCCCGGACTGTTGGGTCCAAACAGTTCTGGTCTCGAGCCCAGGCCGGGTACCTGGAACGCTGGGGGAGGAGTCCGCGCGGCCCCGCCTCGCTCCCATTATCTAGCCACGCCCCCAGCTGCTGACACCGCCCACAAGCCGGGCCTGCCATTGGGTGGCCACGCCCCTAGGGCCAGGGCCACGCCCCCCGGGGCGCTGGCGCCGGAGCCCGGCGGCAGTTGCAGGTGGCCACGCCCCTTGACTACTAGCCATACCCCCTCACCTGGGCCCCGCCTCTGAACCCCAGATTCTGAGCCCTCAGATTCGTTCCTCGTGTCCCTCTGCTTGTGAAACGCTCGCGTCCCCGCGGTCCGGTACTGCCCCCCACGCCGCAGTCTCGCCGCGCCCCCTCGGGCCTCCGGGAGCTGCGGTGAGCAGCGCTCTCGACAGAAGCCGTCGAGGGACGCCGGGCCGGAGCCCCCGAACCGCTAAACTTCCCGCCCTCTTCGCAAACCCCAAGTCCAGCCCTGTGTTTCACCTTCCCAGCAACTCAGGGTCAGGATTCCCTAGTCCGGACCCCAGCACGCCGCAGCTCCAGGCCCGTGAGTGTGGACACCTGGCCCCCCTCTCAGGGACCCGGGCCCGGGTCAGGCCCCTCTGCGGAGACGGCGCCCCGATCCGGGACCGCCATCCCCGCGGGTCGGCCTGCGCGTGTGGGTGTGGGGTCTGCGGCTCCGCGGGCCTCGGGAAACGCCCCCTGGTCTTGCCACGACTTTTAACCCTGGTGAGAGCCCGAGGAAACCATATCAGCAGAAATCAGCCCGAACCCTCGCCCAATCCTCAAAAATAAACGTGGGGCTGAACAGAAAAGATTCCTTTGTGCTCTTATCACTTCCACATCCAACAGATAAACTGAGGGAGTCCAGATCCCCAGCCCCCCCCATCAGTCCCAGGCCAGACTCCAGCACCCTCCTCCCGCGGGCCGGGCGGCCAGGCCCCGGCCCTTCAGCCCAGGCCCCTGCCCCCTCCCTCAGCCCCCCCAGATCCCCAGCCCCTCCTCCATCCCAGGTTGCCAGGCCCCCTCCCTCAGCCCCCCCAGATCCCCAGCCCCTCCTCCATCCCAGCTTGCCCGGCCCCCTCCCTCAGCCCCCCCAGATCCCCAGCCCCTCCTCCATCCCAGCTTGCCCGGCCCCCTCCCTCAGCCCCCCCAGATCCTAGCCCCTCCTCCATCCCAGCTTGCCCGGCCCCCGGCCCCCCCCCCAGCCCGGCTCGGGACCGCCAAACTTCCTCCTCCTGCCGGGATCCGAGCATCCGAATCCCGAAGTTTCTATCAGGCCCAATTAGACTTCACTGCTCCTTTCGCGCAGCGAAAATCCTCCCCCCAACTGTCACCGTCGGATCCCCAGTCCCTCTGTCCGGCGCCCGGGCCCGCCCCCCTCCGGTCCCTCCCACTTTTCCCAAACAAAGCTCCCCGCAACTTTCTCCCTCGCCGCGCCCCGCCCGCCCGCGGCTCCCCAGCCCTGGCCGGGAGGTAGGAAGGCGCCGGCGGGAGTCGGGGATCCTGCCTTGGGGTGTGTGAGTTGGGGTGGGAAGTTACGCGGGAGGAGTTGAGGTGTTTGCGGGACCCTCGGAGGGGCTCGCCGCTCCTTCTCGCCCTGGGGCGCGAGTTTGCGCCCCGGAGCGAGTCTGCGCGTGGGGCTGGGGCTTGGGCTGGCGTGAGGGTCTCTCGACGGGGCCTGAGCTGGGGGTGTGCGCCTGGGAGGGGGTGAAGGCCCGGGGTGCGGGTGGGAGATGGGGTGCGCGGGCCTCTGCGGCGGTGGGCGGTGTAAATGAGCAAGGACCCCGCGTTTCGGACCGAATTGGTTTGCGTGTGTCATTTTGTGGGCGCCTGCTCCCCCTGGAGAAAGGGAGCCCGGGGGGGGGGCAGAGGGAGGCCACGGTACTTTCTGGATCTTCAGCCTTGTCCCTTCGAAGGTTTGGGGCCTAGAGCAGGAAATCAGGGGGGACCTTTTTCACCCGGCTCCGCCGTCCCTTTGTCTGGCCACATGGGGGAAGGCTGGGCTGGGGTTTTGGCCTACGGGGGTCCTGAGGCAGCGCCAATGGGCTCGGCCTGGGGTCTTTGTCTGTCTGGGCCGGGACTCCAGGGTCCGAGGGCGGAGGGGGATGGGGCCCTGGGCGCTGAGGTCCTGGGAAAACCGTGCAAGACGTGGAGCCGCGAGGGAGGCGGGAGCTGACTGTATTGGAAAGTTTCCCCCGTTCCCGGCCTCCGGAAAGTCAGTGGGAACTTGAGTTGGAGCAGAGCCCACCGCGCAGGGGGAGGGGCGGGGGCGGGGCCGGACGGGGGGGCGGCGCGCCCCTGCCGGCCCCTCCCCTGATGGGGGTTGTGGGAAACTGGGGGAGGGGACGCCTGGGCCCTTTGTTCTGGCTCTCCCGATGGCTGGGCGCCCCTGCCCCCCAGCCTGTGGATCTGTGGGTGTTTCTTGGTGTCGGCTGATCTCTGCCCTTCTCGGGGTCTCTGCTCCTCTCCTTGGGTCTGTGTCCACTTCTCTCTGGGACTCTTGGTGTCTCCCCTCTCTGGGTCTCTGGCCCCCTCTTTCCCTAGGTCTCTGCCCTCCACTGCCTAGGGGTCGCTGTTCCCCTCCCGCTGGGTCTCTGTCCCCCTTTCTCTGGGGGTCCCCTCAACCTTGCTGGCCCCATGCCCCTCCTCCTCTTTGCCTCGCAGCTGCTGCTCCTATCTTAGCACCTGTTCTTGGGGTGGGACTGAGATCTCGCCTCCAGCCCCCTTCCCGGCAGCCAGGCCCCGACTCCTGTCTTTCTTAAAATCTAGTTATATTCAAAAGTTTAGCCCTCGTGGGGCCTCAGCATTAATCTGGGAACTTCAAGACTTCACTGCAACCCACACTCCCCTGGAAACTAGGAGAACAGCCTACCCCAGCCTTCCCTGAAGCCCGCCCCCTTTCTCCTCCAGCACCTGAGTCCAGGACCCCCCCTCCTCCCTCAGACCTGGGAATTGGGGCCCACAATCCCCCCTCCCTCAGACCCAGGAGTCAGGCCTCCAGCCCCCTTCCCTCCCACGCAGCCTTCTAGACCCCGAGTCCTCCCAGCCCGGAGGTTCATCTGGGTGGGTCGGGAGCCTTGCTGAGTTCTGTGTTCCTCCAGGCCCAGATGGGGGAACCCCGGGCTGGGGCCCCCCTGGACGAAGGCAGCGGCTGGACAGGAAGTGAGGAAGGAAGTGAGGAGGGCACCGGCGGCAGCGAGGGGGCTGGGGGCGATGGGGGCCCGGATGCGGAGGGTGTCTGGAGTCCCGACATCGAGCAGAGCTTCCAGGAGGCCTTGGCCATCTACCCGCCATGTGGCCGGCGGAAAATCATCCTGTCGGATGAAGGCAAGATGTATGGTGAGTGCACCCCCGCCGTGCACCCCCACCCCTGTGAGACCCCCGCTGTTAAGGATAAGAACTGGTGCTTCAGGGAAAAGAAGGTGTATCCTCACCGTGCCTCGTTGCCCACATCAGGAAAGGCCAAGCGGGCTGCTCAGGGTCACAGGGCAGAAAAGTGGTGGAGGGCCTCCCCGGTGGCGCAGCGGTTGAGCGCTGGGTTGCGAAGCTGCCCGCAGCCTCTGCAGCGCTGGTTCAATCCCCGGCTGCTCCCCGGCCACCGGAGGAGGGTCCCACATGGGGTGCAGACCTCTCCTGCCGCCCGCTGCTCCCCTCAGCGGTATACTTTGGTCCTTCTGCCTGCTCTGCTCCCTGCTCTGGCTCTGGTGAATTCTCTCACCCTCCCCTGCTTCTGACTGTACCCAGTGCATGTATGTATAAATAAATAAATAAATCTTTAAAAAAAAAAAAAAAAAAGTGGTGGAGCTGGGAGGAGAACCCGGGCAGCCTGACTCCAAAGCCTGCAGTGGTCACGCCCCCCATGCAGAGTTGGACGGGTCATACCCTCCCCCATGCTGTACCCCCCCAGCCCTACTTGCCGCAGGCTTCTAGGAACCCTTGTTTCCCTTCTCCCCGGTGTCCTTTCTCTTGGGAAGTTCTGCTGAAGGTCTGACTCTGCTCCATCTTTGATTCCTCAGGTCGGAATGAACTGATCGCCCGCTACATCAAGCTGAGAACCGGGAAGACCCGAACTCGCAAACAGGTCTCTGGACTGACGGGGGTGGGTGGGCTTCCGTCTGGGCCAGGCTTGTCTTCTCTGGGCAGCTTCCGGCTCAAGGAGGGTCTGATTCATGTGCTGTGGGTTTTCTTTGCACCTTTGTGCGGGTGCTCTCATGGTGCCTGTTTCTTATAGTTCTCGAAGTTGCTTTAGAACCAGAGTAAGAAAGAGGCTCCCTGGTGGCCCAGGAGTTAAGTCTCAGCACTGTCACCTCTAGGGCCTGAGTTCAATCCCCGGCCAGGGAGCTGACCCACAGGGGCGCAGCAGACCTCTCCTGTCTCCCCCCTGTGCCCCTCAGCAGTGTTTCAGTAGATCTGCCTGTTCTGCTCCCCACTCTGTCTCTAGTGAATCCTCTCACCCCCCACACCTCTGGCCTGCACCCCAGTTCTTCTGTGTATAAATAAATAAACGTTTTAAGAAAGAAAATAGGCCCAAAGAGTAAGAAAGACTAAAGAGAGTGAAAGAGAGACGAGCTGGGAAGGGAAGGGAGTTCCGGGTTTGCTGGGGCTGGGGGAGGTCAGTAGTGTCAGCGGGAGGAGAGGCCTTTATGGGGACATGTGTGTCCCCTGCTGCTGAGATAGTGGGTGTGTTCTGGGTTTGTCTTCCTGTTCCAGCAGCTCCCCGGTACCTGGAGGTGGGGGAGGGCAAACAAGGACGAGTGACTGTGGCCTCAATCTGCTTCTCCCCGCTCCCTCCAGGTCTCTAGTCACATCCAGGTTTTGGCCCGAAGGAAATCGAGGGAAATCCAGTCCAAGCTCAAGGTAAGGACCAGGGCGGGGACCCAGAGAGAGGAGGACAGAGACCCAGAGAGGCCTGGACTGGGGGCAAAGACCCAGAGATAGAGACAGAGTCACACGAAGAAGCAGACACAGCAGAAGAGCAGAGACCCAAGGTGGGGAGGGGTGGGTGGGTGCACTGAAGCCCAGAGGAGGGGGCTGGGGCCCGGAGAAAGGCCCTGGGAAGGGTAGGGAGAGATTCCTAAGGGACAGATTTAGCCTAGGACAGAGGAAGGGTGGGCGACGGGCCTGCCGCTGGCTGCTGCTGTCCTCCCCCCCAAGTCTCCTCCACCTGTGTCTCCTCTGCCTCTCCCTGGCGTCCGCCTGGCTCTTTCCCTTCCAGCCTCTACGGCTCTCGCTTCACCTCCTTCTGCCGCATCTTCCCACGTCCCAGATCACGCGCCCCGCCTGATCTTCCGCGTCCAGAAATCTTCCTTTGCTTTCAGAGCTTTTCATATCCCTTTCCCTTTTTTCATCCTCTGCGTTTCCTGTTCCCTCTTGGTCTGAGAGCCTCCCTTTCTGCCTCTCTGGGCATGAGGTTCCTTCTGCCTCTGCCTTTGGATTCAGGGGCCATCATTTCCTGTTCTTTTTTGTATCCAGAAGCCTCCCCTTCCTTTCTCTCTCAGTCTAAAAGCCTCCATTTCCGGCGTTTTCTGGAGCTGCCTGTTCCCAGGCTGTCCTCTCTGGGCGAGACAGTGTTCACCGCCTTTTCCCTGGGTCTCTGGGTCTGAAATTCTCATTTCCTGTGGCCCGTGGTTCTGGAAACCTTCACTTCCGCGCCCTTTCATGACCTAGAAACCCTCATTACTGTCTCTTATGCTGGGCCTGGAAATCCCCTTTCCTCTCTAAGCCTGGACAGCTCAACTTCTTGTCCCATATTCATCCCATTCTCCCCCTTCCTCCCTTTGCTCAGCTTGGGGGGGTGGGGTAGGGTTTAGGAGGGTAGGAAGATCCAGGGTCCAGGCCTCATGTCCTAAGTCATGTTCTCTTTCCTCCTTTGCACCCACCCCCTACCCCCCCGGGCAGGCCCTGAATGTGGTAAGTCCCTCTGCCCATCTCCCACCCACCCCCTGACCCCAGACCTTTCTGAGGAGGCCAGGAAGGCCAGGGGGGCTATAGCCAGTGGGATTGGGACCCTCCCCCAACCCTTCGCCTTGGCTCCCCAAGTGCATCTCCCCAAACTCACCACCGCCTTGCCATTGTCCCACCCTTGACACGTCGACTGGGACGCCCCACTAACATGTACCTCCAAATTTTCCTCCAGGACCAGGTTTCCAAAGACAAGGCTTTCCAGACCATGGCCACCATGTCCTCGGCCCAGCTCATCTCGGCACCTTCCCTGCAGGCCAAACTGGGTCCCACTGGTCCTCAGGTGGCCTGAGTCCAGATCGTGGGGCTCGGGCTGGAGGGGTGGGCCATGATTTCGATTGGGGGCTGACTGACCCCTCTTTTTCATCTCTTTTCCAGGCCTCTGAGCTCTTCCAATTTTGGTCTGGGGGCTCTGGATCCCCATGGAATGTTCCAGAGTGAGTACTTTCTGTTTTGCCTCAGACTCCCTTTCTGTTTTGCCTCAGTCCCCTCCCCTTGACTATCCTCACCCCACCGTCCAGCTCCCACCTACCTCGGGACACAGATTCTGGAGCCAGGCTCTCTGGGTTTGCATTCTAGGGAGGTGGCGATGGAGCTGAGTGCTGGGTCTGAGCTGGGGTAGAGAAAGATGGGGCGAGGGAGTGAAGAGGAGGAAGAAGGACAGGCTGAGAAAGATGGGAGGTGGGGACAGTGACAGGGGCCTGTGGATGTGTACCCTGGCGGGGTGGGGAGAGGGTTGGGGAATCAGGGAGCTCATCGCTGGATTTGAGGACTGTCAGGGGCCTGGAGGACATCCCAGGGGATAATGGTTTCCCAGTGAGACTGCACGGCAGGGGTTCATGGACAGGTTCATCCTCATCCCAGATCGCTGTTCTTGGGCCTGAGGGGAGAGGAGCGTTCCTTGTCCTCTCGCAGAGTCTGAAGGAAGAATATGGGTCCCAGAGCTACAGCGGAGTGTCCCCTAGGCTGACTGGTTGTGTTTCTGCCTGTAAGAACAGAAACGGGCCCCAGAGGTTCATGGGAAGTATAGTTTCCAGTCCAGAGAGGCGCTGATGGACACAGGCTGGGTGTCAGTAGGTCAGTGTGCCCTTAGGACTGGGAAGCAGCACTGGTCAGCGTGTTGCCCAACAAAGAGTGAAGGCCTTGGAATCCAGGGTGGGAGAGAAGAAAGTTTGCTGGGTAGGTGGGATACAGGGCTGCTGCTGCTGGCAAGGGTCAGAGCAAGTCCCTTGGGGGATGATGGAACCTTAGGTTTGCAAGGGGGGCTGAGCTGGAAGCCTTGCTGTGGACACTGAGGTTCCCCCTTTCATGAAACTGAGTGTCAGATGGCTCAGGTGAATGATAATTATGTTATATAGCAACACAAAATTGAAGAGTGTGCCAAGCATCATGAAGAATAGGTTCTGAGGTGAGAGAGAGAAATCTGGGAGGTTCTCTGAGGTGGTAACATTGAAGCTGAGTAGGACTTAACCAGGTCCTATTATAATTCATACAGGGCCTTTGAGGAGGTGACAGCTGAGCAGTGGCCCTGGTGCTGTGGGCTTCTCTTGTTACATATGGTCATTTAAATTACTTAAAATGAAATAAAATTTGAAAAATTCAGTTCCTCAGGCACCCCAGGCCATGTTAGGGTTCAGTGGCTACATGTCACGTGCCCATGTGGCACATGTGGCCTGTGGTTCCTGTATTAGACTGTGCAGATAAACTTGTCTGTCCACTTCCCGAAAGTTCTTTGGAACAGTTGTGTTTTAGATTCTGTTGTGTTCCCTGCCCACCCCCACCTCTGGTTTGATGTTCCATGTCCTGAACTGGTCGTTTTCTCCCACGGTTCAGTCTCCCCTTTCTCCAAGTTTCCTTTTCTTTGTGTTTTTTTTCCACCTCTTGAGATGATTTCTGTTCTCTTTCTGCCATTTTGTGAGAGGTACCAAAATATCACCATCATGACCAGAGTTTTTGTGGTTGGGACTGACCCGTGTTCAGGCTCAGGCTTCATGACTTTGAATGGATTAATTGACCCTTGTGTGTCTCAGTTTCCCTCTATGCAAAATGAGAAGAGTAGTGATTTGCATCTGCCTCATGGGCTGGGCAGCTTTCATGAAATTGTGCGCATCGTGTCAGCACAGGGGTCGGCGTGTGGTGGCTCTTTGGTAAATGCACAATTAGCATCTTCCCTTCTTGCTGACCTCCACCCTCCTCTTTCCCTCAGTGTGAAGCCATTCTCACAGACACCATTCTCCTTGTCACTGACTCCCCCATCTACTGACCTCCCAGGTAAGAGTGTTCTCCACTTCCTCTTGTCTCCCCCTCTCTACCACCTTTTCTTTAACCTTCCACAGGGCACGTGTTCTTACTGAATTCTAGCCCTGTGGCAGGGCATGTGGGGGTATAGAAAGATGAGTGGGTTTATGGTCTACCACTTCCTGGCCTATGGGACCATGGGGGAGTTGTATCAGTCAAGATTTTTTTAGTTGCAAATGACAAATCAACTTAGAGGACAAAAAAGGGAATTTATTGCTTCAGGTAGCTGATATTTCAGAAGTTATGGGTTCAGGAATGGCTGGATCCAGGAGCTTGAAATGGTAGTAACAGGACTTCCTCAGCTCTGCTTTCTTCTGGGGGTGGTTTCATTTATAGGCAGGCTCTGCCCACCTAAGAACAAAGATGGTTTCCAGAAGTCCCTGATGACTTCACTCACATTGGTGAAAGAGCACTTTTAGTTTCCATGGATTCATAAATTTGGAATGCTTTTGGCTGCAAGTTACAGAGTACCCAAGTAAATAATGCTTTAAATAATATAGGCTTTAATGATTTCATATAACCAAAAGTCTGAAGGTGGGTTGTACCTGAAGGTGGTGCAGCTGCTTAGCAATATTGGAATTGGCACTGCTATAGGTCTCTTGGCCTCTATCTTATTGTCCTAAGATGACTTTTGTGACTCCAAGCATCATGTCCCAACCAGGACTTGGCCAGGGCCAAAGCTTTCTCCTCCCAAAGTTCTGTCTTTTTCATTCAGGAAGAAACTCCTTCCCAGAAGCCCCCCAGCAGATTTCCCCTAACGTCTCATTGGCCAGAACTGTGTCACATGGCCACCTCTAGCTGCAAGGGAGGCTGGGAAAGTGAGTATTTAGCTTTTTCAGCTTCTAAGTAGAGGCAGGCAAGAGAGAACAGTGCTTGATACAGTCAATAAATGTTAGCAATTTTTATTGTTCTTTCTTCTTTCTCTCTAGGGTACGAGCCCCCCCAAGCCCTCTCTCCTCCAGCCCTGCCCCCGCCTGCCCCATCACCCCCGGCCTGGCAGGCTCGGGCCCTGGGCACTGCCCGGTTGCAGCTGGTGGAGTTCTCAGCCTTTGTGGAACCACCGGATGCAGTTGACTCTGTGAGTGCAATGGTAACATAGTCACTGGGCAGGATTGGCATGTGGAGGGTTATAGGAAGGGAAAGCTTAAAGCAGTGCTTGTCAAACTTGAGCACGTATCAGAATGACAGGGAGGGCTTGTTAAGACAAAGATGGCTGGGCCCTACCGCCAGAATTTCTGATCCAGTGAGCCTGCTACGGGGCCGGAGAATTTGCATTTCTAACAAGCTCCCAGTTGTCAGTGCTACTGGTCCCTGGACCACACTTTGAGAACTACTTAAAGGAACTGGAAGATCATGAGCTCTTAGTTTGGGAAGGTCAGAGGGATGGTCATTCATTCATCATGCATTTTGGAGTGCCTACCCTTTGCCAGGATTTGTGGTGAATACTGGGAATCTGGAAAGGTGAATCTTGTCTCTAGATTCAAGTTTTTCCTGGCTTAGGATGGAGACATATTTTATTCGGGTGAACTGACTATTAAAAGAATAACCTGTGGGACTGAACACCGTGGAAGTTTCTTACTCATAATATTTTCATGTTAAGCAGGAGCCTTCCACAAGGCGATTTAGGATATCCAGGTTCCTTCCATTTTGTAACTGCCATTTTCTGGGGCTTCAGAATCTGCTGCTGGATTCTCTGCATCTGGGCAGCAGATGGTGGGAGGGCGAGAGTCAAGAATTGTGCAGGAGGTTTTATGGGTCTGGCTTTGAAGAGGCAGGGATCAGATCTGCTCATATCCAATTGGCCAGAACTTAGTCATGTGATCATACTGAACTGCAAAGGAGCCTGGGAAATGTAGTCTCACTGGGTGAATGGGAACTGGGATCTGTGAACACAAAGCAGTCTCTGCCTTAGTCCCACAAGCACCAATTTCTATATATGGTGGTTCTGGTAAACTCCAACTCAGATCAGATTAAGGGCCTCCCTGGCGCAAGGGGTTAAGCACCGCACTATGAAGCAATCCGCAGCCTCTGCAGCACGAGTTTGATCCCCGGCCTTGCCAGGGAGCAACCCACATGACGCAGCAGACTTCTCCTGTCTCGCGCGCTGCTCCCCTCAGCAGTGTATTTCAGTCAGTCTGCATGTTCTGTTCCCCACTCTGTCTCTGGTGAGTCCTCTCACCCCCCGCATCTCTGGCCTGTGCCCCAGCTCTTGTATGCATAAATAAATCTTTAAAAACAACAAAAACGCTCCCATCTTTCTGGAGCAAATGCCACAGTCCTTCACTTGCCTGGAAGTCTCTGTGATCTGATCCCTGCTCCTGCTCTGTCTGTGCTCCCCCACCCTCGCACACCTGCTCACTCTGACCCAGCCACCCTGGCCTGGCCTACTTGTTCTTTCTGAAACACACCAGGATCGCACCTGCCTCAGGACCCTTGCACCTGCTGTTCCTGCTTTCCCCAGCTAGCCACATTTCTCTCTCCCTCCATTTATTCAGGCTTTAGCTTGATGATCTTCTCAGATGTGTTTTCTAAACCACCTTATAGAATATACCAGCTGACATCACTCTCAACCACGTCACTGTGCTTTCAGCTGCTGCTGTTGCTGCTGTTTTTTTTTTTTTAAAGATTTATTTATGCATACAAGAGCTGGGATAAAGGCCAGAGATTGCGGGGGGTGAGAGGATTCACCAGAGACAGAGTGGGGAGCAGAACAGACAGACTGACTGAAATACACTGCTGAGGGGAGCAGCGGGGAGTCAGGAGAGGTTTGCTACACCATGTGGGTCAGCTCCCTGGTGGGGGATCAAACTCGTGCTGCAGAGGCTGTGGATTGCTTCATAGTGCAATGCTTAACCCCTTGCACCATCAGGGAGGCCCATTTTTTTTTTCTTTATTAAGCTTTTTTTCATAGCTTGTATCACTCTGAAATTTATATTATCTGTGGATTGGTTTTTAAAATTTTTCTGTCGGGCCTGCTCTGGTGGTACAGGCATTAAAGACAGCACTGTCGGGCTGTTACCAGCCACTGAAGCATGTGTTCGATCCCCAGCCAGGGAGCTGACCCATATGGCGCAGCAGATCTCTCCTGTCTCGCCTGCTGCTCCCCTCAGCAGTGTATTTCAATGGATCTGCCTGTTCTGCTCCCCAGTGAGAGGTGAATCCTCTCACCCCCTAGCACCTCTGGCTTACACCCCAGTTCTTGTATGCATAAATAATTAAATCTTTAAAAATAAAATAAAATAAAATTTTCTGTCTCTGCCAGTAGTCTTTGAGCTCCATGATGTTAGGGATTTTGCTTGTAGCCCCAGAGCCCAGAATAGTGCTTCTTGCTACATGTCTTGAGTAATAGTCAGTGTCTGCTGGGACAGGAGAAGCTCAGGTTTTTTTGGGAAAATAGAGGAGAAATTCTACCTGAGGAGTCAGTGAAGGCTTCCCTGGCATGACAACATTTGAGTTGGACTTTGAGGGTTGTCTAAGAGTTTGCCATATACAGAAATGGATGTTCCAGGGACAGAGATGGGAACAGCATATTTTCAGAGAAACTATAAGTATGGTGGGCGCTGGTGAGACTGAAGATAAGTGGGCCAATGCCAATTCTGTAGTTGGCATTATCAAGCTGAAGGTGATGGGCAAACATGGAAAAGGTGGGGAGAGAGTCTATCCAATTGCTATCAAGGGAGGCTTCCAGGCAGAGGCAGATTTGGATGGATTTGGACCTGGAAAGATGGAGGGAGGGTTTCTGGATGTGGACAAGAAGTGGTGAGAACGGGGACAGATAGGGAATTTTGATGTGGGCCATGTGGTCTCCTACCCGTCCATCCGTCATCCATGCATCCAATTCTTCTTTCTTCCCTTCCTGCCCCCACCCCTCTTCCCATGACTGAATGTCGTGAACATGCAGTACAGGGCCAGCCATGGGAGAAGTGTGAGCACAGGAGGGCCAGGGAGCCATGAGAGGAATGCACTGGAGAAGAGCAGCAATTGGAGGCTGGGAAGCCAGGGCGGAGGCTAGGATGAGGGTGAGAGAGGACAGGGCTGCGGGGATGGAGAGCAGGGGACAGGGTAGGGATTTGGAGCAGGAGAGACAGACGTGGGGACTGAGATGGCACCGTGGGGCAGCAAGGAGTGGGGCATTGCCTGGGGTTGTGGGGCCCAGAGTAAGGTGGACAGTGTGGGATGGCATGAGGGTGTGGGATGGGCTTGGGCACAAGGGCCGGGCGCCCAGCCCCCTTCCCCTCCTCACCTTCGGCTGACCCTTCTCAGTACCAGAGGCACCTGTTCGTACACATCAGCCAGCACTGCCCCAGCCCCGGCGCGCCCCCTCTCGAGAGCGTGGATGTCCGGCAGATCTATGACAAGTTCCCGGAGAAGAAGGGCGGCCTGCGGGAGCTGTATGACCGAGGCCCCCCTCACGCCTTCTTCCTGGTCAAGTTCTGGGTGAGTGCCACCACCACAACCCAGTGCGCTTATTCGTCACATGGCCGCCCAGCTAAGACCAAGCAGGTCTTACTTAGACCTAGGCCTAGACCTAGTCCTCATGGCTCAAAGTCAGTTCCCTTTGCCACAGAGGACACCGAGGAGTTTTGCTCCTGGGGCAGGGTGGACACAACCCACAGTTGTGTGACTGAGATGACCCTGGGGGTTGGCGAGTGAGGATTCAGCTACCTGCGCCCCAGCAGCCCACACCAAGCTCTGTGGCCAAGGAATGGCCCCCGCCTTGCTTCTAGGGAAGGGTGTCATAGAGAGTTTGGCCTGTAAAGGTTGGGTTCCACCACACTCTGCTTGAGGAAGTGGTTGAAAGAGCTGGAGGGTGACTTTGTAAAATTCTGTATTTATTGAGCAGGCATTTATTATGCACTTACTGTGTGCAGGTCCTATGCCATCTGACCCAGAGGGGCCACACTGGATCTTTCTAAGGCCTGTTTAGTTTGCTATCCAGTATAATGACACTATAGGGGTTCAATGGAGGGTGTGAATATTTAGGGCTGGTTAACCAGTGGTAACCAGGGCCGTGGGAGGATCTAATCTCTGAAAAGGATGTCTGCTGAGGACTTGAAGTTCATTGACCTTCCCAGGCCTGAGGTTACCATGGTTATGAAGCACTGTGGTGAAGTAGGGGCCTAGCCTGCTCTGGAGATGTGCTGCAGAGGTTCTAAGCTTGTTAGGCTTAAGACAGGCCTTACCAGATCCCAGGCCCAGAGAGAGGAGACCCTCCAGAGGCCCATCCTGTGAGTGGATACAGGGCAATGGCTGGTTTGACTTCATAAGACCCTTTTGGCCCTGTGAGAAATGGCGTTAGACCTTTGACGAGAGGACTAAATCACCCGGGAGAGTAACCTGGTCAAGTTAGCAACTAAAGTTAGCAAGAGGAAGGGCCCTTCCTCCCCAAGGCCACCAAGGAGCTCAGACCAAAGATGTGACAAGGCCTGAGGCTTCCTTAGGCCCGGCTTCACCTAATAGTCTTCCCACCTGGTCTGGGATCATGGAAGGCTCTGGCTTGTGAGAATCAGCTGAAAGGGCTCAGAACGTCCTGGAGGGGAGTCAGACTTCCCCAAAGGCCCCCAAGCCCTGTTGCAAGGATGGAAATGCGTAGCAACTGGTGTTGTCAACCTGAGGACCTTCCTCCTTAGGAGCTAGGCTCTTTAAGGGGTGAGATTCTTGAGTTGGGCACTTCAGGGGAAGAAATTGAAATTCCAGGGTTCTTTTGGTGGGGGGAGCTCATGGGGAGACAGGATCAGGACCATTTTGGGGACCTAGGCCAAGTCAGACTCAAAGGGCTCTGAAGGCATATGGAGGGTTCTGCAGGAACGAGAGGGGCCACACGTAGGGGTTGCTGAAGTCTGGCGTTCGGGGCTTATATGGGATTAGGGGATGTCCTTGGACCCAGAGCCAGCAGTGTTCAAAAGGGGCGTCTTCTTCAGAATCTGGCCTGTGGAGAGGCGGGCAACGGCAGGGCAATGAGGCAGAGTGCATTGAGGCCCTGGGGCAGAGTAGAAGCCTTCCTCGCTCTTGTCCAGGGTTGTCTCCTCCCACTAACCTGTGCTCCCCTCCACCAGGCGGACCTGAACTGGGGCCCGAGTGGCGAGGAGGTGGGGGCCAGCGGCAGCAGCGGTGGCGGCGGTGGCGGCTTCTATGGTGTGAGCAGCCAGTATGAGAGTCTGGAGCACATGACCCTCACCTGCTCCTCCAAGGTCTGCTCCTTCGGCAAGCAGGTGGTGGAGAAGGTGGAGGTGAGGCTGGAGGGCTGGAGCTCTGGGCGGGTAAGCGCCCCTCACCTGCCATTGCGCACCAGGAGCCAAGACAGGCATTTGGGGAGGCTGCTTGGGAGGATGGGGTGGTGTCTAGCCTCGGGGGGTCTGATGCTGGGCTTAGGGCTAATGGGGAGTTCCCACATCACACGGGGGCTCCCTTGATCAGTCCAAAGGTAATGTGGGGGCAACATTTAGAGTGAGGAAGATTCAAAAGCTCTGGATAGGAGGGAGTCTGCTGGACAGGGGGTGTAATGGTCAGGCTTAAGGTTTCTTGAGGTCTTGAGTTCAGAGAATATAGAGTTTATTTTTTATTTATTTATTTTTTTAAAGATTTATTTATGCAGCTGGGGTACAGGCCAGAGTGCAGGGGGTGAGAGGATTCACCAGAGACAGAGTGGGGAGCAGAACAGGCAGACTGCCTGAAACACACTGCTGAGGGGAGCAGCAGGCGAGTCAGGAGAGGTCTGCTGCGCCATGTGGGTCAGCTCCCTGGCCCTGGATTGAACTCGTGCTGCAGTGGCTGCAGATAGCTTCATAGTGCTGAGACTTACCCCCTTCTACCACCAGGGAGGCCCCAGGGCATAGAGCTTAGAGATGTCATTCACGGAGGGATCTATGGAGAACCTGAGCATGTCTGAGGCCCTGGAGGTTTCAGAGCGTAGCTGTGTCAGACCGGAGGTGCCCTGGTTTGCAGACTCAGCGAATCTGCGTTTGTTGGTTCCCGAGGGCTCAGAGTCCCGTCTCTGGTCACTGCAGATGGGGCAGTGGAGGGGACATGGCAGTGGCGAGTGGGCAGCATCTGAGAGGCGCGGAGCAGGGCTTCGTTCTTGGCTGACCCTGTCTCAGCCATGGCTTTCCCCACTCCCCCACCCGGGTCAGACGGAGCGCGCCCAGCTGGAGGACGGGCGCTTCGTGTACCGCCTGCTGCGCTCACCCATGTGCGAGTACCTGGTGAACTTCCTGCACAAGCTGCGGCAGCTGCCCGAGCGCTACATGATGAACAGTGTCCTGGAGAACTTCACCATCCTCCAGGTGCTGCTCCGGGGCTCCACCCACTCCCGACCCTTGGCCCACGGACCCTTTCGCCTAGGGAACCCACCCTGTGGGGCCCCGAAGTTGACCCTTAGCTTAGGGGGTGTGGTGGGGACTCACCAGAACTGGCCTGGAGGACACCCCACCGTGCTTCCTCAGCTTAGCAACAGGGACCTGACTTAAGCAGGGAACTGGATAGGGTGGGATCCCCTTTAACTTTGGGGGATGTGCAGAGGTGGGGACCCCGTTGGGCCTTGTAGCATGGTCCACCATCTGATGTGAGGTCATGCTGGGCATCCCTTCTACCTGGGGAATGGGACACGGTGGGGACCTGTTGCCTGGATCTGTCCAGATACCTTAGGGTCCTTGCGGCCCCTCCCAGGGATAAGCCCCTCTCCTGGTCTCCTTGGCAGGTGGTGACAAACAGAGACACCCAGGAGCTGCTCCTTTGTACTGCCTACGTCTTTGAGGTCTCCACCAGCGAGCGGGGGGCTCAGCACCACATTTACCGCCTGGTCAGGGACTGAAGGGGGGCCCCAGAACTGGCTCACCCCTGGAAGACCCTCCAGCTCGCCACACGTCTTATTTGGGAAGGGGGCTGTGGTGAAGGGGGACTGCTCGCCGTCAGAGGAGCTGAGTGAAGAAAGGGTCCATCAGGCCTCACCAGAGTGTCTGGAAGGACCGCTCACCCTAGAGCACTGGGAACGGGAGACAGGAGTGAGACACCCCGAGGCACAGCAACTTGCCTCTCTGGCTCCTATGGGTGCCCACTTCGTTCTGGATGTTTTGGGGGCTCTTGTTATACATCGGCTTATGCCCCCCTTGGTTTTTCAGCTCCTCCCTGTTCTGTCTCCCCCTACCACCTCCCCCTACCCCCATCTGTGACCCTGATATTGAAGGTTAACCCTTTCTATGCAGGAGCAGAGCCAGATGGGCCCTGGAAATATTTTTTTTTAATATAACAAGAGATATTTATAAGTGGGTGTTAGGGTTGTGACTTTTTCTCAGCTGGGCATGGAGCAGGGTGAGGCTTTTCCATCTCGTCTCTTCTCCCTGAGCCACTGGCTAGACTGTTGCTTCCCTCTCCCTCCCACAGAATGTTGGTTTGTGTTCTGACAGAGGATAAAGCTATTTTACCAAAACACAGGGGATTTATTTGAGCTTGGGGTGGGGAAATCACCTTGTGGGAGGGGGGTGATGAGTCAAGGAAATGAGGTTATCTTTGGGGGCAGGAAACTGGTGGCCGGAAGCCCCAGGTCCTGGGGGAGAGGAGAGGGGACAGCAGTGGGGCTGGCAGACACCTGGGTTCCCAGGGGAGTGAGAAGGCAGAGGGCTCAAGGGCTGGGGGCAAACTAGATATAAAAAAATTATTTACAGGCGGTGGCCACGTGTGCAGGGCTGGGTCTTGGGGAGGGCAGGGTCGGGTGGGGTGTGGGGAGGCCTAGCGGTACCGAGCGAGGCGGTCGTAGACTTGGTCCAGGTTTCTGCACAGGAATATCGACAGCATCATGAAGCTGAGCTAGAGAGAGAGAGATGCGGTCAGAGAGGGCGAGAGGGGCTGCTGGTGGTGGTGATCGCGGTGGCCCTGGTGGTAGCGTCCTTGATTTCGATGGTCCCAGGTGAAAAGTGCCGGGGGTGGGGCTAGGGAAAGACAAGGCAGCGGATGGGGAGAGGGTCTCCTGTGGGATGAAGGAAGAGGTCGAAATGGGGGGGGGGTAGCCAGAGAGACCTGCACCTGCTTGTGAAAATGGAGCCACGGAGGGGAGTTTGGGTTTGGGTTTAGGGAAGGGAGTCTGGGGGAAGATAAGGAAGGTGGAGATGTGGTGGAGATCAGGGTGGAGGGGCAGGAGGGCCATGACCAGGGAGGAGTGGGGGCAGAGTTGGAGCGGGAGGGGGAACCCAATGGCATGCAGCGCCCGTCTAGAATTTGGGAGAGTGCCACCCGGAGCAAGCGCAGGTTCCTTTATTGAGGCTCATCTGCCTCCCCCTCTGTCTCTGCTTCTAATTCTGTCTTGCCCTCCAATTCCACTTCGACCTCCATCTGCGCGCCCACGCTTCGGGCCTCAGGTTGTTCCTCCTCTTGATTCCAAAGCGTCCAGGGCCCCAGGGCCATGGGCAGCTTACCCTGCGGGGCCTTGTCTCCCCAATTGGGGCAGGCATCCGCCATGCCCCAGCCACCCCACAGAATGCCGCTGCGCCCGCTGCTGCTCTGCGCACCATAGCGCCCGGTGCCGCCATCAGCGTTCGGGCTGGGCCCGGGGCTCGAACCGTCGGCACCCGGGGCCTGAGGCTGGGGATCCCGGTGGAGGGCGCGGCGCGGTAGTAGCAGGCTCAGCCCAGCCACACTCAGCTGCGGGGAAAGGGGAGGGACTCTGCGGCGAATAGCAGTAGGCTGGTCCCCCAAGAAGGGCCAATGGGAGCCTCGCAAGGAAGGGGCGGGGGTCACGCCTGTTTCCCGGGTGCAGCCCAATCAGGGCCCAAGGGGGTGGGCGGCAGGCGGGCTGGGGCGGCGGGCGCTCTGTGACGCACGCGCTTTTCGCAGAGAACGGGAAAGCGCGCGATTTGGGGCGAGGCCGTCTCGGGGTAGGAGAGCCGGGCGCGAGCGGGGCCGGGGCCACATTCACCTCGAGGAGGCCGACGCCCAGACAGATCCCCACTATGGAGATGAGGTTGTTGTGCAGCCACTTCTGGAGACTTCGCGCACAGCCCTGGGGGGAGAGGAAAGATGAACGGTAGGGCTCACGCTGGGATTTGCCCGCGAGCCCGGCCCCCCGTTTTCAGCCCGGCCCGCTTCCCTGGCTGTTTGGGTTCTCTGTTCTCCCCGCTTCACCCCCGGGCGTCAACATTACAAGTCCCGTCCTTCCGCAGGCCCCGCCCCTGCAGACCCCGCCCCCGCGCCTCCTAGCCCCGCCCCCGCTCGCAGACCACGCCCCGGTGGGCTCGACCCCTCGCGGGCTCCGCCCCTTTCTAGCTGCTCCGGTTCCAAACCTCGGGGTAGATGTGGCTGCTTGCGGGGACCGTGCAAAGGTCTGTGCTGTGTTGGGGCCGCGCCAGTGGTTGGAACCGGCTGAGCTGGGGGAAGGAGATGTTGTCGAAGATGGTGGAGTTGTTGGTCAAAGATGAGTTAAAGCAGGAGCAGGGGACGCGGTGCACTTCCGACTCGTTGCTGCCGGGGGTGGACATCGGCAGCCAGTCCTCTGGAGAGTTCCAGCCGCAGCAGCGCAGCTGGGAGAGGCACACGCGTTAAGGCGACAGGGACTGGAGGGGTGCAAGCAGGTGATGGCCAACGGGGCACTGAGTGATGGTCATATTGGGGAGTAAGGGCTAAGCGGTGAATGCAGGGTGGGGGGCGCTGGGCTGGGCTGGGGTCACGACAGGGCCAGGACCAGGATCAGAAGTTAGGGGGACGTCGGTGTGGAGAGATGAATCACAAATCCCTGTGTCCTAGGACTGGGGAAAACCACTATGGACAGATGATTGGGCAGTGCAATTCAGCCTGAGGCCGGGAACAGGCGAATGGCCTGGAAATGGAGACTCACATGGGCCAGGTATCCTGGGAATTAGAGTCATTATGGGGTAAGGAGTGGGGTCACACAAGAGCCTTAGGTCTGAGCGCAGAGGCTTGTCGAGGTGATGGGTGGGGCCACTCCCAGGGTCTGGGGGCTGAGGGAATGGCTCCAAAGTAAGGGGGGGGGTTACATCACCCCGTGGCAGGAGGTGGGACAGGTGGGTAGGGTTTTTTTTCAGGGTCCTGCAGCTGGCATCCTGGCTACGTGGTGTGGAGTTTCCTTAAGGTAGGGTGAAGTCATGTCATGGTCCCAGAATAGAGGGAGCGGCACACTTGGGGTGACTGGGGTCTCACACACCTGGAACTGCACATAGTCCCAACTCTCTTCTGCCTCGGTGTCCTCTGGGTTCGTGCGATAGTTCTGGATAGTCTCCATCACGATGTCCTTCACCTTGCGCTCCAGCTGAGAGCCCAAAAGGAAAGCTGGACCCTTGCTCACCTCTCCACCCCCGTTTGCCCCATCCATTCCAGCTGCTTCCCGCTTATCTCAGCCCAGAGGGGCCCATTTAGGCATCTATGTCAGCCTCAGTTCCTCGCTGAATGGCCAGCTGGATCTGTGTCCCAACTCTTTCTGCCTCTCTCTCTCTCTCTGCCAGTTCCTACCATAGACCATTATTTCTCCCACTGCCTCCCACTTAGTCTTTATCTCTTCTTGGAGATTTCTGCTGCCTTTTCTCTCCTTTCCTTGAGCTCTCGGCCCCTCGTGCTATGCCTTTCTTCCTTTATCCACATGGATGTGTCTTCATCTGACTCTCCTGGTCTCCAGCTCCTCTGCACCTCCCTGCCTAATCAGAGTTTGTTTTTCTGTCGTTTTCTGACTCTCTTTGTTATTCTTCTTTGTCTCGGACAGCCCCCCACCCCCAGTCTGCCTTTGTTTCCTTCTCTTTCCACCTCTGTCTCAGCCCCCACCATGCTTAACCAGCTTGGGCAGAGGAGATTTGTGAAGAAGGGCTTGGGGAGAGGGCAGAGTCAGCTCACCAGGACCCGCTGAGTGGAGATGAGAATTCCCAGGGTGATCTCTGTGGCAAACAGGAGCAGCAGTATCCCAAAATACTGGGGGGCAGAGTGGAGAGGAGAGACTGAGGCCCTCCCCAGCACACAGGGGCTGCCAGGGCCTTATGTGAGGGGCAGGAAGACAAGAGAAGAACCAGGAACAGAGAGGAGGGGGCAGGGCACTCACGAGGCCCAGGAGGCAGCGGAGCTCCTTGAGGGCACCCACACAGCCCAGGAGGGCGAGGCCCATGGTGAGGATGCCGGCGAGGGCCAGGACCTTGGACCAGATCTGCAGGGGCACGAAGGACAAGCCTGGGGGAGGTGAGAGGCAGCGACATTGGGTCCCCTGGGCACAGCTCCAGGCAACCCACTTCCCCACCCACACAGCCGCCCAGTTTCCTGGGAGCAGTTTCCTGCGGGGGAGGTGCTTTTTCTGGCAGCCCTTTCCCGGGGCCTCTCTCCCTCTTCTGGGTTTCTCTCCTCCTTTCTCTGAGTCTCTATCTCTGTGAGTCTCTGTCCCTGCATCTCTCTGGGTCTCTGTCCCTCTCCGCCCCCATTGTCTCTCCCTCTTGCTCTCAGCCCCCCTTCAGCCCCTCCTCGCTCCCCAGTAGTTTGAGCCACATCACTAGTTCTGTGCATTGGATCCCAGTCACTTAACCTCCCTGAGGCCCCAGAGATGATGGTATCTATTTCCTGGGGTGGTTTTAAGAGACACTCAGGATGCACATGTGCCACCCAGTCCTCAACACAAGCAGATGCTTAGTAAATGTGAGCCAGCAGGATTCTGACTGCACCCCACGCTTATTGTCTTCGATTGTGACTGCCCTACTTCCTGTGTAGCATCCAGTAGTCACTTCCCGCTCCGACCCTTAAAGGACAGGAAGGTTTGTGGGAGGTCCTGATAAATACCTGCACAAGACCTGATGCCCGGGAGGGGCCTGGGAAATGATCACTATTATTATTGCTATTATCGGTATGAACTGCTGATTTGCCAGAGGAAGACACCGAAGCTCGGGCTCAGCCGGTGGGATCAGTGGCATCAGCCACCGCAATTGGTGGAGCAGAGCCCGGCACCTGCCTAGGGAGTTTGGCACGGTGGGCCTCCCTGGGACGTGGGAGACCCCAGGAGATCCCTGGGGGGAGGCCAGGTCCACGCCTGCTCCAGGAAGGCCCTCCCCAGCGGGCCCAGCCCCCTCACCCACAAAGGACACAAAGCTAGTCTTGTCGACGAGTATCCAGATGCCGAAGCAGAAAATCAGACCGCCCAGGACCTGGGGAAGAGGAGGATGTGGCAGTGGGTACGGGGCGGGGGCACATGGGGTCGGGGCTGGGGCCGGGCTGGGTGGGCGTGAGGGGACTCACGAAGAAGAAGAGGTTGAAAACGAAGAGGAGGTACTTGATGAAGCTGAGACAGCTCTCCTGGGCCGACATCTTCACCTTGACGGATCAGCGACCAGTGGGAGGGGGCACGGAAGAGATGTTGGCAGTGGGGAAAGACAGAGGCCAAGGTGGAGGCGGAGAGAGAAAGGGAGAAAGGAAGAACTCAGAGAAAGAGGAAGTTCTAGGGTGGAGCCCCACCCCCTCCTTTACATTTGGGTGGCTTCCTTCTTGGTTTTAGTCTTTCTCAGCCGCCCCCTGGGACACACAGCGGTACCTGAGGGGCCTTGGAATGTGTAAGTGCCATGGCCACGCCGGGCAGCTCCTCCCAGGTCTCCATGGCTCAGGCTGGAGCGGCCCACAGAGAGGATCTGCTTGCGCCCACCTGCTTGCACCAGGACCCCAGGCGGCCGTAGACAGCAGCCGACCTCACAGATACTCTGACCTCACTGCCTGCTAACCTCTGCTACCTCTGCTTCCATGCCTGCACCCCCTTCCCAGAGCTGGGGCTTGTGTCCCCTCTCTGGATCTCTGTGCCCTTCTCTCTGAGTCTCCGTGGGCCTCTCTCTGGGTCTCTATACCCCTCGCCCCCCATCCCATCCTCTCCCTCCTGTGAGTGCTGCCTGCCTGTGCTTTCTCGCTTTATCTGCCTTTACCTGGCTCTGTGAGAGTGAATCTGGCTCTGTCACTCTTCTCAGCAACAGGTATGACCAGGTATCTCACATGCTGGGCCAGGGACCCTTGGGAAGTGAAAGGGCCGCAGGCCCCAAGTGGGAAGGTCCCCGCGAGCTGGCGGGCAGCTGGGTGGTGTCAATATACCCAGCGGAAGCCCAGTTGCAGGCGGCACTTCCTTTTTCTGAGATGGGCCCCCCAGAGGAGCTGCATGGGAGGACCTCGGATTGAGGGGGGCTTTGCAGTGCTTGATCTTCTGTGGCCAGAGCTGCACCTCCAGCAACCTCGGGAGTCTCCCAAAATGCCTCAAGGCTCCCCACTCTTGTAAGTTCCAATTTCCTGACTTAGGGGATGTTCCTACCATCCTGAAATCCACGCAGGCCCAGGAAAAGTGGCCCTTAGAAGCCCAGCACCCTGGCTCCTGAGAGAGACTTGCTCATTCTTTTTTTTTTTTTTTTTTTGAGCACTTCCAAATGAAACTAGTTTTCTTATTAATGTCATCAGAACTCAATTCATATTCCTAGATGTGTGATTCTCACACTGGGCTTTCTTGCCTCCAACTTTATGATGGAATAATTGACAGATGTAATTGTGTATATTTATATGTGATGATTTGATTGGAGGTTCCGTGTGGAGTGGTTACCCTCATCAGGACAGTGACACACATTGCCATCTTACTCCCTGTGTGTGTGTGTGTGTGTGTGTGTGTGTGTGTGTGTATAGGTGGGTGGTGAGGTTTCAGGAGTACCATGCACAGATTTCAAGTGTGCAACATTGTTATTATAGTGACTTCCTTGTATTTTAGTGATCTCAGCACTGATTCTGAAAGTTGGTAGTCTTTAACCTGCATCCTCCAATCCCCCTCCCCCAGCCTCTGGCAACCCCCATTTTATTTCCTGTTTCTATGAAATCAGCTTTTTTTTTTTAGGGGATTTTTGCATAATAATTTTTTTTTTTTTAAGATTTATTTATTTATTTATTTACACAAGCACTGGGTACAGTCAGAAGCGCGGGAGGGTGAGAGAATTCACCAGAGTCATAGGGGAGAGCAGAGCAGGCAGACTGACGAAATACACTGCTGAGGGGAGCAGCGGGCGGCAGGAGAGGTCTGCGTGCCATGTGGGACCCTCGCCCGGCAACCGGGGATCGAACCGGCGCTGCAGAGGCTGCGGACAGTTTCGCAGCCCAGCGCTCACCGGGGAGGCCCTCTGCATAATAAATTTTAATTCAAAAAATTGGGGCCTCCCTGGTGGCCTAGGGGTTCAGTCTCAGCACCTTCACCCTTGCGGCATGAATTCTGTCCTGGCCAGGGAGCTGGCACAGCAGACCTCTCCTGTCTCCCCTCTGCTCCCCTCAGCAGTGTATTTCAGTGGATCTGCCTGTTCTGCTCCCCACTCTGTCTCTGGTGAGTCCTCTCACCCCCTGCACCTCTGGCCTGCACCCCAGTTCTTCTACACACAACACACACAAAAAACTTGCAAAAATTAAGCAACATGCTATTTTATGATTTATAATGAAATTTAAAAAGACTACAAAATTAAAAACCTAATAATTCTATAAATAACAATTATAGTTGTTATTTACAATTACAGTTTTCTAGATATCTTGATGAAAGGCACTTGGTATAATTAAATACTACTGTCAATGTGATGACTTCACTACGGTTGAAACTATAGCACAATTCATCCTAAAACATTTAGCAGTGCAAAATTATTTCACTTGAGGAGTGTTTAATAATTTGAGTGCCAGGGCTTTTTGTTTTTACACTCCACATGTGAGTGATGACATGGAGTTTTTTTCTTGGTCTGGCTGATTTCACTTAGCATGCCCTTCAGTCTCATCTATGTTGTGACAAAAGGCAAGATTTCCTTCTTTTTTTTTCCTAATAGCTGGATAATGTTCCCATGTGTGTTATAGCGCGAAATAATTTCCAAGAGTGTGAGGCATTCTTATAGCACCCAAACGTTTCCCTTTACATCTTCTTGTTCAATTACAATGATGGAAGCCTGTGGTTCTCAAAGTGCTGCCCAGGAACACCTGTGGGTTCCTGAGATATTTTCAGGGGTTCATGAGCAGAAAATTATTTTCATAATACTTCTCTTGAGTGTACAATGATTTTTTTTAGAAGCTACAAAAAATACACGAGCTATTTTTACAGATCCAGTGCAGAAGCAGCTATAAGAAAGCACTGTCTTCTTTTAAGTCAGAGTAAAGACATTAAAAAAAAAAAGTAGGTCCTCCCTGGTGGCTCAAGGGATTAAGCACAGCACTATGAAGTGATCCGCATCTTCTGCAGCACAAATTCCATCCTGGGTTGGCCACAAAGCTACCCACATGGCACAGCAGAACTCTCCAGTCTTGCCCATTGCTCCCTTCAACAGTGTGTTTCAGTTAGCCTGCCTGTTGTATCCCCCACTTTGTCTCTAGTGAATCCTCTCATCCCCCACACCTCTGGCCTGTACCCCAGCTCTTGTATGCATAAATAAATAATTCTTAAAAAAAAAAAAGTAAAGGGCCTCCCCTGGTGGCGCAGCAGTTGAGCACTGGGCTGTGAAGCTGCCCACAGCCTCTGCAGCGCCTGTTCGATCCCCTGCCACCAGCGAGGGTCCCACATGGCGCGCAGACCTCTCTTGCTGCCCGCTGCTCCCCTCAGCACTGTATTTCATCAGTCTGCCTGTTCTGTTCCCCGCTCTGGCTCTGGTGAATTCTCTCACCCTCCCGCACTTCTGACTGTACCCTGGTTCTTGTATAAGTAAATAAATCTTAAAAAAAAAAAAAGTAAAAGGATGCCACTATTCTCACTGAATTATTTTTGGTCTGGAAATCATATTTATTTTTCATAAAAATGTTACCATGTCAACAAATGGATTTTTTAATAATAATATATTTTAGAAATTTCTCAAGTTTTAGTACTTAAGTTTAATATGTAAACACACAACTCCCAAAAACACAACCCACATACGTTATTGGGGTTCTTAGTGATTTTTAAGAGTGTAAGAATCGTCTTTAAAAGTTTGAGATCCACTGACTTAAGCATATCTTTCTTTTTTAAAAAAAAAGATTTATTTATTCATGCATACAAGAACCAGGGCACAGGCCAGATGTGCGGGAGGGTGAGAGGATTCACCAGAGACAGAGTGGGGAATAGAACAGGCAGACTCACTGAAATGCACTGCTGAGGGGTAGCAGTGGGGGCGACAGGAGTGGTCTGCTGCGCCATGTGGGATTCTTGCTGGGATTGAACCCGTGCTGCAGAGGTTGTGGACAGCTTCACAGCGCTGCACTCAACCGCCTGGCCACCAGGGAAGGCCCAAATCTTTACTTTCTTAACAAAAGAAATTCAAAGTTCATTTTGCGTGGATAAGCTTACTCCTTGAAAAGACTATGTGTCAGGGCCTCCCTGGTGACGTAGGGGTTAAAGTCTCAAAGCTATCAAGCTATCACCAGCCACTGCACCATGAGTTCGATCCTCGGCCAGGGAGGTGACCCACATGACCTCTCCTGTCTCGCCCACTATTGCCCTCAGCAGTGTATTTCAGGAGATCTGCCTGTTCTGCTCTCCACTTTGTCTCTGGTGAATCCTCTCATCCCCCACTCCTCTGGCTTACACCCAGTTCTTGTATGCATAAATAAATAAATCTTTGAAAAAATAAATAACTAGAAATAAAAAAAAAAGAGAAAAGAAAAAACCTTGTGTCACTCCATACTTAAACACTTGGTGGAAAGTAATCCCTATGACATACACAAACCCCACTTTATCTGGCAATAGACACTCAAACATGCTATGTAAACTATAATTCCTTTTCATTTCCCCCCAGCTTGTAAAAAACCAAACCACATTTTTCACTTGCACCAGGAAAGCCAAACTCTGAATCACTGGAATTATCTTTATATGAAGAGGTTTTATTTTATTACGTGTATTTATTTCAATATATATATTTTTACGCTGTTGTTCATTTTTGTATAATTTTTTAAAGATTTATTTATTTATGCATACAAGAGCTGGGGTACAGGCCACAGGTGTGGGGGGTTGAGAGGATTCACCAGAGACAGAGTGGGGAGCAGAACAGGCAGATCGACGGAAATACACTGCTGAGGGGAGCAGCAGGGAGACAGGAGAGGTCTGCTGCGCCATAAGGGTTGCTTCCCGGCTAGCCAGGAATTGAATTCATGCTGCAGATTGCTTCATAGGTTGCGTCTTAACCCTTGCGCCACCAGGGAGGCCCTATTTAGGTATAGTATTTGATTTTTCCTCTCGGGTGTGATCTCCATAAAATAACCACCAGCAAGTCACTGGTGAACTTTACCCATCTCTTGTGCTTTTCCCACCCGTTTTCATCCCTCTCCCTCCCTCTCCCTGCTGTATGTCTCTGATTTCTAGTTTGTGCTGGTTTTGTCTCTTTTTTTGTACTTTCCCCTTCCCCTTGTTTGGTTTCCCTATGTACTGAGGAGTTTCATTTTGTTTTTTATTTTTATTTTTTAAAAAGATTTATTTATTTATTTATACAAGCACTGGGTACAGTCAGAAGCGCAGGAGGGTGAGAGAATTCACCAGAGCCAGAGCAGGGAGCAGAGCAGGCAGAAGGACAGAAGTACACTGCTGAGGGGAGCAGCGGGCGGCAGGAGAGGTCTGTGCGCCATGTGGGACCCTCCTCTGGTGGCCGGGGAGCAGCCGGGGATCGAACCGGCGCTGCAGAGGCTGCGGGCAGCTTCGCAACCCAGCACTCAAACGCTGGGCCCCCGGGGGAGGCCCATTTTATTTATTTATTTATTTTTGTGGGACCCTCGCCGGTGGCTGAGGATCGAACTGGCGCTGCAGAGGTTGTGGGCAACTTCGCAACCCAGCGCTCAACCACTGCACCACCAGGGGAGACCCGAGGAGTTACATTTTAGGTGGCCATCACGGAGTATGGGGGATGGGTACCCCAAAACAATTAACTTCCAAATGGTGGGAGTGCTGGATTTTATAAGGAATGCTTCAGATCTCCAGACCCAAGGAGGTGCTGGGCAGCCCAGGTGACAGGATGGAGGTGTTGGGCTTTCCCAGCAGGCTATTTTCTCAGCCATCCACAGATGTTTGTCTCTGATGCCACTCTGGAGACAAGGAGAATTTTATTGGGGAAGTAACACAACCACATAAGGGCTAGTCATAAGGAGCCAGTGTGTGTGTGGGGGGGGCAATTTAGTGAGTAAATAGTCCTGATAAAGGAATGCAATTCAGCGGTTAGTTTATTATCCAGTTATTCCTAATTTTTATTTTATTTTATTTTTAAAAATTCATTTATTTATGCATACAAGAGGTGGGGTGTAGGCCAGAGGTGTGGGGGTGGGGAGGGTGAGAGGATTCACCAGAGACAGTGGGGAACAGAACAGGCAGATCTACTGAAATACACTGCTGAGGGGAGCAATGGGGAGACAGGAGAGAGGTCTGCTGTGTCATGTGGGTAGTTCCCTGGCCGGAGTTCGAACTCGTGCTGCAGTGAGTGCGGATTGCTTCATAGTGCCGAGACTTAACTCCTTGCGCCACCAGGGAGGTAGGGCCCTACTCCTAATTTTTAGTCTATGGTCTGAGGGGATCCGGCTACAAGAGTACAGTTTTTCTTCAGCCCTTAAGTATTTAGCTTCTTTCCATGGGCTTTGGAGGAGGTCGAGAGGCAGCCCTGGCAGGTCTAAGAGGTGGGAGGGGGGTTTGGGGAGGTTGTCCTTCCAGGAGGAGTCCTGGCTATCCTGCTGTGAACCGCACAGCACACACAGTGGTGTAGTTTCACCACAGCTGGGAAGGCCTCGAGAACCCTGCGGCTGTGTCCTGACAGCTGCAGCTTCCGCTGTGTTTCAGCGACGGCCTTGTCCATGCTGGGTCCTTGACAGCTGGCCAGGGCCCTTTTTGGACACGACACATTATTCCTTTTTTTTTATTAAAGTGTTAGTGATTCTATTTTTTTTTTCCCAAAGATTTATCCATTTATTTATACAAGCACTGGGTACAGTCAGAAGTGTGGGAGGGCGAGAGAATTCACCAGAGCCAGAGCAGGGAACAGAGCAGGCAGACTGACGAAATTCACTGCTGAGGGGAGCAGCGGGCGCGGCAGGAGAGGTCTGTGTGCCATGTGGGAACCTCGCTGGCAGCCGGGGATCGAACCGGAGTTGCAGAGGCTGCTGGCAGCTTCACAGGCCAGTGCTCAACCACTGCACCACTGGGGCGGCCCCCCCTTTTTTTTTTTTAATCATTTTGGAAGCAAGGAGCCGAGATTAAGTAAATCTTTGTCTGGGTTTTTGATTCTTGGCTGCCACCCCAGTAGGTTAAATTCTCTGAAGTCAAGGTTCCTGTGTGTCTTGCTGAACGCATGTTTAAGGGTCGGCTGGCAGTAGGGGAGCCTTATGTAAAATGTCAAGGATTTAGAGGCAAAAATGATGGGGAAGAACATCATTCTACCCCCCGCCCCCTCCATCCTCATGTGCACCTCACTCGAGAGAATGAAGCAAGAGGATGCACCAAGCTGAAAGCGTGGCCTGAGCAATGGAAGCCGCTGCAGGCGGCAGGCGCGGGAGACGAGGGAAGGGGTGGCGCATGCGCGGCCCGAAGTCGCGGGGGAAGAGCTGCGCATGTGCAGATGGAAATGGCGGCATCCATGGGAGGGGGGGGCGAGGGCGGGAAGGGCCGCGCCTGAGGAAGAGCAAGGAGCGTCGCGCGAGGCGACCCGAAGGGCCCGGAAGTGGTTCCTCCCCTTCTTCACCTTCGTGTTCACCTGCCTAACCCGATGGAAGAGCCCTGGCCTTGAAGGTAGGTGAAAATGTCTTGGCCTGGGGATCCCCGACACATTCCGAGATGCGGGGTGTGTGAGGCCTCGGGACCCTCCAGAGGCCTGTGGTCACTGGACTCGCCACAGGAAACTGGCTTCAGCCCCTTCGCTCGCCGAATCTCCTTTGCAACTAACCCTCGCCTGGGCCTGCGCTGCCTCGCCCCTCGGTCCCTGCCCATCGCGTTCGCTTCATGCTTCCCGGCGGTGCCCACGGGTGCAGACTCATCCCCGGCCTGTTCGGGACCGTTTCGTGCTCTTTGAGCAACATGGACAGCTGCTGGCTGCTTTTTGGGAGCTTGCAGCTCCAGGGACGGGAGTGGAACTGAGAGGAACGAGCACTTCTGGGGGACCCTGGAATCCCCCAGAGGCCCTGAACCTAGGAGGGCAGTTGCTGGGCATCATGACACGGGGTGTCAGGCGCTGGGCTCCCGTCAGCGCCCTCCAACCTCGGGGCAGGGTCCGCCAGGGAACCTGGGGCAGGCAGCCTTAGAAAAGGTGTCCAGGGCGGCCAGTTCACAGAATCTCGGTGGCCGGTGCCCAGAACTTCGTCACACTGGAGCATGCCGCATACCAATTTCCAGTAAATTAGTTTTAAGGAAGACACCCCTTAGTGTGTTCGTGAAGGCGGTTGTGTTCTCAAGATGGCTTTCCTTTTTTTTAAATTGACATTAGTAGCTTTTTAATCAATATAACACGATTTTCCTTTTTTAAAAAATTGACAGGGTTTTTTTTTTCTTCTTCTTCAATTGCGGTAACAGGATTTTTCTCTTTTTAAAGTGAAACAGAGAGAGTTTGTGTTTCACAGTGAATTAGGCGACTTGGAAGTTCTCATTGTTTTGAGATTTTCTACGGCAGCACCATTCGGTGGTGAGGTCCTGAAGATTGTGTGTCTGTTCTTCAGCTGAGTGTTTTATCATGTCTCTGTGACTTTTCTGATGTTGCCTGTCTAGGATGCAGTCTTTAATTTCCGGATATTTGGAGTTGCCTCCAATATCTCATCATGGTTTTAAGTTGTTTATATTGTCCTCAGAGAACAGACTCTGATTTTGTCACTGGAGAAGGGAGTGTGCCTGGACCACCTCAGTCCCATCCTGACCTCCCCTGAAAGATGGGTAGATCCACTGGCAGCTGCCAGCTGCTGTGCCCTGCTCCAGCTGCCGGGAGTCAGAGGGATGGGCTGAGGGCTCCTGCCCACAGGCCTGGAAATGGGCTCTTGAGACCCTCGGTCAGGATTGAAAAGGGGATGCTTTGGACTCCAGTGAGGGCAGGCAAGGAGTCAGGTTTATGGATGAGGGAAAGAGCCAAGAGAGGAGCTGGGGGACACCTGTCTGGTTCACCAAAGACTCGTTAGTCCTCTGCCTCAGTTCCCCTCCCCGCCTGCCCAGACCCTTCCTCTTCTGGGGACTTCGGTACCCTGAAGCCCTTTCCCATCTCTTCACAGTCAAAGGAGGTGCTTTGGCAGTACCTGTCATGGGCGCCGCTCTTGGTCATTACACCTGTCCCTGTCCCCGTGTACCTCATATGTTGTCTCATTCATGGGATTCCCTTCTACCCACCTGTGGGCCTATGATGTCCTCCAGATGCCTTCCCATTGAAAACATCCCAAAGGAGAGGCGCCTAAATGGTCATGATGAAATTTGGCGATCAACGTATCTGTGACTTCGTAACCTCATTCATTTGGCCGCCATCACACATACTTCAAAGCCCACCTCATGGGCAACTCTCTATACCAACTTAAAAGTGTTGACGTCCCTGAACCCTAGACTGTGTCTCTTCCCAAGGCAGGGGGCACTATTTGAGGGGGCTTATGGAGCCCCCTGCCAGGCCCTGTGGGTCCTGGTTACCATTGCCACTGTGGTGGTGTTACAGAGCAACCCCAATATAAAACGGGTTGCCTGACTGTGGGTCTGCACCTGCGCGCTTAAAGGGGACTTATTAATGCTAAACTGCATACATAACACAGAAGGTTGATAAAAGGTTTATTTACAAGGGAAGGAGAAATGAATGGCTCAGGGAGAAAAAGAAGGAGATAAGTTTGTAAATGCATCCTACCCGTTCCACTGACCTGGAATCCCAATGACCCGCCGAGCTGGTGAAAAACCGAGTATGCCCTGTGGTCAAGAGAGAGACGCCTCGCCACATGGCCAGTTAAATACTCAAACAGAGAACAGTTGCTTAACTCCGCCCTCTGGTCCTTGCAACCTTCCCTTTGGGATCATGGGGTTTGTAGTTCCCCGTGTTTTGGTGGAGTGGGGGTGCAGTCTACAAAGCCTGTATCGAGTTTGCTCAGGAAATCCTTTCCCCCTAACAGTGGCACCCCTCTTCCCAGCATACGGGCTCTGTGCTAGTCGCGGGCAGCCATGCCCATTGGGCTACCCGCCCCGGGTGGGCCGGCCGGGAAACCGCAGGGACTAGTGTGCCCTATGGGCAGATCTCCTGTTCTGTCTTCCTCTGAGAAGTCCTCCATTTTTTTGAGAGTCAGAATTCCAGCTCTGGCTTTCCTGCCCTTTCCTTGCTGTGGCCAATTCAGATGGGAATCACCTCACTTCTCCTCCAAGGACCGGCCATCAGCCAAGAGAGGCCCAGGAAGTGGGTGCAGCAAAGTGGACAGGATATTAATGCACATGCGAATGGAACGTGGTGATCCTGGCATGGGCTGAACATTTTTCAAAAGAGATTCCAGGACCCAGGCAGACTTAAGTGCGCCTGCGATCCACACACAGCGGTTGGGGAACTCCAGGCTCGATTGCTGAGCACCCCACTCTCTTGTGTCCGCCTGTTTTTACCACAGGGCTAAAGCTGATGAATTTGCCTAGTGGACGATAACTGAGTGGGCCTCTCAGAACTGTGTGTTTGTGTGGTGTCTGTATGGGGGGTATGACTCCACAACTGAACAGAACTTGCCAAAAGGAGAGGGGTCAGTCTGTTGGCAGCTGGAGAGTAGGAGCTGTGGATAGAGGTGACTGGAATTCCTGAAGACCCAGAAATGGGTTTCCCTTAAATGCTCAAAGATCCCAGGATTTCGGATTGCTTAGGGCCCACAGGGAGACCTGCTTAGGTGTGCGACAAAGGAAGAAAAAGCAGGCATGACCCCCTTTGGGCAGCGGTCCCGGAGATCTCGGGACCTGTGAAATTTCACGCTCCTCAGGTTTAAAGACTGGGGGACTGAAGGGGGCGGGGCCTGACGTCGCCCCGGTGGTGTGTGGCCCCGCCCCCACGGCCGACCTGCTCGCTCCCCTTCCAAACGCTCTGCCTCCCGACCCGCGCTGCTGAGTCCGGTAAGGTGGGACTGGGGGTGCGGGCGGGGGAGGCAGTTGCCTGAAAGATCTAATCATCTGGGTTTTCCACCTCCTTCCTTTTGGGAACCGGGTGCCCCTCCTCCTTTGTGTTCCCCGACCCCCATCGTAGTTCCGACTTTGGGTTTGGACCCTGCGGGAGGGGGTTTGAAAAGTAGGGTCTTACCGGACCAACCGGTGGGAGTGGAATGAACATCTGGGTGTGTCTCCGCCGCCTACTCTGAACGTACCCTCAGGCCCCTCGTTGACAGTCCTTTGGCGCCCAACGGGAGGTGGTTTGCGTCGGAAAACTCACATTGCTCTGGGGGTTGCTGATGAGAGGTGGGAGTAGGAAGAGGGGTGTCTGTAGCTCCTTCTCCGCAGTAAGGACCCTGGGGTCCTTCATGTCTGAAGTCGGGTTTCCGCAGCGCCCGGGTGTGTGGGGGCAGGTTTGCTCGGGACGGCTGTTGGCCACCTGGCGGTGCTGACAACACCAGCCGGCCCGCGGGAGGTGCCCCGCACGGGTCACTTCTGTTCCCCGAAAGTATGCTATGAGATGTAGGTACTGTCGTCCTCAGTTTCTCATCAAGAGACCGAAGAGTGAGTCGGATGTGTAGCTCTTATCTTGTGGCTTCTGGCACTTTTATGTTGGAGAGTTTCAAACATATAGGAAAGGACAGCACAATGAATCGCTTTGTCCTCAGCACCCAGCTTGGGTCCTGAAGGACCTGCGACCTACCTGGTTTCATCCCCTCCTCCCCACACTGCATAAGTCCCCGTTATTTTGAATCATGTGTCAAATTTACCAGTAAGTGTGTCCGTACACATGTCTAAAAAAACCCATAAAACTATCATTACACCTAAACCACACAGCGGTAATCCTTTAATATCACCAGATGAGCAGCAATATCCAAGTTCTGTTGGTGGTCTCATCATTTTTTTCCTGAAAGTTTTCTCTTAACAGCTTTCCTGAGATGTCATTCACGGTACTATATACAATTCAAACATTTTAAAGAGTACAAGTCAATGACTTTTTTTTTTTTTTTAAAGATTTATTTATTTATTTCTACAAGCACTGGGTACAGTCAGAAGTACAGGAGGTGAGACAATTCACCAGAGCCAGAGCGGGGAGCAGAGCAGGCAGAAGGGCCGAAGTACACTGCTGAGGGGAGCAGCGGGCGTCAGGAGAGGTCTGCATGCCATGTGGGACCCTCCTCCGGTGGCCGGGGAGCAGCCGGGGATCAAACCGCGCTGCAGAGGCTGCAAGCACTCCCCAAGTCAGCGCTCAACCGCTGCGCCACCGGGGAGGCCCAAGTCAATGACTTTTAGTACTAAACTTGCAGAGAAGTCCATCTCTCACCATCATCAATTTCATTACATTTTTTTTTTAAGATTTATTTATTCATGCATACAAGAACCGGGGTACAGGCCAGATGTGCGGGAGGGTGAGAGGATTCACCAGAGACAGACGGGAAACAGAACAGGCAGACTGACGAAACACACTGCTGAGGGAGCAGTGGGTGCGACAAGAGACGTCTGCTGCGCCATGTCGGACTCTCCCTGGGATCAAACCCGTGCTTCAGAGGCTGCAGACTGCTTCACAGAGCTGCACTCAACCGCCTGCGCCACCAGGGGAGGCCCTCAGCACATTTTAATTACCCCAAAAGAAACCCTGCACTCCATTGCCATCGCCCTAACTGCCCTGCTCCAATCCCAGCCTTGATATTCAACTGTCAGTCTCCTTTTTTTTTTTTTCCAGATTTATTTTTTATTTATTTCTGCATAGAAGAACTGGGGTCTAGGCCAGAGGTGTGGGGTGGGGGGGCGGTGGAGGGGTGAGAGGATTCAACAAAGATATAGTAGGGAGCAGAACAGGCAGATCAACTGAAATACACTGCTGAGGGGAGCAGCAGGGAGACTGGAGAGGTCTTGATAGTCCTCAGGCTTTAATCCCTTCACCACCAGGGAGACCCCTCAATCTACTTTTTTGTTCTGTAGATTTGGCTATTCTGGACATGTCACATGAATGGAATCTTACAATATGTGTAGTCAGTGACCTCTACCATGTAGCATGATGTTTTCAGGATCCACCCTCATGCAACATGTGTAGTACTTCATTTCTTTTTATTGCTGAATAATATTCCATTATATGGATTACTATATTTTATTTATCCCGTTACCAGCTGATAGGCATTTGGGTTTGTTCCCACTTTGGGGCTGTTATGAATAATGCTATTACATGCATTCATGTACAAGTTTTTTGAGTGGATGTATGTTTTTATTTCTCTTGGCATATACTTAGGAGTAAAACTGCTGAATCATTTGCTAACTGTTGAACTATTTAAGGGACTGTCTCATAATTTTTTGAAAGGTTGTTTCAACTGTCATCCAACCAAAACTCATATATTGCCAGCTGTTGCTATCCCTTAAGAATCTTTTTTTTTTTTTTTTTTTTTTTTTTTTTGTGGGACCCTAGCCGGAGGCCGGGGATCGAACTGGTGCTGCAGAGGCTGTGGGCAGCCTCGCAACCCAGCGCTCAACTGCTGCACCACCAGGGGAGGCCCCTCCTTAAGAATCTTTGAATCTGTTGGTCGCCCACCCCTGCCACCTTTTTTCCCCTTTGCAATGTATTTGTTGTTAAGACTGGGTTATTTGTTCTGTAGTTTCCAACCATCTGAGATTTGCTGGTTGCTTCGCTCTGGTGTCATTTATTTCTTACAAATTGATAGTTAGGTTAAGAGATTGATTAGTTCCAGGTTCAATGTTCTGGCAAGAATATTTCATGAAGCTCTCCTGCCCGCCGAGTCTATGCAAGCATTTCTTTTTCCTCTTTCTCTTTTCCTTGACGGACTGAGCTGTATTTTGTTTCTCACAAACAAGACTATATTATTCATTCGAGGCCTTTTTGCTTTTTAATGTACATTTTAGAATTAATTTGTCAGTTTCCATACAGATTCTGCTGTGATTTTGATAGGAATTGCATCAAATTGGGGAGACATGACATACTATGCTATTGAAACCTCTGATTCATCACCATGTTCTACCTCTTTATTTAGGGATTCTTTATTTTCCCTCATTAATATTTTAATAGTTTCGTACACGTGTGTGTGTGTGTGTGTGTGTGTAAAGGTCTTGCTGATCGTTTGTTGCAATTATTCCTAGGCATTTGATGTCTTGCTCTTATTGTATCTGATATTGTTTTTAAATTATTTTCTGAAAAAAAAAATTATTTTCTGAAGGCAGGCATATTCTTGGAGTCTTTTCCAGGGTGGAGATTCCATGTTCTTATTTGAGTAAGGATAGGAGGGTTGGGGAGGCCTCAGGGGTTCTTGTAGGATTAGTTTTATCTTTCCTTAATTCTTATGCCTGAAGTCTGCAGTTCTTGATGTCCTTAAGGTCAGCGAGGAAGGAGGCCCCATCCCTGCAGAAGCGGGAACTAGCGTCTACCCAGGATGAAGGCTGTTAGTAAAACCACGAAGGCCCGGAATGAGAAACTCCAGATAACTGAATGTTCAGATTCCAAGTCTTCTCCTTCCCCCATCTCAACCCCTCAGACCTCAGAGCCTGAGCAACCCCAGATGGCTAGCCCTTCGGCCTGTAAATCCCTGCATGCCGTCAGTTCAGCTTCCTCAGTCTTGAAATCCAAGATGGTACCTACTGAGGAGGTGGCTGGGGTGGGCCACTATTATGATGATGATGTCTTATCATACCTTTGGGCTGAGGAGGAGAGTAAAGGATCGGCTGTGTCAAAAAAGCATGAAGCCCCTCCTGACCGACCATCCTGGGCCAATAAGATGGAGTACTTTCTGGCCCAAGTGGCCTTCTCTGTGGGGCTCAGCACCATCTGGCGGTTTCCCTATCTGTGTTTTCACAATGGAAATGGTAAGCCCAGGCTCCGGGAGGCACAGGCCGCGAGGGGATGATAAGGGCCCTGGCTCTTCTGGGCCCTTAGAGACAGGTGGGAGCTGAGGATTAGCAACCTTGCCTGAGCCAGGAACCTGAGCACCCAGGCTCTTGGGAGGGTCAGAGTAGGATGTCTGAATACTTAAGCTCATTAAAAATGGTGGGGTGCAGGCGTGGGTCAGGATTGCAGGTGGAAAATAAGGTTCTGGGGCTTCCAGGATTTGGGGGACAGGACACAAGACAGCAGTGGGGATGTGGCGACAGTTGAGCCCTGATACCTGTGGCCTTGTGGGAGGTCCCTGGTGGGAACATATTTTCCTGGGCCCCCAAGGAAGTCTAGGCACTGAAAAGCTAGCTGGTTCTCAGACCTCCTCCCTGAACCCCCACACAGGCAGTTTTGTCATCATCTACATCCTCATGCTGTTCTTGGTCGGGGTTCCTCTCCTTTTCCTGGAGATGGCCGCTGGTCAGAGGATGCGGCAGGGCAGCATTGGTGTATGGAAGGTCGTCAGCCCCTGGCTTGGTGGTGTGGGGTACAGCAGCTTTATGGTGAGGAGCCCCAGGTTGCCTGGGCCTGCCCGGGCCTGCCCTTGCACCCTGCCCCCACCCCAGCCTTTGTCCTGGAATGGGCCCCATGATTCCACCTCCACGGGGCAAGTCCCTTCAGTTCCCCAATCAGTAGGTCAAGTTCCCTCCCTTCTGCTGGTCTGTCTTTCTTCCCCTGCCTCCAGAATTTTCCATGGTCCCTAGGTGTGCTTGATCATGGGTTCCTACTACAGTGTGCTCACGGCCTGGTGTCTCTACTATTTGATTCAGTCTTTCCAGTCTCCACTACCTTGGACACTGTGCCCCTCACTGGGGAACTCCAATAAAACCGGTGAGAAGAGAACGAGGCAAAGGGGGAGGGAAGGTTGAGGAAAGGACCAAGGAAGGAACAGGGCAGGACCATGGGGGGCCGGCGGTGACTGGAGGGAGGGTAGGTGTGAAGCGCGGGGAAGCACCTGCCCTCGCAGCCCCACCATGCCAGTTCGCTTCAGATCCCGAGTGTGCGCGGACAACGCCCACCACGTACTTCTGGTACCGGCATGTCTTGATGACCACAGACGAGATCGAGATGGGCGGGTTGCCCGTCAGGCATCTCAGTATGTCCCTCTTTGTCACCTGGTCAATCATCTGCATCTCCGTGATAAAAGGCCCCAAGTCCATTGGGAAGGTGAGCCCCCGCTAACCCACTAAGCTGGCAGACTCCCCGCCGAGACCCTCACAGGCTCCCAACGTAGAGGCCTGCGGTCCCCACCTGCTTACTCCTTCTGGTCTGACCTTTGGTGCCCAGTAACCTTTGCGCCCGCTGTCTCCAGTTTCTGCCCGATGAATCCTGTTCTAAATTCTGCTTCCTGCTCAGATGCTGTACATCTCCGTGCTCCTTCCCTACATCATCCTCTTCTGCCTCATTATCCGGAGTCTCCTAATGGAGGGGGCACGGTTTGGTCTCAAGACTTTGTTGGCTACTCAGGTGAGGTCTCCCCAGTCCTCTAATCCTCTTATCCCAAACCCAGGTGTTGGGGCAGTGTGGCTGTCAGTCTGATGGCACCCCTGCTCCCTCTTTCACCTCCTTCCTACAGTCTTCTGTCTCCATCAGGGTCTCCTCTCTGCCCTTGATGGCCGACTCCACACGGTTCTTCTCCTCCTCAGGTGTCAGCCCTGTACTCTGTGGAAGTGTGGCGCCGCACAGGGAACCAGATCTTTCTGTCCTTGGGCCCTGGCCTTGGCAGCTTCACCGCCATCAGCTCTTACATCCCTCGGTCCAACAACTGCGTCATTGATGCCTTTGCCGTGGCCATCCTGAACCTGGCCGCCTCAGGGACTGCGGTGGTGCTTGTATTTGCCCTAATGGGCCACTTGGCCACAGAGAACACCATAAAATGTCAGCTGAAGTGAGCCCCATCTTTCATCTGGAGAGCATCAGAAAGACCAGAGCCCTAGAAATAGCCCACAGTGCTCTAGGCTGGGCCCCGGCCCTCGGGGGTATCAGTGTAGTTAATATGGGGCCCTCAAATCAGAACACCCTAAATGTTAGAAATACCTCAGTGTCTCCAACTTTATCTCTTTCTGAATGGCTTTTCTAAACCAGGGAAGCCCCAAACTTGAAGGTTTTTGAAGGTGTTTACACCATTTTTAAGTGGGAACAGCCATGAAACAATTAGGGGATACCCATTTGAACCATTAGATTAAAAAAAGAAAAACAAATTTTAAAGCCCATAGCACCAGAATCTCCACAGCCTATTCCTCTCCTGTGACACTCGTTCAAAAGCTAAGCATCAGACCACTTATCAGACCTTTCTGTCCGCCAACCCCATGTTGCAGTCCAGACACCCAACCAGGGGTAAAGTAAGCCAGCCTGCCCTCAGGCCAGTCAGTCTACTGAGGCGGTAGATACTAAGTAGATCATCACAATCTATTTATTTATTACGATTTTGTTTTTGCATAGAAGAACTGGGGTGTAGGCCAGAGGTGTGGGGGGTGAGAGGAGTCACCAGAGACAGAGCAGGGGAGCAGAACAGTCAGACTGACTGAAATCCATTGCTGAGGGGAGCAGCGGGGAGACAGGAGAGGTCTGCTGCGCCATGTGGGTCAGCTCCCTGGCTGGGGATAGAACTCAGGCCACTAAGGTAGTAGCCCTGAGACTTAACCCCTATAGGTGTCAGGGAGGCCCAGATAATCACAATTTAAGTGGAAATGGGACTGGCGGGGGGGGGGGGGGCTCTCCTTACTTCCTGGGCAGTCAGAGAAGACATCCTAGTGGTGGTGACCCTGGGTGGAGCCTGCCTCCCGCCAAGTGACCGCCGCGAGTGTTCTCTCGCAGCCCGTCCGCAGACCTGTGTATAAGAACACTTCAGAAATTGTATCTTACTGCGGTTCTGCTTTCCTGAGGCTTGTTGGTTTTCCCTATGAGAACAGATCTCGGACAGCTCTCCCTGGCGGGTCAGAGAGCGGAGTAAGGACTTGTAGGAGTTGCTGTGTTGGAGCTAGGCATGGGGTTTGGAGGGGGAGGTGCTGAGTGGTGTAGGCAGGGAGGGACCATGTCCTAAAGATTCTGAGCCGAGAAAGAGCATGACGAGTTAAGGTGGGGGAGTAGCTGAGGACAGCTCAGGATAGAAGAGGAGTGGGCAGAGAGTTGTAAGTAAAGAGGCTGAAGAGGCCAGCAGGTGACAAAGCTGCAAAGCTTGACTGTTACCCTGAATTTGGCTATTAAGGAGGTAAGGGGCCTCAGGGGGACTGTAGGGAAGATCCCACTCAGGGGTCCACTTCAGTCAGAAGTCCTCTGGCCTCATACAGACACCATTTTGATCGTGGATGGAGGTGTCAGGCAGCGTGAACTGGTCCTGGACACTTAGGTTTCAGCACAGGCTCGACTTTGACGTGATCAAAACCTCTAGGTAGTGGGTGCCCCTTTTATCTAGGAGATCAGGAGGAAGTTATCTTAAAGAGCCAACTGGTTTGACAGTTTTCTACCTGCTGTCCCCAGGAATGCTGAGACCCTGATGAATCTGGTCAGGACTGGGGTTCTGCCGCCTGAGGCCCAGCCCCCAGATAGTGTGTATAAAGACGCAGGCTCCATCTACCCCAGGTGGTTCGACAGCCTCCCGGATCAAGTCAAGGGAGCCGCCCTTCCCCATTTGCTCATTTGCAATTCATCTAGGGAATTGGAGGAGGTAGGTAGGGGTTGGGCATGGGGCCCTAGTGTGTCCCCTCAAGGCCTCCAGGACCCCAGAAACGCCCGGCTGTCCTTAGATGTCTGTAGAATCCAGAAACGCCATTCTCAGCAGCTCCCTGGACAGCCCAGACCAAGGTTCTCGGTATCCTTGTGTGATCAGGCGACTTGCAGCCCCCACACCACACTAGCATCCTACACGCCTGTCCATCCAGGCCCGGAGGTGGTCGCACCAGCAGTGTAGGAGCAGGTCCCCGCCTCAAGGCCAGATGGGAATGGAGCCGCTCCCAACAGCGCGCTGCAGTTTCCTAGGGAGGGGCCGGAGCGCTGGGGCTCCAGCGGAGCTCAGGCTGCACCTCATTCCTCCCTTCTTCAAGGTCATGGAGGGCCCAGGGGTGGCCATTGTGGCCTTGACTGAGATCACCTGTGGCTTCACTGGAGCCCCCTTCTGGGCCATCATCATCTTCTTGTTGCTCTCGAACCTGGGGCTGAGCGCCATGACAGGGATCATGCAGGGCATCATCACCCCTCTCCAGGACACCTTCTCTTCCCTCAGGAGACATAGGAAGCTGCTCACAGGTACCGTGACCTATGTATGACCCCACTCCCGCGTCTGGCCGCCTGGGATTCTCACACAGCCCAGCTTAAACTCTGACCTTGATCCAATGCCGGTGTTTCCCTGCAGCGAGCGTCTGTGCGCTCATGTTCCTGGGCAGCCTCGCTTACATGAGGCCCTCGGGCAGCTACTTTGTGAACCTGCTGGACGATTACTGGACATCCCTGCCTTTCCTCTTCATTGTCATCTTGGAGAACGTGGCCATGGCCTGGATCTATGGGGCCAGGAGGTGACGTCCCCCTCTCAGGAGCTCCTCCCATACTCCCACAGTTACACCCGCACACACTCCCCAGGGACCGTGGCCCCTCCTGGTCTCATCACAGGAGGGTGGGGTGGAGGAAGGCCTGGGCCGGTTTCTGGAGAAAGAAGCTGTGAAATGAAAGTGGCGAGCGGTCTGTACCAAGTCCCCAGGGCCCTGAGCCTGCTCCCCGTCAGAGCAGTGTGGGCATCTGGGCCCTGGTCCTCGGGTGCTCTGGGCACAGCAGTGTGGGCATCAGCCAAAAGCTTACTATAAACGCAGACCCTCTGGTGTGTGTTCGCGTTCTGACAAGACCAGGGGGCGCTGGAGTGCCGCGGCGAGGTGCCATCCAAGGGTGGCGGCAGCGTTCCAGGTGCTAGTGGTCATTCAGCCCCTTACTCCTCACCCCATTACTTTCTGGGGCCTCCTGTGCGCGCACAGGCACTATGGTGAACCCTGGGGCTGAGGGGCACAGTGTGTTTAGTTCCTGCTCTCAGAGTCCCAGGAGGAGGTCGTGTGGGCAGGCCCTTGGGCGTGGCGGTAGGTCTCGGGCACTCTGGGAGCACAGATGGTCAGCACGAGGAGATGGGGCAGGGGGACATCTCACAGGAGCGCATGCGCCAACAGTCCAAACAGATCAAGGGGAGTTTGCCAAGGAGAGAGAACATTTTAGGTTGAAGGAGCCTGACTTGGGTGAAGAAGGTTCACTGGAGGGGCCTCCCTGGTGGCGCAAGGGGCTAAGTCTCAGCACTGTGAAGCTGTCCGCAGCCACTGCAGCGCGGATTCCATCCCCGGCCAGGGAGCTACCCACATGGCGCAGCAGACCTCTCCTGTCTCCCCGCTGCTCCCCTCAGCAGTGGATTTCAGTGGATCTGCCTGTTCTGCTCTCCACTCTGTCTCTGGTGACTCCTCTCACCCCCCGCACCTCTGGCCTGCACCTCAGCTCTTGTCTGCATAAATTTTTTTTTAAAGAAAAAGGGTCACCGGAGAAAGGTGGTATAAGCACGTCAAGAAACTGTATTTAGGAACTTGGCTGTTATCCTGAGGGTGATGTGGACGGAAAATTTTTTAAAAAGTCCTGGGGCTGAGAGAAATCAGACTGGAGGCATGACTTGAGGCAAGAAGACTGGCTGTGGAGGGGAACGGAAAGGGTGAAGGAATGTCCGGGGCTCTCTCCCAGACTAGGTTTGGACTAACCCCTTCCCCAAGGCCGGGCGGGGCCTGACTGGGCCTCCCGCGGTCTCATGGCCCCTTCTCCCCAGGTTCCTCGCAGACCTGGTGACCATGATGGGCCGCCCCATCTCCCCGGTCTACCGCTGGCTGTGGTGCTGCCTGACCCCCGCAGTGCTGCTAGTGCTGTTTGTAGTCACGCTGTATAACCTGTGTATGAACCCCATCAGCTACATCGCGTGGAACTCAAGCATTGTGAGCTGCCCCCCCCAACCCCAGAACCTCCTCGGGAGTGGGAACAAGACTCTCCAACCCACTCTTAACCTCAGGGACTCAGTCTTGTTCTTGGGAGCGCAGCTCTCTGGCCTCTTGCCGTCGCTGGTCTCCTCCGCCAGAGGGCCTGGGCGTTCTAAACCTTCTGCCCTTTCTCCACAGTCAGACGAGGTGAAGCAGACTTACCCCTCCTGGGCTAGAACCTTGCTCGCCCTCCTCATCATGGTCGCCATATTGCCCATCCCCGCCTACTCCTTGTACACTCTCGTTCGGACGAAGCTCATGGTCTCCTTGAGCCACAGCAGGGACACATGTCTCATCAGATTTGAATCAGCAAAGACCTTTCAGAGCTCAGTCCGTCGCTTGAGGAAGAGCCTCAAGATGAGTAAGACAGATAAGTAAGCAGGGGCGGACTTTCTGCCATGTGAGTAATTCATCTTGGAAATAAAGACTTGGCTCGAGTCGCGTAACGGCGCTTCTTTTTCAACGTGCCACTCCCTGGCTGTCCAGTTGAAGCGGAGGACGGAGCAGCGGCCAATCTCACTGGACCCAGAGGCCTTTTACTTTCCTAGGCTGGGGAGGGTTGACACAGCAGCCGTCCCCCGCCTGCCCTCCAGGCCTGGCCCCGGCAACCCCAGCCGGGTGTTCTCTGACTTACAGCCCGCGTGCGTGCGGTGGCTGGCGGCCGCGGACCCGCCTTCTGCGTCACCTTCCTCTTGGAATTGGGCCTTGTGCGGGCCGGTGTCTGTGAAACGAGGGCAAAAATGGTGTCGGCACACGAATTCATCCAGTAGATCTTTACTTTTGAGAAACAGAATTTATCATAAAAAATATGTCCAGCTTTGCTTTGCCTTCCACGGGCTGTTGGAGTCAAACCGCCCCGGGCCACTCTGCCTGGCGTTCTCCGTAAGTAAACGCCAGTAGGTGGAGACATTTGTGCTCAGAAAGTGGTGGCCTCGTTGGTAATGGCAAAGCGGTTACCTACCTCTCTGCTAACTGGTGACCTCACGTACGTCTTAAATTCTTGGAACAATCGATTGCCAAGCCTGCCGGTGGGCTTAAAACTTTACATGACAGCACGCACGCCGGTGGTCTAGGAGCCCGGGAAGAGGGCGCTTGGCAGGGAGTGAGGGGGAATGGAGGTTGACCCGGAGAGCCTGAGGGACACCCAGAGCCACAATCAGTGGATATCACTGTCGGGTTTCACCCCCACCTCTCTGACACGCTTCCCCTCCGCTGGGCGCTTGGAGGTGACTTCAGGTATGAGGGAGACTGAGTTGAGTTAGGGCACATAGGGTGTACATGCTAGCTTCCTCAGGCAGTGAGGTCACTGCTGACCCCCCTTGCCTGCTCATCCTGCAAATGAACCCTGAGGTAGGAGCACAGAAGTCAAGTCACGCTATGCCCATGTCTAGCACTGACACCCCCCCCCCCAAATATGAGGGTCGGGAACTAGGAAAGCAGTGTGAAATGCAAGGAGCAGCAGCCAGCCTCTAGAACATTCTTCTAATCATCAGGTGTGTAAAATTTGAAACAGAGCACTTGGATACCCCTAAATGGCCAGTGACCGTCCTGGGCTGGGTTTTGGATGTCTCATATGCCCAGTTATCTGTGGGGTTGTTGGTCCTGTTACGCATCTTTCAGAGGCCTTGGCACATTCCGGAAGTTAAATCCTCTGTTAGAGAATTTGAGATCGTCCACAAGTTTGATGCCTTTTATCCTGGTTGATTTTCTTTTTATTTTGCCTGCTACACTGAGGTTTTATTTTTACATAGTCAGACTTATCAATGTTTACTCTCTGCATCCTTGACAGCGAAGACAGCCCTCCCTTCCTCTGCCAAGAGCAAGGAACTGCTCCCCTCGCCTCGACCCGCCCCTAGTGGACTGTTGTCCTATTTCTCACCTTGTGATCATTGACCTACAACATGCAGTGTCATTTGATGCAAGGGGCATATTTTCTCCTAGGCGTGTTGCCAGTTGTCAGCCCAACCCCTGGAGGTGGGTGCTTTGCTCCCTGTGGGGGCTGCCACTTCAGTTCTACACCCCCCAGTGCCCGGGGCGCCTTCTAGATGATCCACAGTGGGACCGCCCTGTTTTGGATATTGAAACTGCGCACCATGTCTCGTCTGTAGCATGGTGGTTAAGGGTGTGCATCTGAAAGGGGCGGGGGTCCCTATCTTGACTCTCCCCTTATCTGGATCCACAGGTGTGCTACTCACCAAGTCTGCTAGCCACACTAGGTAGGTCTGCCACGCAACTGGCTGGGTCCGGGAGCTCTCCAAAGAATAAAATTAGGGCCTCCCCGGTGGCGCAGCGGTTGAGCGCTGGGTTGCGAAGCTGCCCGCGGCCTCTGTGGCGCCGGTTCGATCCCCGGCTGCTCCCCGGCCACCAGAGGAGGGTCCCACATGGCGCGCAGACCTCTCCTGCCGCCCGCTGCTCCCCTCAGCAGTGTCCTTCGGTCCTTCTGCCTGCTCTGCTCCCCGCTCTGGCTCTGGTGAATTCTCTCACCCTCCCACGCTTCTGACTGTACCCAGTGCATGTATAAACAAAACAAACAAACATAAATAAAAACATGCCTCTATCAAAAAAAAAAAAAATCTTAGAAGAATAAAATTGGAGAGAAGATGCCCCAAGGGCTGGACGCTGTAGCATGAGTGTGGTCAGGCTTCAGAGCCAGGGATCCGCGAGGGAGGCTGCACCCTTCAAAGAGATGGGGCTCAGGTCCGTCTGAGCGCTGCGGTGTAGCCCGGGGGAGTGAGTCAGCAGGGCCGGGCGGCTTTGCTGGGCATGAGCATGGGTGGGGGGGAGAAATGGCCTACGTCGTCGGCCTCCCGCTGAGCCTGCCCCTCCCCCCTCCCTCCCCCCAGCTCCTTGTCGCGCGCCCACACCTTGTCCCCCGCCAGCGCCGGCCGCAGCGACTGGTCTCGACTCGCGCGACAGTGGCGGGTAAACGCGGGTGCCGACGTTCTGCCCCCCAGATCCTGACTTCTTTGGGACACAGGCGTCTGTTCCCCCAGCCACCACCCCTCCACCTCTGGACCCAGACCTCAGGGATGCCCCTCCCACATACCTGTCTTTTCGGGAATTTGGGGGTCGGGGAAGCCCTGAGTGTCGGGGCGGGCCGGCGGGGTAGTAAAGGCCACCAGGGCTGGTGTCCACCTGGCCCCCCTCGCCTCCCGGCTCTCCCGGCTTCTCCTCCGCGCTCAGGTCGCTGACGGCCCCGCACCCCACGCCAGCCGGCGGGGGGCAGGGGCTGAGGTGGGGCCAGGGTCGGGGTACTGTGGGGCGGGCTTCCCGACCAGCTCCGCTGCAGGCGGGCGCTCGCCGGCTGGGGTCCGCTCCTCAGCTGGCCTTCGGGCAGGCGGTCGCTCGCGTCCTCCTCCGAGAGCCTGGCGGACAGCGACGCGGAGCGGGAGGCGCAGAGGCCGGGGGGCGCGGGGGTGGGGTGGGGGGCGCCCGTGGGCGCAGGCCCGGGAGAGGCTTTCGGGGCGGGTGGAGCCGAGCGCGTCGGCTCCGGGTGGTAACCGTGGCGCGGCCGGGAGGGGCTGCAGCTGGCGGGGGAGGCGGAGCTCAGGGAGCGCTGGAGGGGCCGGGAGAGGCCGAATCACTGAGGCCTGTGGCGAGTTAAGCTCCGCCAGGTTTACGCAATGGATCTGGAATATTAAGTAGCCTTCAAAAAGCATGTTTTAAAAGAAAATACTCATGACATTATGTACAAATATAGCTCCAATTTGTAGGAAATAACTTTTTTTAGTATATATTAGTATATATTTATATGCTATGTTAATAGGATACAAGATATTCTACCATGTCCAATTTATAAGGATTCCATGTATAAAGTGTTCAGATACACATCTGACGCTACCTGATTTCTAAGCTTGACCTTCCTCCAAAATCTAAAAGGAGCAAACATTTAAGATCATGATGTCTTTTAAAATTGTGCAGGATTTGCACCTAAACTAAAGCCTCCAGTTTAACCCAAACAGACCCACTTTGCACATTTGCGCTCCGCGCCTCTGTCAGGCGCGAAGGCTGGCCTGCAGTGGACTGTGTGCTGCTTCATGCAGACGCCCAGCGCCCAGGCCGCTGCGGGCGGAAGGGGTAGAAAGGCGCCTGCAGGGAGGGTGACTTGCCCATCTTGCTGGCAAATGGGGTGAGGGTGGGGGCGGTGCTAGGCGAGGCCACACATCCCCAAACTGGAGCTGGACACTGGTTCCCTGCGACAGCCTGGAGAGCCCCGCTCCTCGCCCTGCTGGGTAGCAGAGGAGTGTCCAGGTGATCCAGGTCGCCTTTTGGAGGAAGTTAGATCCGAGGAGAGACATCACCGTTGTGTTGTTGGGTGAGAGAGATGAGGAGGGTGTCAGTGTGATCGTGCAGCCAGCGAAGACTTCTCTGCATTGACGGGCATCTGTGGGAACACTTGTGTGGGTCTTGTTTTACCTAGTGATACCCAGCATGTGCTGTTGTCTGACTCCTACCTAGCAGTGTGTCTTGGGAGACTGTGATGTTACTGCGTACAGACATACCTTTACTTATTTTTCTATAAACTTTTTGAAAAAGATTTTATTTTTGCATAGAAGAGCTGGGGTATAGGAAAGAGATGTGGGGCTGAGAGGGTTCGCCAGAGACAGAGTGGGAGGCAGAACAGGCGGATCTACTAAATAAACTGCTGAGGGGAGCAGCCGGGAGACAGGAGAGGTCCGCTGCGCCCTGTGGGTCAGCTCCCTGGCCGGGATGGAACTCAGGCCGTCATGGTGATAGCGCTGAGACATGATCAATGGGCCACCGGGGACGCCCCATGCCTTTTTTTAAATTATAAAATATAACGTGTATTTTAAAGAGTGTACAAATCTGAAATGTTTGGCTTAATTGGGTTATTACAAAGGAAACACCTCAACCATCCTAGTCAATGAAGGGAAACACTGCCTACACCCTAGAAACACTCCCTTGGACCTTGCTCAGCCTCTAGATCCTCTTTCCCTCTGACTCTATAGTTATCATTCCTTTGGTTTATTTAGGGTTTTTCCACCTCAATATGCACACCTAAACTTTTGAGGTCTGTTTTTTTTTTTTAACTTTGATATAAACAGCCACATGCTGCACATTCTTTAGAATATAGCTTCTTTCACACAATGTGATGTTTTTGACATTTGTCTATGCCTCTAAGTGTAGCTGTAGCTATTTTCTTTGCCGTGTAATATTTCTTTCTTCAGGTTATGCACACCGTATCCGTGCTGCTATGATGGACTTTGGTGAGGGGGCTGTTGCAAACGAGAATATCCCCAGTGTGCATGCATGTACACACATGTTGGTTGCAGTTTTACCTAGGCGTGAAATTGTTGTTCACCTGTGTATGCCTTCAGTCTTAATGGATCCTGGTGGATCCCACTCTCCAAACATGTTTTGTCAGTTTCCATTCCCACACGCAGTGCCTGACATTGCTCAGCTCCTCTTCCCCGCCGGTGTCTGGTGTCCTCAGCCTTTTTGTTCTGGCCAGTCTGGTGTGTAGTGGCACCTCATTAAGGTTTTAAGTACCATTTCCCTGCTGTTCAAAAGGCCAAGCACTTTTTCACGTTAACTGGCCATTTGGGGAACCCTGTGGTGAAAGGTCTCTTCAAATTAAAGTAGTTGATTACTTATATTTTCTTATTTAGTTGTAAGGCTTCTCACAGATTCTGAGTCCCTTACCAGGTGTGTGGCAATTTTTCCTTTCTATTCTGTGGCTTGCTGTTGACTTTTTGAATGGTGTCTGTTGATGAACAAAATGTTCTGAATTTTAATGAACTCAGTCAAATACGCCTATTATTTCCCTTGTGGCTAGTGCTTTCTGCATCCTGTTTAGGAAATCTTTCCTAACCTCCAGTCATGAAGATAGTCTCCCATATTGACTTTTATAGAAGCTTTATGAATTTGACTTTATCTTTAAATATGTAGTCCGTGGATTAACCTTTGTATGATGTGAGATAATTATCAGATTTCATTTTTTCATCTGAATATAAATTTTCCCATCCTAATTATTTAATGCTGTCATGATACTCCCTGTTGACACCTGGGCTGTCTCCATTTACTTAAAACTTTTCTTGAGCCTCCCTGGGGGCCTAGGGGTTAAGTATCAGCACTATCACTGCTGTCTGAGTTAGATCCCTGGCCAGGGGGCTGACCCACCAGGGTGCAGCAGACCTCTCCTGTCTCCCCACTGCTCCCCTCAGCAGTGTGTTTCAGTAGATCCCCTGTTCTGCCCGCACGTCTGTCTCTGGTGAATCCTCTCACCCCCTGCACCTACACCCCCGCTCTTCTACACATAAGTAAATAAAATTAAAAAAAAAACAACTCTGACTTTTCTTAATAATCATTCATAGGTTTTGGTATAGAGGTCTTAGCTTTCTCTTTCATTCCTCAGCACTTCAAACATCTTCATGTTATTATAAATGTTTTGATTTTTTTCATTCATTTCTTGTTGATACGTAGAAATGCTATCGTGTGCCACAGCATTTGGAATCCAGCAAACTTGCTAAACTTACTTATTAATATAAATACTATGTGTTTGTGAATTCTTTTTTTATTTTTTTATTTTTTTTTTTTAAGATTTATTTATTTATTTATTTATTTATACAAGCACTGGGTACAGTCAGAAGCGCAGGAGGGTGAGAGAATTCACCAGGGCCAGAGCGGGGAGCAGAGCAGGCAGAAGGACCGAAGTACACTGCTGAGGGGAGCAGCGGGCGGCAGGAGAGGTCTGCGCGCCATGTGGGACCCTCCTCTGGTGGCCGGGGAGCAGCCGGGGATCGAACTGGCGCTCCAGAGGTTGCGGGCGGCTTCGCAACCCAGCGCTCAACCACTGCGCCACCGGGGAGGCCCTCTTTTTTTATTTTTGACATGCACAACTGTATCTATAAATAATGACAGCTCTAATTCTTTTCCAAACTTAATACTTCTTTAAATTTTATTGCACTTCCTAGAACCTTTTATCAGTTATCACCCCCAAAATGCTATTGAATGACTTTCATCACTAGTTTTGTTCTTTTTTTTTTTTTTCAATTAATACAAACATTTAGAGCCTTATTAAATAGGACACGATTAAGAAGTAGCGCTTCCTCCCCTTTTATCCGCATGCTGCTCCCACCACCCCGCTTCAGCGGTGCATCCTAAGTCTCTAGCCCTGTAGCGCTAGTCAGTCTCTTAGAAGGGATGTGGTCTCATTCAGAGTCTTCTTAGAACATTGTGGTTAGCAGAGCGATGGTCACGGCCCGTGGGGGAGCTGCTTCACTTTTACGTGTGCGCTGCTGTGAGCCCAGACGTGGCTTTTGTTGGAGAAGCTGTGCTTCCTTTTTGCCCCAGGTAGGGGTCATCTAATAGACACCAAAGCCGTCATCGTCAGCTTCAAAAACGTTATCTGTGTGAATAAATTGTAATCATTTGTGGTCTCAGTGGCTTCTTCCTCAAAGCTGTGGGAGTTTAAGTCCACATCGTAAGGGCGTCATAGGCCTGGGTGTTGTCTGAGTACCCCCCAGTAGGGGTTATTCTTTCACGGGGGGGGGGGAGGTCTGTCTGAGTCAATGGTGGACTCTACTTTATCACTGAAGGTTGGGGTCAGGGGTTGACTGTAGGTCATCAGTACCTTGTGGGTCAGTGATGATTTTGGGGGTATGTGTGGGGAAAACCACCATTAGAACCAGGCCCAAAAGATGAGTGTCTGGGGCCTCCCTGGTGGCATAAGGGGTTGAGACACAGCACTGTGAGGCTGTCCGCAGCCACTGTAGCACGAGTTCGATCCCTGGCCAGGGAGCTACCCACATGGCGCAGCAGACCTCTCCTGTCTCCCCGCTGCTCCCCTCAGCAGTGTGTTTTAGTAGATCTGCCTAATCTGTTCCCCACTCTGTCTCTGGTGAATCCTTTTACCCCCCACACCTCTGGCTTGTACCCCAGTTGTTGTTTGCATATATAAATAAATCTTCAAGAAAAAAAGATGAGGTTCTTCCCAGCATGATGCCTGGTGGGATTGACTGGGAGCACAGGAGTTCAGAAGTTTCAGAAGTTTCCTAAAGACAGAAGGCAGACTGTTTATTGCAAGTGTTTTGCAATTGATTTTTTTTTTAAAGATTTATTTATTTATTTATTCAAGATTGATTGATTGATTTATACAAGCACTGGGTACAGTCAGAAGCGCGGGAGGGTGAGAGAATTCACCAGAGCCAGAGCGGGGAGCAGAGCAGGCAGAAGGACCGAAGGACACTGCTGAGGGGAGCAGCGGGCGGCAGGAGAGGTCTGCGCGCCATGTGGGACCCTCCTCTGGTGGCCGGGGAGCAGCCGGGGATCGAACCGGCGCTGCAGAGGCTTCGGGCAGCTTCGCAACCCAGCGCTCAACCGCTGCGCCACCGGGGAGGCCCTTTTGCAATTGATTTTTACATATTGATTGTGCGTTCTGTAACCTCACTGAACCTATTTATGGATTTACAATTTTCCGTAGATTCCTTCTAATTTTCTATACTTAGGATCCTATCATGTGGGATAGTATTATTTGTTCCTTCAATCTTGATGAATTTTTTTTTATTTTTGTGTAGAAGAATTGGGGTAAAAGCCAGAGGTGTGGGAGGGTGAGAGGATTCACCAGAGAGAGTGGGGAGCAGAACAGGCAGATGTACTGAAACACACTGCTGAGGGGAGCAGCGGGGAGACAGGAGAGGTCTGCCGCGCCATGTGGGTCAGCTCCCTGGCCGGGGATCAAACTCAGGCCAGGCCATAGAGGTGACAGCGCCAAAACTTAAACCCTAGGCCACTAGAAAGGCCCAATCTTGATGACTTTTATTTCATTTTCTTCCCTCATTTCCCTGGCCAGAACCTCTAGTGCAGTATGAGTAGAAGTGGTGAGAGAAACATGTCTTGTTTCTGATCTTAGGGGAAAGATTAAGTCTTTCACAACTAAGTGGCATTCTAGCAGTGGATTTTTGTAGATGCATTTTATCGGGTTAAGAAAACTTCCTCCTGGCCTCTGGTTGAGTGCAGTGCTGTGAAGCTCTCCGCAGCCTCTGCAGCGCGGGTTCGATCCCGGCTGGCTGGAGAGGGTTCCACATGGCGCGGCAGACCTCTCCTGTCACGCCCGCTGCTCCCCTCAGCAATGTATTTCGTCAGTCTGCCTGTTCTGTTCCCCACTCTGCCTCTGGTGAATCTTCTCACCCTCCCGTGCTTCTGGCCTGTACCCCGGTTCTTATATAAATAAATTAATTAATCTTTAAAAGAAAAAAAAAAAAGAAAACTTCCTCCTGTTTATTGAGTGTTTTTGTCATCAAGGGGTTTTGGGTTATGTCAGATGCTCTTTCTGTGTCTGTGGACGTGGTCACATGACCTTCATCTTGTTGATGTCTGACAAAGTCACTGATTTTCAGGTGTAGAGGCAACCTTGCGTTCCTGGGTAAAGTGCACTTTTTCGAGGTGTCACTCCTCACCTGGCACAGCCTTATGTGTGCACTGTCACCTTGGGGTGATAGTGGTTTTGGGCGGGCTCTTTTTCTCTGGCCCTGATCATACCCAGATTTTAGAATCCAGTAATCTCTGCTTATTGCTCTGTTCTCAGCACTGCTCTGAAGCATGCATTGTTCTGATTAGATTTGGACTCCTTCACGAGAGTGGTTGTTGAAGTCAGTGTTAGAGGTTTGTTTTGATCGCAGTAGGGACCTGCTTTACTGCTTCCCCTCACTCTCTCTGGTAGGCACTAGCTGTCCTGTAGGGTGGCCCGTGTCTCTCTCATGGAGTTAGCAGCCCCTTCCTCGATACCTCCCAAACCTACACTGTTTGCTTAAAAACAGATTAATTGGCATTATTAATGCCTCACCAGTCAGGAAGCATCCCTTCCAGCAAGTAGGATGGTACTTTCAGAAATGGTACCAAGTGGGGCCTCCCTGGGGCACAGGGGTTAGAGACACAGCTGTCTCCAGCTACTCAACATGACTTTGACCCCGGCCAGGGAGCTTCCCACATGGCACAGCAGACCTCTCCTGTCTCCCCGCTGCTCCCCTCAGCAGTGGGTTTCAGTGCTCCTCACTCTTGTCATGGCTGACCCCTGAGGCTGGCCCCTCAAAACCTGCTGTTCTTGACCCCCAGGTGCCCTCGGACTCAGCGGGCCTGTGAGAAGAAACATGGATTCCCTTGAAAACCTGACAGAGGAAGAGGAGCCCAGAGCGGCCCAAACCTTAAAGCGCTCGACCTGCGGGCCCACGGCCAAGGAGGTCCTGGCCAGCAAGGCCCAAAACTACTTGGTGAAGATCAAGAGAAGGGACAGCGCCCTGACCCACGCGGCCTTCTCTGTGGGGCTGGGCAGCCTGTGGCGCTTCCCCCAGCTGTGTTACAGGAACGGAACGGGTAAGGGTGGGCCCTGCGCCCCGAGTCACCGCACGGTTTTAAGGCTGGGAGCCTGGATATCTGGGTCCTGGGGCGAGACTATGGGGGGGGGCAAGGTGGAGTGGGCCCCCAGAGCGCCTGAGGAACAGAGAGGAAGGGCCAGTGTGCCAGAAGCTGAGTACAGCTCCTGCCCCTTTTCCAGGGAACTTCATCCTGATATATGTCTGCATGGTGCTCTTGCTCGGGGTGCCCCTCTTGTACATGGAGATGCTTGTGGGGCACTGGCTGCGCGTGGACAGCATCCGGATCTGGAAACAGCTCGCCCCCTGGCTGGGCGGCATAGGCTACGCTAGCTTGCTGGTGAGTGGCGCCCCACCCCCACCCCCGTGCTCCCCAGCCCCGGCTCCCCCTCCCCTTTCTCAGGCCCCCATGTCCACCCCAGGCCTGCATCGTGGTGACCTTGTATAACAGCGTCATCATCGCCTGGAGCCTCTCCTACCTGGTTAGCTCCTTTAATCACCCCCTGCCCTGGGACCACTGCCCGGAGATCATGAAGACCTTCAACAGCTCAGGTGGGGAGTGGTGCGCCTAGGGCGGGGATCAGGGGCTGAGAAGTGGGGTGGGGCCGGGCGGGCAGCAGACAAAACCAGGTGCTGAGGGCCCAGGGCCCCCCAGACCTCTCTTGTCTACAGACCGTGCCCCACCAGCACTTCTGGTACACCACCATCCTGCGCGCCTCGGGCCGCATGGAGGAGAGCGCCGGCGTGCTGGTCCCGAGCCTGTCCCTGAGCCTGCTGGTGGCCTGGCTCCTCCTCCTCCTGATCCTGGTCTCCGGGTTCAAGATCTCCACATCGGTAAGTCGCCCTCGCCTGCACCTCACCTTGCAGGTAGTCCCTGCCCCGCCCGCTACCTGTGTGCCCCTACACGTCCCTCTTGGGCGAGCTCACAGGTGGACATCTCCCTCGTGCACTGTACAAGAGAATTTTATTTTCTTTTATTTTGAAGATTTATTTAGGCATCCATGAGCTGGGGTACAGGCCAGAGATGCAGGGGGTGAGAGGATCCACCAGAGACAGAGCGGGGAGCAGCACAGGCAGACGGACCCAAAACACTGCTGAGGGGAGCAGTGGGGAGACAGGAGAGGTCTGCCGCGCCATGTGGGTAGCCCCTGGCTGGGGTCTAACCTGCTGCAGAGGCTGCGGACAGCTTTGTAGTGCTGAGACTTAAGCCCTGCACCATCAGGGAGGCCCCTACAAGAGAATTTTTTTAAAAGCCCCAAGATGCCTGTTCAGAAATGATGAGGTTTTTGGAGTCTCTGGGTTTGGAGCGCAGGGTCCGTGGGGTCACGCTGGGAAAGGGGTCCCCAGAGCTCCCATTTCAGCGAAGTATGGCGAGTTCCCAGGCGAGTTTCCCCACGAGGCAGAGACGTTACTTACAGTTGAAGGGCAGGTGTGTTAGGGCCAGGGCCAGAAGAGTGACAGACACTCGCGGAGACCCCAGCGGGCGGGAGGAGCGGCCCCGGAAGGGACAGGTTCACCGAGAGGCCGGTGTGGTCGGTGTGGTCGCAGCGGGCGGCCTTGAGGAGAGCAGCCTCCACGGAGGGGTGTCCGTGAGGAGAAGCCCCGGCAGGGGCAGGGCCCGGGCCGGCAGGAGGCCGCTGCCCTGCGGGGGGAGAGCGTGGGCGAGAAGAGCCCCCCCCCCACAGGCACAGAGGGCAGAGGGACGGCGGCCCCAGACTGCAGGGACAAGGTCCTCTTCTGATTGGGGGGCGCCACTCCTTGTGCGCCTTCAGTTTGTTGCTGATGTGGGATAACCATGCAGAAACCCGAAGGGGCCTGAGACGCCAGGGTGGGCCCAATCTCCACATCTTTACCCTCACGCCAGTGCCCCACTCCCTGTAGCCTCTGAGCCCACTTGGGCCTCACGCCTTGCGCTAAGGCACTGGCGCCTGAGGGCCCGGCCTCTGCAGCTGGGTTGGTGGTCACGTTATTCCCCTCGCGGCCCCCCCCTCCCCCGTGAGTCAGGTTCTGATCTTGGCGCACCGCCTCTCCGTCTTCCTGTTCTTGTCCCCCATCCAGACAAGTTCTGAGACCGTAGGCCCTCAGCCTGGGCACAGCCCCCGGCTCAGACTCCCCCCCAGACTGCCAAGGTTCGCCCATCACTGCGCCAGCAGCCAGCACTGGGAGGGGCTGCTTCCTCCAGCGCAGGGGTTCCCGCAGGCGCAGGCGGGCTGGTCAGGGTCCCCTGGGAGGAAGGAAATACACTGGGACACAAGCTGACAAGCTGGCCTCCCTCCCCTGCCCTGGCTCTGGAGCCACTCTTGCTCCCCGCGGGTCAGGGGCCGCTTTAAAGGCAGCCCAGAAGCTGCAGCAGCCAAGAGAACCTTAGCGAGAGAAGCCGCGCTGGCACTGCCCCTTAGAGGTTCTGCCAGCCCCACTCCTGGCCCTGTGGGGCGCAGCGGGGGAAGACTCGGACCTGCTTGCCAGGCCCCGGGCCAGCTTGGGGATGGAGTCTGTGCGCCTGAGCAGGCCGGGCCGGCGAGCAGAGCAGCGGGTGCTGGCATCAGGCCCAGGCCAGGGGGCAGAGGGCGAGGACCAGAAACGGGTCCTGAGAAGCAGCAGCTGGGCCCTTCGGTGTTCCTTTCCCTTTAGGGGGGACCCCGTGGCCTCACGCGGCTCACGGAGTGGAGGAAGGAACAGCAGGGGCGGCCGGGAAGGGTCTGTTTTTTAAGAAATATTGAAACATGATAATAGACAGACCCAGCGCCGAGAACCTTCTTTTGTTAACGAGGAGGGGCGGGGCAGGGGCGGGGCAGGTGTGCACATCCTCACCCTGGCTGCTCAGACAAGGCTGTCCCGGCTTGGCTGGGCCCCAGGCCTGCTGCTCCAGGCCCCCAGCAGCTGTCAGGGTGTGGGCGGGGATGGATGGGCACGCACACTCACGCTCACACTCACACCCACACGTGCTCCAAGTCTCAGAAAGGTAGGTCCTCCCGGTCACCCTCCCCTCCTTCCCCCACCCCTCTCCTCCCCCTCACTCCTCCCTCCCGCAACCCCTCCTCCCTCCCCCCTTACCCACCCCATCCCTGCTCTCCCCCACACCCCCCTGCTCAAGCCTCCCCACTCTTCTCAGCCCCCAACCCCCCCCAACTCCCGCTCTGCCTCCACAATGACACCCCTCCCCAGCCTTCCCTTTAACTGCTCTCTCTTCCCCATCCCTCTTCTCCCCCTCCTCCCTTCCCTCCAAGTCCAGCACCCGCACCCCTTCAACCTCCCCAACCCCCCCATGCAAGCCACCCAGACCCTGACACTCCCCATCTAGCTCCGCTTCCCTCCCCACCCAGCCACCCCGCACCTGCTTCCCTGCGCCTGACCCCCGGCTCCTCCCTCACCCACTGGGCCTACTCCTCCCTCCATGCCCTGAGCCCAGCACCCTCCCTCCAACCCCTTCCAGGCCTTCCTCACCCCTGCCCTCTGTGGCCCCTCCAGACCCTGACCCCCAGCACTACCTGCAAGTGCTGCCCCCCCTCCTCCTCCCTCCCTCCCAGCCTGCACGGAGCTCTCCGCTGACCCCTCTACTCAGCCCTCCCTGCTCCCC